CCAGAACATACCATGAGTCCCAACTTCATATGCTTACTCTAACCATTTATCTACAGTTTTATATCTATCCTAACCCAGAACATACCATGAGTCCCAACTTCATATGCTTACTCTAACCATTTATCTACAGTTTTATATCTATCCTAACCCAGAACATACCATGAGTCCCAACTTCATATGCTTACTCTAACCATTTATCTACAGTTTTATATCTATCCTAACCCAGAACATACCATGAATCCCAACTTCATATGCTTACTCTAACCATTTGCCCAAAGTTTTATATCTATCCTAACCCAGAACATACCATGAGTCCCAACTTCATATGCTTACTCTAACCATTTGCCCAAAGTTTTATATCTATCCTAACCCAGAACATACCATGAGTCCCAACTTCATATGCTTACTCTAACCATTTATCTACAGTTTTATATCTATCCTAACCCAGAACATACCATGAGTCCCAACTTCATATGCTTACTCTAACCATTTGCCCAAAGTTTTATATCTATCCCAACCCAGAACATACCACGAATCCTACTTCATATGCTTACTCTAACCATTTGCCCAAAGTTTTATATCTATCCTAACCCAGAACATACCATGAGTCCCAACTTCATATGCTTACTCTAACCATTTTCCTATGGTTTTATATCTATCCTAACCCAGAACATACCATGAGTCCCAACTTCATATGCTTACTCTAACCATTTATCTACAGTTTTATATCTATCCCAACCCAGAACATACCACGAATCCTACTTCATATGCTTACTCTCTAACCATTTTCCTATGGTTTTATATCTATCCTAACCCAGAACTCACCACGAATCCCACTCCATATGATTACTCTCTAACCATTTTCCTATGGTTTTATATCTATCCTAACCCAGAACTCACCATGAATCCCACTTCATATGCTTACTCTAACCCAGTGCTCCGCAACCGGTGTGCCGCGAGACGATGCCAGGTGTGCCGCACGGGAATTGCAACTTTTCTCTTCTTTTTACAAATTATTTGTTATCTTTTGTTAATTTTGCGTTAGTCCACCACTCTACTGACGTAAAGTTAACCTGCTTTTACGTTAGCTTGAGCGACCCCAATTCGAATTCCTGACACCCTCACTGTGAATTTGTGACGTAACAAGGAATAGGCCTATATGACAAGCTTGTATATTGTAAAGCAGGCCTGCCCAACCGTTTTGATCTCGCGGGCCGCCAACGGCCGCTTGATTTGCGGGCCGCCAACGATTATACCAAACATTAATACCAGCTAATTCCTAATTTTGGTGTGGGTAATTTACATAATACAAAAAAGACAAGTTCATTAACATGAAATCAATAAAGTTAATAATTGCTTTCTGGTTACTGGGTAGGGCTGTCAAATTATTCGAATATCAAGTCGAATATTATCAGAATTATCAATTTCATCAGAATTATTGACGGATACTCAGTTACGACATTTCCGAAATCCTATTTAACACCAACATAACATAAACAAAAATACAAATAAATATAAATTGAAAATAGAAAGGCAACGAGTCCCGGGATCAAGGATCAACCAAAAATATTGTTAACTTTTTTTTGTCACGATAGCGATCGAAGTCGACACGAAAGAAAGCAATCAGAATGAAATTAATTTGCAAATTTAGGCTCCTAATTCATATCTATAATTGCGCTTACGTTTGTCCCCAATGATCGCGCAATATCCAAAAATAAATTTCAGAAATAAATAAAAAAAAATGACGTCGATGTCCACTAGGGTGCAAGACTTGACACTAGGGTGCAAGACTTGACACGTACGTAATAATAAAAAACGGCAATTGAATGTGGATAGATGGCAGGAATAATCACACCAAAATCACCAAACATACTTAAGCCTATAGATTGATATATAACATAGTGAAAATTTGAATAGTCTTCTTACAAACTTCACAGGACGGGCCGCAAAAAACAGTTCTGCGGGTTGGGCATCCTTGTTGTAAAGCCTATTGTCGAGGCTAAAACATAGCACGTGTAGTATTCGAATATAAATAAAGTGTGAGTTTGCAGAATCAGTGCCCAGTGGTCTTTGATTGAAAAAGTCAAGGAACGTTAAAGTTTAGCAAAATGGATAAATTTTTAAAAAGAACAGCTGATACTGAGCAACATATTGTACCTAGCACAAGCAACGTTGGGAAAAAAAAATTTGTCAAAAGGAAATACAGGGAAGATTACGTCAAATATGGATTTTCTTTCTGTGGTAACGGAGATGCTCCAAACCCAGTCTGGGTTATTTGGGGGGAGCAACTTTCAAATGAAGCAATGTTTCCGAATAAACTTATGCAGCACTTAAATACGAAACATGTCGTTCATGCACGCAAGAATATAAATTATTTCCAGCGGTTGTTAAGTCAAAATAAGAAGCAAGAGTGCCCTGTGAAGTCGTTTTTTACAGTCTCCGAAAAAGCATTAGAAGCTAGTTATCGTGTTCAAAATTAATTGCGCGTCACGTAATGATCTTAATATAGAGCGATTACAGAACATACCCTGAATCCTATTTCATATGCTTACTCTAACCATTTCCCTAAGGTTTTATATCTATCCTAACCCAGAACTCACCACGAATCCCACTCCATATGATTACTCTCTAACCATTTTCCTATGGTTTTATATCTATCCTAACCCAGAACAAACCATGAATCCCACTTCATATGATTACTCTAATCATTTACCTGAAGTTTTATATCTATCCTAACCCAGAACATACTATGAATTCCATTTTGTATGCTTACTCTCTAAACCATTTGTCCAAATTTTTATATCTATCCTAACCCAGAACATACCATGAATCCCACTTCATATGCTTACTCTAACCATTTACCTAATGTTATATATCTATCCTAACCCAGAACATACCATGAATCCCACTTCATATGCTTACTCTAACCATTTACCTAATGTTTTATATCTATCCTAACCCAGAACATACCATGAATCCCACTTCATATGCTTACTCTTACCATTTTCCTAAGTCTTCATATCTATCCTAACCCAGAACATACCATGATTCCTATCTCATATGCTTACTCTAACCATTTACCTAAAGTTTTATATCTATACTAACCCAGAACATACCATGAGAGCTACCTCATATGCTTACTCTAACCATTTTCCTGAGGTTTTAGATCTATACTAACCCAGAACATACTATGAATTCTATTTTGTATGCTTACTCTCTAAACCATTTGTCCAAATTTTTATATCTATCCTAACTCAGAACATACCATGAATCCCTCTTCATATGCGTACTCTAACCATTTATCTAAGGTTTTATATCTATACCAACCCAGAACATACCATGAATCCCACTTCATATGCTTACTCTAATCATTTGCCCAAAGTTTTATATCTATCCTAACCCAGAACATACCATGAGTCCTACCTACTTCATATGCTTACTCTAACCATTTTCCTGAGGTTTTATATCTATACTAACCCAGAACATACCATGAGTCCTACTTCATATGCTTACTCTAGCCATTTTCCTGAGGTTTTATATCTATACTAACCCAGAACATACCATGAATCCCACTTCCTATGCTTACTCTAACCATTTGCCTGAAGTTTTATATCTATACTAACCCAGGACATACTATGAATTCCATTTTGTATGCTTACTCTCTAAACCATTTGTCCAAATTTTTATACCTATCCTAACCCAGAACATACCATGAATCCTAACTTCATATGCTTATGTGATTATTTTTAAAGATAAAACCTTTCGATAAATTTTCTGTCAATTCTCACATGGTAAAAATTATTTCAGTACAATAAAAATACATAAATAAATACGAAAATTGATCGAATATATTTTATTTACCTTATATATCATCACAAACCAGGAAAAAGTCGCGTTCTCAGCTTTGTTTAATGTTAACACCAAAAATTTTCTACGTCGATTTAAAAGTAATGGATAAAAAGGCAACTCCCGCTCACAACTGACCGTGTTTCGATTACAGTGACGAAATGTTTTTAAAGGTCACACGAAAAAAAGCGTTTTTAGACTGTCGCGGGCCTCAACAAAACTTATATTGTTTACAGTTTTATTTATAGTATTTTATATTGTCACTTTTCAACTTATGGATACTTATCAGAATTCTCGCCGGGTTCATAAGTCCGTGCTTGTACGAAAATAAAATAATTATCATAGTCATCGTGTCATAAATTTGTGATTTAGAGAGGATAAACGTCAACGTAAATTACGACCTAAATAATAGGTCACAATGATGAAAACAATCGACGATTTTAGCAAAAGGCAATTGCACGCGTTATTGACGACTTTTTCAGGTTTCAAAAAAAATCAGAAGGGGGGGGGGGGGGGGTGGTATCTTTTTTAGATAGTTTCTGTGGTCTGAAAAGTCGAATAGTCGGAATTTTTTAGCGATAATAATTAATTGTTGTAATGAAATACAGTTTGCCTCTTTCACTTCTCTCGCAAGTGCCAACAATAACACTATTGAAAGATATTGACAATGAGAATACCATATTAAATTGTACAAAACCGTGGCGCGTGATCAGCGGTGCGTTTGAAGACGGAGTATTACCCGTGCGGCCGCTCATGTTCCACGAAAATGTGAGGTGCTCCGAAGGCTCTGGTCCACATTATTGTAAGAAAACAGGTAATAATATCGGTATTTATTAATCGTTTAATTGCGCTCGACTATCGCACTTTTCGGAAATGATAATTTTGTAAGGCGGAAACAACAAGTTTTAAATTTTTTGCGAAAATGTTGCGGGGGCGACCCCTCCCACCCGAGTGTCTGCCCCTGCCTAAAACATACCATGAGTCCCACTTCATATGCTTACTCTAACCATTTGCCTACAGTTTTCCTAGATGTGGTGGGCATGGGGTTTGTATCCAAGATCCCTAGAGGTGGTGGGCATGGGGCTTATATTTAAATACATCCGAATGTAGCAAGAATAGGGGGTTCGTATTTATTCTGGTTTTCCTTCCAACAGGTCGCAGAATCGAAGATGCTTTTCTGGAAGTTCCGAAAGTCTTTACCAACGCTGCGCAGTTTAAAAGATTTGCATTGTCTAGGAAAGGTTTATCGCTCAGTATGCTTGAAGTCGAAAACATAAAGGACAATGCAAGATCTGTTGAAGAAAGGAATCTACAAATGTTGACTCAGTGGAAATACAAGAATGGTGAGTATTGATGGTTTAACCTAATGTCTAATATTTAGCCCAGGGGTGTTGATAACTGTGCATTGTGCAACATTTTTTGACGGCGGGCCAAACAAAATATTCTCACGATTTTATTTATTTAACATTTTAGCAGGACACGAGTTTTTTGAAATTTTACGTTTTCACACAATTTATTAATCAGCTTTGGTAAAAGTTCTCCAACGACTAGGTATATAATTTTCATCAGTCCGCTGACCCTTATATCTGATTTTGGTGATTTCCATTTTGAATAAAAATTGTTCACAGCAGTGAGTGAGAAAGGCACGGAACGAGTAGTGGCCTCTGTTGCTGTTGCTCTAGCTAGAAGATGGTTTGATCAAGATTATACAAAATACCCCGGCAGCACAAACTCATGTTTTTTGTATGAATTATATTATTGACGTGACTGTCTGATTTAAACATAGAAGAATGCTCACCATTGATCGAAAACTTCATTCCACACAGGTGAATCAGCAACAACTGAAAAAATCTGGCAACTGGTAGATGGTTTTCTGAATGAAGATGGATCTGAACAAGGTAACTTCTGGGTCTATACATATTATAGATTAGTTATACATGACAATAAATATACTGAAAGTCAAGTAAGATTGCAATTTAATTAACAACAAACACAACTTGTATGAAGGTGCTTTCCGTAGGCAAACCCCTGATTGAATGTAACTTTTTTTAAAACATGGGTAACCTTGAAATATTGCTATGTAGTTTGAACATTATTTCTGAACAGATTCTCCTCATCCAACAACACTCGCGCAATCTGTGAAAGAGGAGAGAGTGTCTAATGTTCCACTCGGTGCATCTCTATCTCAATCAGCCGATCAACTCCCAAAGTCAGAAGGGACACCTGGAGGTGAAGGTAGGATTGAGTATCGTATTTCAAGAACCATAGGGGGCACCGGGTTAATAAAGTGCTTAGATTGAGGTTTTGTTCATACAAAAGGCGCACATATATTGTTCATATATTAGAGTAAAGGCAATGCTGAATAATATTAAAAAATTAGATTATGATTTTTCAAAAAACGATAAAACAATTATTATAATGTTGCATCCTCAATTTTTGTTCAGTTGCACGATGTGAAGAATCAAAAAGAGTGTCCACTGTTCCATCACCTCAACTTGGTGCATCTCCATTTGGTTCCCGATCATCTGAACCGCTTGTGGATCAACGAGGGGCAACTGGAGGAGAAGGTAGTTTTTTGCAGAGATATAGGACTGAATCATTGAGGAACCTAAAGTGAAATAAGGCAAAACTGAAATATCTGAAAAAAATTGATTATATGTGAATTTATCTTACATACATAGGATACATATATAGTGTAGTCTTACATACCAAGTTCTGGATACAAAGTTTAAATCTTAGTCTTGAATCAAGCCGAGTCATTTCTTTAGTATGACGAAATCATAATCATTAAATCTGAAGTCAATTTCAGTCACTAGTGAGTCTGAGTCATGAACAACAAAGTAATGTGTATATATGAGTCTCATTGAAAAGTTTAGAAAAACAACTCTATTTATAAAATCGGAAAGTATAAATTAACATAGTAAATCGTGTTTCATCGAAATTTTCTCTTAATCAAGGACTCATTAAAGTCCTCTCTAAGTCAAGTCTCTAGGTCATTTAGACGAGTTCAAGTTATGTGGAATAACTGCTGAAATATTTATTCTAACCCAAAGGTTACTTGTTATTTATAAATGATTTTTTTTTCCTTTTATAGCTGCAAGTGGCTCTGGAAGTATGACACCCTCTGGCGCACATGAACATCAGGGAACATCCGCTACCGGTAATATTATCAAGAGTTTTGCATTGGTTTCCAAGCATGCAGTCGTTTATTATAACTTTATCATTCGGTTCCTGCACTTTATTGCAGAACAAGGCAGTGGCTAATAACTTTTACCACGAATCCCACTCCATATGATTACTCTAACCATTTACCTAATGTTTTATATCTATCCTATCCCTGAACATACCATGAATCCCAACTTCATATGCTTACTCTAACCATTTTCCTGAGGTTTTATATCTATCCTAACCCAGAACATACCATGAATCCTACTTCATATGCTTACTCTAACCATTTACCTAAAGTTTTATATCTATCCTAACCCAGAACATACCATGAATCCCACTTCATATTCTTACTCTAACCATTTTCCTGAGGTTTTATATCTATACTAACCCAGAACATACCATGAGTCCTACTTCATATGCTTACTCTGACCATTTTCCTGAGGTTTTATATCTATCCCAACCCAGAACATCCCATGAATCCCACTTCATATGCTTACTCTAACCATTTGCCAAAGTTTTATATCTATCCCAACCCAGAACATACCATGAATCCCACTTCCTATGCTTACTCTAACCATTTGCCTAAAGTTTTATATCTATCCTAACCCAGAACATACCATGAATCCCACTTCCTATGCTTACTCTAACCATTTGCCTAAAGTTTTATATCTATCCTAACCCAGAACATACCATGAATCCCACTTCATATGCTTACTCTAACCATTTGCCAAAGTTTTATATCTATCCCAACCCAGAACATACCATGAATCCCACTTCCTATGCTTACTCTAACCATTTGCCTGAAGTTTTATATCTATACTAACCCAGGACATACTATGAATTCCATTTTGTATGCTTACTCTCTAAACCATTTGCCCAAAGTTTTATATCTATCCTAACCCAGAACATACCATGAATCCCACTTCATATGCTTACTCTAACCATTTGCCCAAAGTTTTATATCTATCCCAACCCAGAACATACCATGAATCCCACTTCCTATGCTTACTCTAACCATTTTCCTGAGGTTTTATATCTATCCTAACCCAGAACATACCATGAATCCCACTTCATATGCTTACTCTAACCATTTGCCCAAAGTTTTATATCTATCCTAACCCAGAACATACCATGAATCCCACTTCATATGCTTACTCTAACCATTTTCCTGAGGTTTTATATCTATCCTAACCCAGAACATACCATGAATCCTACTTCATATGCTTATGTGATTATTTTTAAAGATAAAACCTTTCGATAAATTTTCTGTCAATTCTCACATGGTAAAAATTATTTCAGTACAATAAAAATACATAAATAAATACGAAAATTGATCGAATATATTTTATTTACCTTATATATCATCACAAACCAGGAAAAAGTCGCGTTCTCAGCTTTGTTTAATGTTAACACCAAAAATTTTCTACGTCGATTTAAAAGTAATGGATAAAAAGGCAACTCCCGCTCACAACTGACCGTGTTTCGATTACAGTGACGAAATGTTTTTGAAGGTCACAAGAAATTTTTCGATTTTCGATGCCTAGAAAAGCGTTTTTAATTAATTGTTGTAATGAAATACAGTTTGCCTCTTTCACTTCTCTCACAAGTGCCAACAATAACACTATTGAAAGATATTGACAATGAGAATACCATATTAAATTGTACAAAACCGTGGCGCGCATGTTTCACGAAAATGTGAGTTGCTCCGAAGGCTCTGGTCCACATTATTGTAAGAAAACAGGTAATAATATCGGTAATTATTAACCGTTTAATTGCGCTCGACTATCGCACTTTTCGGAAATGATAAATTTGTAAGGCGGAAACAACATGTTTTAAAATTTTTTGCGAAATTATTGCGGGGGTGTCTGCCCCTGCCTAGAACATACCATGAATCCCACTTCATATGCTTACTCTAATCATTTGCCCACAGTTTTCCTAGAGGTGGTGGGCATGGGGCTTATATTTAAATACATCCGAATGTAGCAAGAATAGGGGGTTCGTATTTATTCTAGTTTTCCTTCCAACAGGTCGCAGAATCGAAGATGCTTTTCTGGAAGTTCAGAAAGTCTTTGCCAACGCTGCGCAATTCAAAAGATTTGCATTGTCTAGGAAAGGTTTATCGCTCAGTATGCTTGAAGTCGAAAACATAAAGGACAATGCAAGATATGTTGAAGAAAGGAATCTGCAAATGTTGACTCAGTGGAAATACAAGAATGGTGAGTATTGATAGTTCAACCTAATGTCTAATATTTAGCCCATGGGTGTTGATAACTGTGCATTGTGCAACATTTTTTGACGGCGGGCCAAACAAAATATTCTCACGATTTTATTTATTTAACATTTTAGCAGGACACGCGTTTTTTGAAATTTTACGTTTTTACACAATTTATTAATCAGCTTTGGTAAAAGTTTTAGCAACGCTCCAACGACTAGTTATATAATTTTCATCAATCCGCTGACTTTTATATCTGATTTTGGTGATTTCCATTTTGGATAAAAATTGTTCACAGCAGTGAGTGAGAAAGGCACGGAACGAGTAGTGGCCTCTGTTGCTGTTGCTTTAGCTAGAAGATGGTTTGATCAAGATTATACAAAATACCCGGCAGCACAAACTCATGTTTTTTGTATGAATTATATTATTGACGTGACTGTCTGATTTAAACATAGAAGAATGCTCACCATTGATCGAAAACTTCATTCCACACAGGTGAATCAGCAACAACTGAAAAAATCTGGCAACTGGTAGATGGTTTTCTGAATGAAGATGGATCTGAACAAGGTAACTTCTGGGTCTATACATATTATAGATTAGTTAAACATGACGATAAATATACTGAAAGTCAAGTAAGATTGCAATTTAATTAACAACAAACACAACTTGTATGAAGGTGCTTTCCGTAGGCAAACCCCTGATTGAATGTAACTTTTTTTAAAACATGGGTAACCTTGAAATATTGCTATGTAGTTTGAACATTATTTCTGAACAGATTCTCCTCATCCAACAACACTCTTGCAATCTTTGGAAGAAGAGAGAGTGTCTAATGTTCCACTCGGTGCATCTCTATCTCAATCAGCCGATCAATTTCCAAAGCCACAAGGGACACCTGGAGGTGAAGGTAGCATTGAGTATCGTATTTCAAGAAACCATAGGGGGCACCGAGTTATAAAGCGCACTCTAAAGAAAGTGCTTAGATTGAGGTTTTGTTCTTACATAAGGCGCACATATATGGTTCAAATATATTAGAGTAAAGGCAATGCTGAATAATATTAAAAAATTAGATTATGATTTTTCAAAAAACGATAAAACAATTATTATAATGTTGCATCCTCAATTTTTGTTCAGTTGCACGATGTGAAGAATCAAAAAGAGTGTCCAGTGTTCCATCACCTCAACTTGGTGCATCTCCATTTGGTTCCCGATCATCTGAACCGCTTGTGGATCAACGAGGGGCAACTGGAGGAAAAGGTAGTTTTTTGCAGAGATATAGGACTGAATCTAGGGATGTCCTTATCGTTTCCGTTTTCGTTTCGTTTTCGTTTAGAGCTGTATTCGAATAGTTTTTTCCAATTTCGGTTAATCGTAATTTAACATGTATGAAACTTGCGACGTCGCGCACGATCTTTTTCGGTATTTTTTTTTTCAAAGTACGTTAGTAAGTGCTGAATCGTCCGTCGCGTGAACCATAGTGACCTCTGCTTTCTATCAAGCGTGACGAAACGGGCATGTCTGGGCATGTCCAGACTTGTGCGATTATTGCCGACAATCTGATGTTGACGGTGCAGGCAACCGGTACGGTAGTAGTAGTATTTTATTTCGTCAACAATGTCAAAATCAAAATACAACATACAACATTTCAAAATTAATTTCCAAGGCATTGTGACGAGGCTGTGACAAAGCGACCGTTAGGTCATCGAGTCAGTCACAGCCTTTAAAAAAATATAAAATTACCATTTTTTAAACGAAATTGAGCTGAAGTAGCATACACCGAAAATAAATTAACAAAACTAACACAGAGGAAAACAAAAACAAAACTCAATTGAATATGTTTAAACCATACTATGGGGGATGGCATGTACACAGTATAATTCAAGCCTAACCAACTGGAATAATGGTCTTTTACAGTTAATGTTCTATAGTAGAGTCGTATGTTTCACGAAAAAGGGACTCTAGCTTCGCTTTGAATACTAGTTCGATACATTGAGTGGCATGTAAAATCGTTAGAGTGACTCAGACAGGAAATAAATTACAATAAACTGTGCAGTAATAATTAGAGGTATGACATCATCAAAATTGTCAAATGAAGCCTTGAATTTGAAAATTCTGTAAATACAATCGTGAATTTTAGAGTATCCATTCTTGCTATAATAGTGGTTTTGGTGTTGTTCTGTTGGAAAATAACACAAGAAAACGTTGAAATAAAAATTAATTAACCTCTACTAGACACAAAATCTCGCAAGTTCAAGGTTGTTCAATAGAAATTTTGGCGCATAAAAAAATATTATTTTAGGAGTGTGTTTTAAACATACCGGTATATAACTGAATAGAACTCTATTAAAAACACGGTACAGTATCTCTGTTATGGAAGTGATTAGTTTTTTATTGCGAGTTTATCATAACTGCATAACGCACGGTGGAAGTTTTAAAGGTAAAGATGGGTACGGTGTCGTTTGATTGAATAGCAGTGCAGCAGTACCGTACCGGTAGCCTAATGGAATCGGAGTTTATCTGTGCCAGTAGGCTACGGTACTAGTACAGTCATACGGCACTGTGCCGCACAACATGAACATTATTATGTGTACCAGTTTAGGGTTCAGGTTGTGAGCCATGCACATACTTCAGGAGCTCTAAAAAGGAACTGTGGTCCCTGGAGCTGTAGCCAAAGCCACTGTGATTAAGAATCAGCTTCCCAGCCCTGATTAGAAGCTTGTGATGGCAACAGTATGTTTTCTTTAATTCAGAGAAATAACTTTCTCAGAGAATGCTCCAGTGATTCGCATCAGTTTAGTTTGACAGACTATGTCACATGTTCATTTCACCCACTTATGTTGGGAAATAAAGTTACTGAAACACTTGTGAAGTATAATTTTGGTTCTAGTAATTTAGTTTAAACGATATTCGAAATGTTTTTTCAGAAGCATTCTAGAATAGTTTAGTATTCGGATACGGACATCCCTAACTGAATCATTGAGGAACCTAAAGTGAAATAAGCCAAAAATGAAATATCTGAAAAAAATTGATTATATGTGAATTTATCTTACATACATAGGATACATATATAGTGTAGTCTTACATACCAAGTTCTGGATACAAAGTTTAAATCTTAGTCTTGAATCAAGCCGAGTCATTTCTTTAGTATGACGAAATCCTGATCATTAAATCTGAAGTCAATTTCAGTCACTAGTGAGTCTGAGTCATGAACAACAAGGAAATGTGTATATATGAGTCTCATTGAAAAGTTTAGAAAAACAACTATTTATAAAATCGAAAAGTATAAATTAACATAGTAAATCGTGTTTCATCGAAATTTTCTCTTAATCAAGGACTCATTAAAGTCCTCTCTAAGTCAAGTCTCTAGGTCATTTAGACGAGTTCAAGTTATGTGGAATAACTGCTGAAATATTTATTCTAACCCAAAGGTTACTTGTTATTTATAAATGAATTTTTTTTCCTTTTATAGCTGCAAGTGGCTCTGGAAGTATGACACCCTCTGGCGCACATGAACATCAGGGAACATCTGCTACCGGTAATATTATCAAGAGTTTTGCATTGGTTTCCAAGCATACAGTCGTTTATTATAACTTTATCATTCGGTTCCTGCACTTTATTGCAGAACAAGGCAGTGGCTAATAACCTTACCATGAATCCCACTCCATATGATTACTCTAACCATTTACCTAATGTTTTATATCTATCCCAACCCAGAACATACCATGAGTCCCAACTTCATATGCTTACTCTAACCATTTATCTACAGTTTTATATCAATCCTAACCCAGAACATACTATGAATCCCACTTCATATGCTTACTCTAACCATTTGCCTACAGTTTTATATCTATCCCAACCCAGAACATACCATGAGTCCCAACTTCATATGCTTACTCTAACCATTTATCTACAGTTTTATATCAATCCTATCCCAGAACATACTATGAACCCCACTTCATATGCTTACTCTAACCATTTGCCCAAAGTTTTATATCCATCCTAACCTAGAACCAGGGGCGGACACTTTCCATAATTTTGGGGGGGGGCGAACTTGGATCACCCATCGAAAAACACCGCGCCGTGTATCGTCACATAACAATAACCCGTCGATGTCATTCTTTAAGAATTAGAATCTCATTTGTCCTGTAAAATATTCAGTCCATGACAGCCATGAGATTCTAAAATGTACTTATATATTAATTTAATTGTGTGCAACGTAACTCGCGGTTGCGACTTCTTACGTAAAAATAAAAATATTACCAAACTAAAGTACCACGGCGATATGTGGACATAAAAATATGAGTTAAGCTGCCTGATGTATTTCATTTTGATACGTATTTTTGCAATCTTCCGAACTCGTTATCGCCGTTACAAAAATCTCGATATCTGATATAAAATCCCATATAGTACAATTTTTCCTCATACAATGAAAATAATTATGAAGTATACTAGTAAATCAAGAATACAAAATCACCGCCTCGAAATCCACGCGGAACAGTCGCCGCAATTACGCCACTTGTTAAAAGAGCCGACTTTTTCAACGAAAATTGATTTTTCACTTGTGCAAAGTAATCAATCAAAGACCGATAGGGGCATATTCAAAATGTTTTAATTTATTAATTTAATTGTCTTCAATTTAAACTGCGGTTGAGTCGACAAAACAAGACCCACTCTAAAACACCACGGCAATCTGCGGACATAAAAATGTGTGGCAAACTGCCCGTTTATATATTGTTTTGATCCGTATTTTTGCTATTTTGCGAATTCGATAAATTTGAGATGTACTTGTAACACTGGCTCCGCTCAATCGCAATGTTGTCATTCCGATTATTTTTAAAGATAAAACCTTTCGATAAATTTTCTGTCAATTCTCACGTAGTAAAAATTATTTCAGTACAATAAAAATACATAAATAAATACAAAAATTGATCGAATATAATTTAATTACCTTATATATCATCACAAACCAGGAAAAGTCGCGTTATCAGCTTTGTTTAATGTTAACACCAAAAATTTTCTACGTCGATTTAAAAGTAATGGATAAAAAGGCAACTTCCGCTCACAACTGACCGTGTTTCGATTACAGTGACGAAATGTTTTTGAAGGTCACACGAAATTTTGCGATTTTCGATGCCTAGAAAAGCGTTTTTAGGCTGTCGCGTGCCTCAACAAAACTCATATTGTTTACAGTTTTATTTTTAGTATTTTATATTGTTGCTTTTCAACTTATGGATACCCATTAGAATTCTCGCCGGGTTCATAAGTCCGTGCTTGTACGAAAATAAAATAATTATCATAGTCATCGTGTCATAAATTTGTGATTTAGAGAGGATAAACGTCAACGTAAATTACGACCTAAATAATAGGTCACAATGATGAAAACAATCGACGATTTTAGCAAAAGGCAATTGCACGTGTTATTGACGACTTTTTCAGTTTTCAAAAAAAATCAGAAGGGGGGGGGGGTATCTTTTTTAGATAGTTTCTGTGGTCTGAAAAGTCGAATAGTCGAAATTTTTTAGCGATAATAATTAATTGTTGTAATGAAATACAGTTTGTCTCTTTCACTTCTCTCGCAAGTGCCAACAATAACACTATTGAAAGATATTGGCAATGAGAATACCATATTAAATTGTACAAAACCGTGGCGCGTGATCAGCGGTGCGTTTGAAGACGGAGTATTACCCGTGCGGCCGCTCATGTTCCACGAAAATGTGAGGTGCTCCGAAGGCTCTGGTCCACAATATTGTAAGAAAACAGGTAATAATATCGGTAATTATTAACCGTCCGAACTCGTGATCGAACTGAAATAAGGGAAATTGGAATAAATATTGGTCTAACCCTAACCTGGTACACATACTACGCTTCGGTGTCTGCCATCTTGGTTCACATACTTGCGAAGTACCCAATTTTATTCAATTCCTAATAAACTATTGGATTTACATTTTTAGGTGTTATGAATTTTTAGCAGAACAAGAAAGGAATTTAAGTTAAAACTATGTTAAAAAAAAGGACAGTGGAAGCTTGTCTTGTCAGTGTATATAAAAATTTATTTTTTTTCCATTTATTATTTTTACAGATGTAAACACAGGATTGGATACCCGACAAACAAACTTCTCAAGCATTGTTTTGTATTTCATTATTACTGTATTTATTAGTACTATAATTTTCATTCTTTATCAGCACTATATTTCTAAAATATAAAATAATGCAACTTCAAACAGATGATTTTCAAGCATACTAACATATGTGACTTTCTCTATTTTTCAATTTCTTGGGTATTTTTTATAAGCATTTCATAATTGAATGCTGATAAGCAAAACATAAATGTTTTCATCTCTGCTTCAAAAAAAGCTATAAACCACTTTTAATGAAGATCAGAATGTTTCCTGTTTGATCTATACCCTGCCCGATTTGTACACTTTTAATCAGTGGTTACCGACCTTTTTTGCGTCGCGACCCCCTTTGGATATTTTCTAACATGCCGCGACCCCTTTCACAATATATGCTGAATTTGAATTTGTAGGCCCAATCCATGTGCTTACTCTAACAATTTTACTGAAGTTTTATATCTATCTCAACCCAGAACATACCATGAACCCCACTTCATAATATGCTTACTCTGACCATTTGCCTAAAGTTTTATATCTATCCTAACCCAAAATATATATCGAATACCGCTTCATATGCTTACTCTAACCATTTGCCCAAAGTTTTTTATCTATCCCAACCCAGAACATACCATGAATCCCACTTCCGCGGGGGTCACCAACCCATTTCCCGCGGGCACCAGGTCATCCGCAGGTCTGTTCCAAAATAAGCTTAATAACAGCGCTTATAAGTTAACTACATCAATTACTTTTTGGGACCTCCCGGAGAATGCGCACCAAGATGGCGCACAACCTGAACTCAGGTTGTGTACCAGGTTAGGGTTCAGGTTGTGCGACATCTTGGTGCACATACTTTTAACCCTTTCCGTATACGTACCAACCACAAAAGTCGCTAGATTGCGGTGGGTACGTTGATGTACTCCACTGTTTTATTTAGCAATCGGTCGCAAACTGTTGGTCTAGTTTTTCCGGGTTTCAGTTTATTGATAAGAAGTCTTCTTCGAGATTAACATAAGCGACAGTAAATCTCGCTTTCGTTTACGACGGGAATTTTATTTGCGGCGGAACGAGTGAGTGTTTTTGAAATTTATGCAAATTTCGGTGTTTTTTGGGTGGTAATAGAAGACATATTATCCCTTCCATCTACCAAAGTATTTTGAGTTAGATAACGAAATTGCTACAGCAATATTATGCTATTGTTTGCCAACCACGAAGCGGTAACAGTAAAGGATTTAGCAAATATTTCTATTTTTTATCACGGTTTGAAGTTTCACCTCTCAAGAAAAAAAAATGCCTTTTTTTATCCGGTTTGTGACTCAGACCACCACTTTTAAAAAAACTTTTTTTTTTAATCGCCAATTGCAAGCTCTTTAAATAAGCTTTCCAACGAGCCGTCAGTGGGCAGCAGAGGATCATTAGTTTTTCGTTAGTCGATCGATTAGTTGTGAGGGTACAAATGCATAAAATCGGCGTAGCAAATACGATTATTTAATAAAAAATAAAAATCGCATGGAAAGGGTTAAGGAGAACCACTTTTTGTCATGTTCTTCTTGTATAAATAACACTTATGTCTTATTTGGGAACTGGGAATCACCCCATGTTAATTATTATGGTAACGATCATTCTAACTTTTTAGTGTCTGTTGATTTGTGGAGCAGCAATGACAATAGCAGATTTGTTCGATTTTGGTTTTCTCCTTGTTGAAAACATGATATTCACAATTAGTTAAATGTGTTTGTAAATGTAACATTCGGCAGTGCAGCTGTTAAGTTCATTTCATCTTTAGATTATGCAGGATGTTTGTAAAAAAGTAGGTACATTGTGGAACTGTGGTTTCCGAGGATATCATTGTAGTGATCACTTTAATAAAATCAATTTGGAAAACACTCAGTTTGAAAATGGAAGTGTCATTGCTAGTAATTTATTCGCTACGTTGTGTTAGACGTTAGATTTCCTGAAGAATCCTAAAGTTTATCAGTGTTTTCACTTGACTAAATACCAATAATTATCAATAATTGAAGGTCAATCGAGCAAATAGACTTTTTTAAAAGTGTGCATTGAACTGGTAGCTCTCGGCTTAATCGGTACCCAGAAAGTAGCCCTCTGCCTCGAAAAGGTTGGTGACCCCTGCTTTAACAATTTCACTGGCGTTTTATATCTATCCCAACCAAGAACATACCACAAACTCCATTTGGTATGCTCACTCTGACCATTTGCCTGGAGTTTTATATTTATCCTAACCCAGAACAAACAATGAACCCCACTTCATGTGCTTACTCTAACCATTTACCTAATGTTTTATATCCATCCCAACCAAGAACATACCATGAACCCCACTTCATGTGCTTACTCTAACCATTTGTCTAAAGTTTTATATCTATCCTAACCCAGAACATACTATAAATCCCACTTCATGTGCTTACTCTGACCATTTGCCTAAAGTTTTATATCTATCCTAACTAGGAACATTCATGAATCCTGCTCAATATGCCTATTCTAACAATTTACTATTATTAAAATTTCTGATTTACTTTCTTACGGCAGATTTTCCGACAATTCACGTTGTGCATGAAACTAGCGAATTAAACAATATTTCAAAAAAAAGAATAAATTATAAATAGCAGATTCTCTCAATGAAATAGTAAGCATATTAACTAGCTTTCTTTAATTAATAATCTGACTTCCACAGGCTTAACAATATGATATGACTTCATCAAACAGCGCTAACTAAAGCTCCAAATATACCGGTGCTCAGAAAAAGAACATGTTTATCCTATCTATCTCTTCAATTTGGTCCTAGCCTGCTCACCAGAACACAGGCGCAGCTATACTTCTTCCTTAAGAATAGAGATTTACATATTCAGCCTGCGTGAAAGCAAAGCCGATAATCATATGGCGAACCACTGCCTCTCGTCCAGTTATCGTAAAGGATTAGTATACCCATTAAATTAGCAAATATACTCTGAAAACGAACATGATTATCCTAGGGCAGGCTCGGCGGTCTGGCGCATCTTGCTAAGCGTCAGTAATACGCTCGCCACCGCACCTCTGATTATGTGGGTTCGAATCCCATGCAATAATAGTAGACTTGGTGGTGAAGGAAGCCGTAACCAACCAGCGGTTACGTGAACCACCCAACGACGGCGAGGAGTCCAGCAATCCTCTCGCACATAACCATCCCTGCATGGGATTCGAACCTGCGAACCCACACAGAGTAATTAGAGGTGCGGTGGCGAGCGTATTCCTAACGCTTAGCCCACTGAGCCACATTCGTCACGTCGTGGACTCGGCGGAGGAGGAAACCGTACCGGTAACAGGTGCTGGTATACTCTCTAACGTCTCAATGGGTAAATATGGAAATGCTTAGTTAACAGCAGACTACAGGACTTCGAAACTCGCATGCAAATTAGGCTATATTAAATACTAAGAAATCACTCACCTGATGTTAGCACTCTTGCTCTCTCGATGCAAAACCTTCTTCAAACTAAATCCCTTATACAGAGTATGTGTCGCTAACTTCCAGTCAAATAATAATCCATTTTTTGCACTGCAAAGACTTGATATGAACAATTATTCTTTATATAACAGTTTACTGATTCTCGTTCCAACATTTCTATCCACCACCCACAGCCAGACATAAATAAAATACCGCGCTTCGCAGACGCAATGGCCGCCAAAATTTCAACTATGTCGTCATATTTAAAAGGCACTGAAGCGTGTGAGATGAGGTTTCACCACTGAACTGGAAATACATGGAACGATCTTCTCTTTCATTTTGCGTTGTCGAAGCGCGGGACAATTTGATCGCCGCCATCTTGGCGTTTATGCTTCCAACGTTTCTTCGTGTTGCATCTGGTTTCGGCCAACCAATGACATTAAACAACATGATGCGCAACTCCGGCATTTTTGTCCGAAGATCGTATTCGATAGCACGCTCCAATGCACATACTTGACGAGACGAAAACGAGCGGATGTGTGCTGCTTTCAAGGCGTAGCACGAATGGTGTTCGTGCCTGCTTTGACAGTTGTTGTCGATTTTAATGATATTTTTGAAAGTTGGGGTAAAAAGAAATCGGTAAAAGGTAAGGTGAATACTATTGTTGTATATCACACCCGGGCATCGCACTGTTAAGTACATGTGGGAAAGCCAGCCTTTGTCAAATACTACGAAGTTATTAATTCAGTACGGCACGTAGTTGCCCATTTGCCGAAATTACATATTTACTTACCCCTTATGGTTTCAAATAGTTCATGCACCTCCAGTTAGATTTTTTTAATCAGTGAGGATATATACTCATTGTTGATTGCTGCTCATTGTAACATACTATTACGCATTCACTTTTATTTGCGTATTGAATCAAAGTGTTAACAAGTTCACCTAACATTTCACTCATACCGGTCTATATTGTATAGTCTGATTTCTCAAGTATTTGGAGCCACGAATGCTTGTAATTTTCTGACTAAACCCTTTTATTAGTTGGTTTATATACCAAATTCAGTAAAATATTTTTTAAATAAAACATGAGATATTGGATTTATTAGCTTTTCCATTCTGAATCATATAGACTGCTTTATTTATTCTTAACGAAAATTAATAAATCTCCTCTCTTTCCTCAGATGTGAAAGTTGTGGACAAACCTGTCTAAGCATTGTGAGACTCTTGCAGCACAAGAGGCAATAGCAGAAATAGTAAGTATATCAATTAAGAAATTAAGCCGACATAAAGCAAAACTTTCAACTATTCGTCTAATCTCAATTTCCTATTATTTATTCACAGGACAACTATAGCAGACGGGGAGATATCCGAAGTCTGGCGACATATCAGTGACAGTGTGATTCCAAGAAATATAATGCAATTGAAAATTGCAATAGGAAAACAACCTATGGAGGCATGCAAAGACATTTGACCCTCCGGTAGAGTTGTGTATGGCCCCCACATCCTGCAGGGCTTGAGGAAAATAACTAAAAATTCCAAAGTGTAAGATTGCATAAGCGGTCTTATCTGTAAAAAGGCACAAAACACGCCAGACATACTTAAAACAGCTTTGGAAATGAGGATTACGGGTACCTCACTGCACCTGTGTTATATTTGGTTCACCAACTTTTGGTAGTACTATAGAAGAAATTCCGGAAGGGGTATAATCATCATTCATGATAAAATACTATCATATATTTTTTGAACAACTTCAATCTAGACCAGGGATCTCAAACTCGCGGCCCCAGAGAACTTCCAGTGCGGCCCTCGAACGCTTAACAATAATTGTAATAGTATTTTTGAAGTTTTTTTTTTTTATCTAAATGTAATAGATTTTTCAAACCTTCTAAAGTGAAATTGATTATTCACACAGAAAACAATTTACTGAAAGTAGTTTAGGAATATTAATTTTTTTGTCCACATTTTGACCCAATTAAGAATACACATCAAGCTAGCAAAAGAATACTTGAATAAAACACTTGAGTAATTAAATTAAACGCAAAGTACATGAAGAAGGTGGCATTTTCGAAGAAAATGGGAGTTGTAACATTTCCGCTCTTCACAAAATTCTGAAGCACATTGTTTAATTTGTCATATTTCCGTCAATACAATCAAAAAACACAATAAGCTCAGCAGTCAATATGACAAATTCGAAGACCAACTTCGAACAGAAAATTTCCATGTGTTTGTATATTAATATAATTATACAACGACTTAGTTACTAAAAATCAATATCAATAATAATTCAAGCAATCCTATGCCACGCAATGTAGTGCGAAATGTCTTGTCGAAAAAATCTGTCATTTGTTTTTTTACTGATCAATACATGAAATGATAAAAGTAACTTTTCTGCATTACTGGAATTAATTAAACATTCGTAAAGATCCAGATAAACCCATGATCATGTGGCCTCGTTAGTTAGAGTTGGTACTATAAAATCATTTCAGACTGGCCTTAGTATGCTGGTGACACAAAAAAGATGCCAAACGCCAGGACAAATGTAATTATTAAAACATTGAGTTTATACTGTAGTATTTTGTTAATTTTAGGTTCATATATTTAGATTAAGTTATTTTTAGTGTATGTATTATTCTTTCCTTATTCAAAGCTTGTTCAAAAATGATTTTGATGGTTGTACATAGAATTTTACGATTTTTTATAATAAATACTGTAACTTGCAAATGTTGCAATAATAGTGGAATGCAAATATTAATATGTAATTGCATTTGAAATTGAAGAAAATAATAAAACTTAATATAACTGTTTAGTTGCATCACAATATATGTCACAAACTAAAACTATCTTAAAAATATCTTTTAAGTATACATTATCAAAAACTGTTTGCGGCTCTTTTTACAATTTTCAAAATGCAATGCGGCTCTCGAAAACCCATGAGTTTGACACCACTGATCTATTCTAGACGATTCAAGCATTGCTTTGGGAAATTATATCACTTCAATTAAATTGAAATAATCTTGCTATATTAAATACAAAATCGTTGCTATCGTAAAGGTAAACCAATTCAGCCACTCGAAATATATTGGCCTTCACAAAGCAATGGAGGCAAAATTGAGAGTTCATGAGCTATGAACATTTGTTCTTTTCTTCGTCTTGAACTTTCCATACTCCACAGCCCCTATTAATTTTATTTTAATTATCATGTGATGGTCATACATACCTTTAACTTGTATTTTCTGTCATGATGTATTATCTCAATGTGCCAAACTATTAATTAGTGTGCATATTTTGCTTCCAGATGACATAAATGTATTGTCATGTTTATTACCTCAGCTTGGAGTATTGACAAGAAAAAGGTGCCAGTAAATTAGGTAAAAAAATTTTCAACTCATTGTTATAATCAGAATTCACAATCAATAGAAAGTATAAACAGCCAACAATCAGTGAGAATTATATGCGAAATCCCTCAGAGTAAATTTGTCTAAAATCGGAGGAAGGCAAAGAATATAGGTAGTTTCCATCCACACAAGCATTTCAAGAAGACTTGCTCGAGCCAAACTAAATGAGCATCGTCAGGTGATCGGTAAGGCTGCAAGTTGAATTCAGCCCTGCAACCTCCTGCATAGAAGATAATATTAATTAGTGGGCTATGAGCTAAATTCCTAAATTTAAACAAACCTATCTACGATGCATTATGTACCAGCAATGTTACCTACGATTAACTGAATATGTAATATGTCTAATAAATTCACCTACAAAAGCAAGTTCGATAGGTGCAAACTTTGTGTTATGGAATTGTATCGCAGCACAGTTTTGTATGACACCCTCTTTAAATGAAATTTCAATGAACGCAAACATTAAAATTACCAACTTTGAACTTTGTCATTATCTGCAAAATGTTCCACACAAATCTTTCCGCTATCGCGTTTGTAATCTTCTCTGATAAAAAAAACGTCTATGATGTCCAGAATTGCTCTTTACAGCTTGCCTGTTACTCCAGCTTTCCAAGTAAGCAAAACTTCTTAGATATAGAGATTATTTTGTTTCGTTACCGGCGCAAAAAGGCAGGTACTACACGTAAAAACGACGCCGAGTAGCAAAAGCGAGCGGAAAACGGACGCGAAAGGCGACGAGAAATATGTGCATTGGAGCGTATCATGAAATACAATGTTTTGCCTGTAGTCTTATGGAGTGACGTCAGAGTTGCCTATCATGTTGTTTAATGTCATTGGGCCAACCAACAAAACACAAAACAACAACAAAGTGACAAACAAAATACAGAGGACCTGGAGGACGGGCATAACTCAATAAAAAAGTTAAATACGTACACAAGTACGTGCCCGTCCCCCCAAAACAAGCAAAACACAATAAAACAAAAACACGATGTAACATCGGGCAATATCTTATAAATTCAAATTGAAATGTGAGACGTGTATGTGCTTTTCCTATGTAGATATGTGGATTAAAGAACACTCGCTGACAAAAAATGATGATGTTGTAGGCCTACTTCAATTATATTGCAAAAATAACACAGTAACAATTATTTTTTTACTAAAAAACAAGCTTGGTAAATGGATTGGATGTTCCATAGCAGTCTATGCACAAATCATGAATTGGGGTATTTGGTTCTTTTGTCGTTTTCGGTTATTTCACTTTAAAATCATTGTATCCGTTTCAATGCTTCCAACATTAATATCGAATTTCCACGAACGACCACCATTCAGCCATTCCAACAGGTGCAGTGATCCCATCTTTTCTACGCTCTGTTCCATCATACACGACTAGATTCATAAAAGGATCGAAACCTCGCAATATACCCGTAACGAATCGTCCACCATTTAACTTTAAATCCAATCTTTTATCCATAAACTCTCTAATTTTAGTGGATGGGCTTTGCTCATGTTGATATTGCGCGATACAGATTACAGATACAGAAACATACAACGCGTAGCATTCACTAGGTAACCTACGACTTTCGCAAATTTATAAAACTGCCAAAAATAGCACCGTATGGTGGGCTGGGATATACTAGCGTTTGATACATAGGGACACACGAATCAATTTCAGGAGAATATGGGAGAAAAATCGACGCAAATGATTGATTTCTGTCAAATCCCAAGAGAAATGCATTACGCTCCTCGCAAAAGTTGGAAGTCTATCGTCAAAACGAGAGAGCCTTCAATTGGTTCCACGAAAACGAGAGAGAAGCACTCTATTTATATATCTCTGTGGGTTTCACTACCGGTACTTAATATCGTATGTGACCGCTATGAGCACGGTATTATTCTATTTGCTAATTGCTATAAGAAAATGAAAGATTTTGCGATTGGGCAAAATAGAAGATGTCTTTGATTTATTCAAGCAGACCTTGATGCGAGGTTATTGTAGGTTCCGTTGCTTGCGGTCGCTTGTACTAACCTTATTACGTGACCACGGAAGGGGTTTTAAGTTAGGATAAGATTTACATATTCATCCCGGGGGAGAGGAAAGTCGATAAGACGGCTTAATCTTATGGTGAACATTCCTACTGATCTATCGTAAGAAGAACAGCGTATAACAACGCAAATTCTTTATGTTCGATTTTTTAAAAGTAGTGTTAGCCCATAACGCGAGAGTCCACAGTCTACAATAGCAATCGCCAAACGAACTAATATTATGTCAGAGCCCTAATCAGGAATTTTTTTTACAATATTTTGGAAGCGGGACTTCAAAAGGTTAGAACTAATATAGGCAACAAAGAAAATAAATCATCAGCCTGATCCTATTTAAAATTTCATATTATCGCTACATTTTTCATTTCGTACTTCCGGGATCTGAAGATAATCGTTGTTCACCAGATACGACTCATTCCACACCTGGAATAATATATTTGCCTTGAATCTGTGGGATAAAAATGAGAAATTGTGTGTTTGTGTTGAGTTTTATCCTATTTCTTTGCTAATGTTAATTACAATGAAAAAATTCACCACAAATGGGAGCGTAGGTAAAAAGTAGGTAGTAAAGAGAAATAATCAGTAGTCATAACTAGATTAGGTGACAAATCTTTCCTCTAGCAGTCTAGGCTTTGCTGGGCTGTGGAGATTTTCTCTTAGCTGTGGCGCTGCTTGCAGTGAAGGCAAACGGCTATGGCTCACGTAGTGTATGCGGAATCTCCGCCCGGATTTATCGAGGAAATAAAATACGAAGAAATGAAATTGGGGAACGTGAGTATTCCGGTTTGGTAAATTAAAAATTGTGCGATTGAGGAATGGGTAGAATTTTTTGTAGCCTATTTTATCAAGCAGGTAGGGTGGTGTAGCCCAGTGGTTCCCAAACTTTTTTGACCATCGCCCCCCTACACTAGTTTACACAACTTCATCGGCCCCCGGCACTACAAAAAAATGTAAAGTCAGAAACGAATATATTACAGACCAAATAAGAAGACAAATCATAGTTTATGGTGTTTTTTAATGATATGGATGAGCTTGGTGTTCTTCAGCGAGTTTTTTTATTATATCTGAAATTACCCAGTTTACTGGTGAAAAGGCGATTTCATTGTTTTGATAGCAATAGTAGCACGGCTCAAAAAACCCTTTTCACCATAATAATAGGTCGGAAATGAAAGAATCCAGGGTTCTACCTCCTCATAAACCGCCGTGTGCTCTTGCCTTATAGCAAGCATTTCACTCCCTAAATTCACCCCATTTCACATTAAAATAATGAAAACAAAGTTAATTTTCCCAAAGTTATAATAATGATTTTCGTACATCTCATCATTCCTACAGCCTGATGACCTGCACCAAAATACCCGATTCCTCATCCTCCCACGGCCTCCAGTCCGATCACCAGTCCATAGAATTAATCAGCTATTTGTTTTTGGATTTATGGACTCGGATGTGGAAGAAGCTGTGACCGACTATCGACTACGGCCCAGGGGTCGGCAAATTTTATGTCGCTCGCGAGACAAAATTTAGGGTTGCTAGTCTTTTGCGGGTCGCATATATTTTCTAAAAAGTAAAAACGGAAGAGCGCATGAAAATTGCGACAATTCGTGAACTCAACTTAATCATCTTATTAAAAAATTATTACAATGACCTTTAATGTGACACTGTCTTGTTGCTGCATCACGCTTGGTAGCTTTACGACGCCAAGATTGGAACATTTTCTAAATGGGCTAATCCCAGTTTTTTGCTTGTTCTTTGTAATGTCCATTTTCGAAAATAATTGTTCGCACAAATATGTACTTCCGAACACCTAAGTGAATATTCCCGCATGGTTTGTGAAATTTTAATAAAGATTTTCTTCAAGAAGGTACCTTCTTACAAAAATTACGCAGTGATGAATCTCTCGAAAAGAATATGAATTTTATTTCCGTATAGCATTGCAATATATTCGAATATTTACTGCGCTATTGAACCCTTGCCCTCAACATCAACTTTTTTTTCTTTGTGTTTTCATTTGTCTAATTATAATTAAATTGTAGGCTCGTTAAACGAGTAGTTAGCTGTTCAATAGAATTTTCAGGATATAATAAAATTTAGTCTAAACGTGTCTCACGATAAATTCTGTTACGTGAGAAAATGTAATTTACCCCTCGAGCGTAGATTATAAATAAAATAAATTCATCGTCAAAACCGCCGTTTGGATGTTTACCCGGGCATAGACTTCCTTGTTTACATCGTGACATTGGCCAATCAGCAAAATGCAAAAATAAACGTAACAATACCCCCTTTCGCATCCGCTCAGACACACTCACTCAGACAGACTTTCAGGCGTGGTCGTGAACATTTCTCATTTTCCCGTTTTTGGATTATAATCGTTAGTTTTTAGTTGTTTTCCGGAAATTTAAATATAAATCATATACGTCAATGGTTACTTTGTCTTCCTATGAGTTTCAGTTTAAATACAGTAATCAAAAATTAGATTAGAAATAGCTGTGATAGACTAGGTTAAAATTCTTTATCGGTACTTTTAAAAAACAGATTGTTGAATGATATGAATTATGATGATAGTTTGAAACAAATACCCCATTCTACACAGGCGACAACTCGCGAAACCGTTCTTAAAATAAGAAAATTTTAAAATGGTAAAGTATAGGAAGAATTTTCCGCGGTCAAAGGTCGGGGAAAGGTCCATTCAGTGAATCGTCTCGGGCCAGATTATTTTACTCAGGCCATATTTTGCCGACCACTGGGATACGCAAACTATCGTACCTTACTGCGGAGACGAGTCCAGCAATCTTTTCGCGTGTGATAATCGACCACGAGATTCAAGCCTGTGAATGCATACAGAGTACAGAATTAAGTGCACTGTGCGCCGAGCAAAAACAGGTTTCGCGAAATCGCCCCCTTCGACTTTTTCGCCCCCCTCTGTATCGTTTTCGCCCCCCTCTGTATCGTTTTCGCCCACCGGGGGGCGATATCGCCCACTTTGGGAATCACTGGTGTAGCCAGTCTGCGGATGATTTAATTCCAACAGCTATAAAACAAAAACCAATATTTCTAACCTGTCAATTTTTCCACCGTAGGTGCATTTGAATTTATATTACGCTAAACCTCGAATTCACTTCCTACGACCAGGGGTTAGAGCTATACAAACCACCAAAGTACGAAACTCGGAAGACGTATTTGCGACTGTACGACCAGTGTGCGACCACGGATTTCAAGCCTTGAACATCGTTTCTGCTGCATCGAGACTAGAGCATACGCAGCTTCAGAGCATACTGGGCTTCTAATTGCATTTGTGACTCATATATTTTAAGAACACCGTTATTTCAAACAAAACTCGTCAGATTATAAGCAAAGCACCGCATCACAGCAATCAAACAGACAAAAACACGGTGGTCGCCTATTGGTCGACAAAGATATTATCGGCGCATTGGAAATGCGCACCCCCCTATTCCCCCTCCTTTAAATGTGGAAACGCGAAACTTCAAAGATGGGGAAAAGGAAAACACCTCTACCCATCTGCCAAGTTTCATCCTTCTGTCTCTTATATTTGTATGGATTTTCAAGTTTTTTTAAAGAGACAATGGGTAGTTGGCGACATGAAAAAATGGTCCGTTTTTTTTTTTTTTGATTGTAACTTTTTTGTGGTATTTTGCAGAGCTATGAGGGATAAGTGGACGATAACGCGTGAGAAATATCGTGGCGGTTCGTTAATTATTTCGGCATTAATTTATTCGATGAAGTTGATGGGCTCAAATAGGTCGTGGCCGCAAAGTGGCTAAGCCACCCTATCACTGTTCAATCCATATTTATTATAGATGTTCTGTTACCTTTTTATTGAGTACTTTATAACTAATAGTAATTATTACATTACTTCTAATAAAATAAAGCTAAAAGCGAATAGTTTACTATGCCAAATACTGAAATACATTCTGTAATATGTTGTTTCTAAGAAATGGCAAAAAATTTGCACATCTGATGTGAATTCATAATATTTAAATATTGAAATGCAGAATTTTAAGAATTGTTTTAATTAATTTTCTCTTATAACAGTGTTGAAAACTGAACAAAGTTTATATTTTTCTGGCGTCAAACGTTAAATGCTCAAAGAAAAAAGTTTCAATGAATAGCCTATATTCTAAATCATTTTGGAGTAAGATTTAAAGTATTATTCACAGTGGAGCACAGTTCTCCGATTCCAAGATGTTCCGAAATTTGGGTCAATAAAATAAACACCATATATGTCTCTGAAGTGAGAATGTCTGGCACGAGGGCAAAGGTTTCAGATCGTGCCAAGCATGCCTCGGTAATTATTTAAATCAATCACGGCGTGATAAAAAAAATTTTCTCAAGTAAATTAGTTTATTTTTCCGAGAAATCCAATGGTAACTTTTTTAGAATGCGCTTTCTTTTAGTTTATTGCGCAGTGCCAGTTTGTGATTTTGATTCGATATGGAGGCCAAGCCTGTCTCGTAAAGGAAGGGTTTGCACTCGCTGTTGTGATTTATATCTTTCAATGTGGGGGCTATTCTTGTACTTGTAGAACTGTGCCCTACTGATTCAAAATTAAATATTTGAATATTCATTTGACGTTCATTTCTGATTTTAATTATTCTATCCATTTTGGCGTCCATCTCTAATCATCTTCATTCTTACTTTTCAGACGATTGGCAAAGGAGCTTTCGGCGTAGTTTATGAAGCTGTTTATCGCCAACATCCTGTCGCTGTAAAGAAGATTGAATCTGAAAACGAACGTCGAGCCTTTATTACAGAACTGAGACAGCTCTCAAGGTGGTTTATATTGTTATGATAATATTTGTGATATGTTGTATGTTGTATAATTTTTCATTAACTGCTTTGATGTGGCAAGCTTATTCAGCACTTCACTATTGATATGAAAAACAGTATGAACAAAATATACCTAATGCACATTGATAGTAAGAAATTACCAGATATCCTCACATATAAGCCGGCCCTCTGAAACGGTAAATTTATAAAAATTTGCATTTAAGCCAACCCTACAAATTGTAACACGCCTTATCACATATAATGGTTGCAGAAGAAAATTGATGAAAATGATAATCATCATTGTTATGTTTCACTTTTATTAAAAAAGTGTCTCAAAATCCTTCAAATTTATCCTCAAAATCACTGTCAAACTCTGCAAAGACCCTTTAGTGTGATAAGTGTTGCGCGTACAAGCCAAATTTTTAGTGCGGACAGAGTCAGCGTGTATAAGCAGCCCTGTCAAGTTTGGCAACTTTTTCAAACTCCTAAATGTGAGGAATAGCAGTAGGCTTGTTTCATTGTGATTCTGACTATTCCCAGCCCTAATTGAATTATTATTTCCAGAGTTTCACATCCTAATATCATTCGTCTGTATGGTGCCTGCAGTAACCCTGTGTCTCTTGTTATGGAACTGGCGGAATGTGGATCTCTGTATGACTGTAAGTAAAGTAGATATAAATTGGCAATTCAAGTATTTGGGATTGACTGTGTTCGATGGGATTTATATTTTTTGAATTTGAAAAAAAATTAAACATTTTTATTTGAAAAATCAACATTTTAATAATTGGAATATGCCAGATAGACTTGAGCCAGGGGTGGGCAATACCTTCCTGAGTGGGCCAGTTACAGATAATGACTTTCTTAATGGGCAGGAGGCACAAAACTTAATATGAAAAACTACGAATAAAAATAGGTTTATTTACAACAGCTAGTCCAACAGCTATATGCTAACGTTTATATAATGTAACAATCAAGTTGAATATGATGATATTTTCACTGGTAATTTATATCCATATGAACTATAGTCATAATTTCAGCAAGTGGCCAGATGAAACACTTTGGTGGGCGGGTCTGGCCAGAGAACCGTAATTTGCCCACCCTTGGACTAAGCAATCTATATACATAAGCAAAGAGTTGTAAAGTAATAAGATGATAATGATTATATTAGTGTTTTAGCTTTTTTAACGGTGGGTTTGAATCTATGGGCTTCCACAGACACAATTGATCTTTTTTACATGCACATAGATCAATCTAATACCTGTTACTGTGACGCTAATACTTTTACCTTTGACCTTATCCCAGCTTGCGAAGTTTTCAATTGCCCTGCTAAAAGTTTCTTTGCTGTTTTTACAGAAAATTTTGACATTTGGCATCTTATCTCATGCATTCCAATACCTGGTTAAACCTCTTTTTTAATACCTGTTAACCCACTGCAGATAAGTGTTTATTTGCAACTTATTAACACATAGTTTTATTCACTTCATATTGACTTTTTGTGGTTCTTTTTGTCACTTGCCTTGGACAAATGAATGCTCTCACAAATATGAAACGCATAATTATGCCCAATAAAGTGCATTCATGGTAAAGTGCATTCATAAATAACCAATTCATGTTTAGGGATGTTCAATTTTTATTTGCAACCAATTGAATTCTACCTTTTATTTTAGGAAGAATTTGAAACATTTTTTTATAAAAAGAAAATTTTCATTGCAAAAAGTATGTTTGGCACCTCTATATAAACTAGCAAAATTCTTTACTTTTCAGTGCTGCATGGGGCAGGGCCTCTCCCCCACTACACCGGGGGCCATGGGATGAGTTGGTGTTTACAATGTGCAAAAGGTGTTGCTTATCTTCATAATATGAAACCAAAAGCTCTGATACATAGAGACCTGAAACCCCCAAAGTAAGATTATTTTTTTTATTTCTTCGAGTGATGACGATGAATAAAGTGCTGTAAAGTTCGAGAATTACTGATTTAGGCCGCATACTCCAACTTGAGCAAATCCTTTCAAACAGCTTTAAATCTTTATTTTTTATCAGTTTACTTCTGACGAACCAAGGACTCGTTCTGAAGATCTGTGACTTTGGCACTGCCTGTGACATTCACACACAGATGACTAATAACAAGGTAGGGATTCATGTATTTTCATTATGAGATGGGTTTTGTGTTTATCCCCATTGTGAGGGAAATATGAGAGGAAGCCTAGTCATAGTAATCTGTGCGCAACTGGTAATAAGCAAGCGATGTTGTCAGCTTTCCAGTTTCACGTCGTAACCAAACCAATAACAATCTACCATAAAGTCTTAAAATTTGCTCAGAGCTGAGTCACTTTTACTTTGGAGTGAGCGAGTGTAACTTTGTCTAGAGATGAGTCTTCTTTACCTCTGAGTGAGTGCCTGTAACTTTGCTCAGAGATGAGTCTCCTTTACTTCTGAGTGAGTGCCCGTAACTTTGCTCAGAGATGAGTCTCCTTCACTTCTGAGTGAGTGCCTGTAACTTTGCTCAGAGATGTGTCTCCTTAATTTCTGAGTGAGGGCCCATAATTTCATTCATAAAAAATTAAAAGTAGCAAACCATTCTTTTGCACAGGGTTCAGCGGCATGGATGGCTCCTGAAGTATTTGAAGGATGTCAATACAGTGAGAGATGTGATGTCTTCAGCTGGGGAATCATACTCTGGGAGGTAGAATTTGGATTTTGCTCTTTTTTGTGCCGCAGTTTGAATAAGTATACGGAGAGTTTAAGAGTCGTTTTCTAAGCTTCACTTCAAACAATGCAATGTACATTCAGCAACTGGAAATGAGAATTTATTAGTTTTATAAGGACCAAAATCTTACTAGTTCTGCTCTGCCAACGTGTAAAATCGGGTGCACTAACTACTCTGATATTGTGCCCATGGTTATGATATATTCTTCCTCTTAAGTTTTTTTTAATATACAACATTGTTGACAGGTCTTAACTCGAAGAAAACCATTTGATGAGTTGGGAGGTCCAGCATTTCGCATCATGTGGGCAGTTCATACCGGTACGAGGCCGCCATTAATACAGGGATGCCCAAAACCTATTGAGGAGCTAATGACAAGGTGGGTGCGAGTTTGCTATAAATTTTCACAAAACTTCAACAAGCATTAGGTTTACTATGTGGTCCTGACAACAGTCTAACAATAAAGGTTTGAATATTTTAATGTGTTTGTCACCAAAGTTTGATTTTCTCCGAGTCAAGTTCAAGAGTCAAGTTCAAGAGAAGATATTTTTTCTCAAGTCTTGGTTGATGGTAAATTATCTTTGACACCACATCCCTGCTCTAGTAAACCATGGAAAACATTTTATGTAGAATCCATTTTTCAGGATTTTTAGGTACAGAAATCAAAATATCTGGCTACAAGACGTTTTCCATATTATTCAGCTTTAGTTGAGTCTTTTTTTCAAATTCAATGAAAACCTAATATTATTTCTTGTTCCAGATGTTGGTCAAAAAATCCGAGTTCCCGTCCAAGTATGAATGATGTTGTATATGCAATGACAGAATTGATGCCGTATTTCCGTGGTTCCGATGTTCCCCTTGTATTTCCACAATACTCTGACAGTGATGAAGAGTCTGATTATTATGAAACCGGCAGTGACAGGTGAACACTGAATATTTCTGTATATAATTTGATCTCATATTTATCTCAGGGGACAATTTGTTGAAATTGTTGGGTGAAATTTGTTGGGTGCCACTGCGCTATGCCGACTTGCCCACAAATATTAGCATTTTTATTTAAATGTGCTCAGTGCCATGTGACAAACTGTCTATTCTACATTCCATGTTTCTTGTACTGCTGGATATGGACCTGTGTCACAAGGATGCTTAATAAGATAAAGAAAAATAACTCAATACCTATTCCCATACCCGACATGGATTGGTAACCGGACAAGAGGCTGTGGTTCGCCATATGATTACGCTGTCTTATCTTCCCTCTTTCCAAGGATAATTATGTAAATCCTATTTTACTAACACTAAGCAGTCCAATAAAGGTTCGATACAACATTTATTATGTGGAATCCTGCAATTTTGTCGACTACATCTTGTTCAACTAACCTGTTGGGCAGGTAATTTTGCTCTGCTTTATTTAATTTATGTCTTTAATATTCAGAGGGTATGGGACAACATACAGTACAATCAGCGACACCCTGAGGAAGACACACATTACAAATCCTAACATGACCAATCATGATAGACCACCAATGGTGACATCACAATCTGTGCCTAACATACAAAGACAGGTGAGATGAATGAATTTTCATTTTGGATATAAAAAAAGCTGATATAACTTAATCATATTGCCACAGCAAAACCTAAGTAGCCTATGTCACATTTTTCAGAAATTGGCTTTTTTAATCTTCTGTCATGATGGACCAGGGACCACCTTTTGGTCTAAGTTTCAAAGCTACACCTGTTTTAGTTTTTATTTTAGGCAGTGCTTTCTGTCCATTTTCGTGTTTGGCTGTACAGTTCTGGAAATTACAAAAGTTTGATTTATTTAAAACCTTGAAAATGTTCAAAATAAATTAAATTTTTTTTACCTTTTTATTTTAATTCTCCGACTTTTTTGGAAAATAATAATATTGAGCAGTTGAAGTCTCCCAGTATGACAGAAAAGCATTTATCCTGTCCTGAAGCCCTAAGAATACAGGGAACTGTTTATTCTAACTTTCCTGCATTTCCAAATTTGAACTCATTGATTATGCACTGACTACCATGTGCCCTTTGTTGGACATGACCTCATTCAGAATCTATTCAGGCTGCCTTCGATTGCGATAAAAAATGAAATAATTGTAAAATGTTTTCAAATCGAAACATGGACGACGGCGCTAGCATATGTACATCATATTCGGTATTCTTTTGAACACGAAAAACAATATTCTGAGGTCGCGATATTCGAATATTAAATTCGATTTGAACATCCCTGTATTAAATTAACCTAGAACGAACGAATATCACTACACACATTTTCTAACTTTTCCCTTTTTCGGCCTTTTGTGGAAAAATCTTAGGTTAATCGAAGCAATATTTTTACGAAAGCAATTTTTGTAAGTTGGATTTTTCGTATCCATAGTCTTTCATAGGTAGAGTTTACATTGTATTATCAAGAATGCATTGGTATTAATAGATTATGGTTATCTCTGCTCGATTATTAATAATTTTAAATTAAAAAATATTTCCAGGAGCAATTGGCATCATCAGGATCCCCTCTACCAGACCCCACACGTAAGATCTGTTTTATGTGTTTTCCTCAATAGATATACATCAAACTTTACCCTGAATGAAGGGGCAACCACTGTATCTCACTGGTTACTAAGGACTGGGATCATTATTAATTAAACACGGGGTGAAGTGGTGGGCTTTGTTTTTAAACCAAAGGTTTGATTTTATTCACAGTGTTTCCCATGGAACAATCTCTCAACTTTGCTTTTTACACCCCTGACACTGAGACATAAGGAGTTTATTTTGGAAGGACTTAAATTTATTTGGTTCAGAATTGCCTCCCTAGTTTATTACATCATGGGTGAGGTGGTGGGTAAAGGTGTTAAAAACAACAAGCTAACTTACATTGTACACAATTGATACACTTTTTGACCTTAATGGTTTGCATTCTCTGCTGTCTGTTTGGCGCTCTCGTAGTATGTGAACCAAGATAGCGGACACTGAAATGTAGTATGTGTACCAGGTCGGAGTTAGGCCATAATTTTATTCCAATTTTCCTTATTTTAGTTCTATTATGAGTTTGGAGACTAGCCAAGTGACTCCTGTTGTATTTGTTTCTGAAATCATGACCTAACATGGTACACATACTACGTTCCAGTGTCTGGCATCTTGGTTCACATACTACGAAGTACAGTCTCTTTTGGCACCAAATCCTGGATTAACTGGTTCGGACATCCTAATGGCCTCTTAGTATAAATATGGAGTATGAGGCCTGAATATGGGTGAAGATTTGCTGTGAAGTGATATGCGTAACTACAAATCGGTCATGGCTCTCTCCATCTAAGTTTGAAACAAACCAACTGGTTAATTACTTGTTCTCATAACCATCGAATTATTTTTTCATATTTATAATTTTGTAACAAATATCTACCATTCTCAGCTCATAATGTAATTACTAATAACAATTTGAAGTTACAACGTAAATTATATATTTAAAAGGTAAGGTTTAATCTGAAATTTGAAACCTCCAGAGCTGACATGAGCATACTACGGCCCGCAGGCCAAACCAGGCCCGTTGAGTAATTCAAACTGCCCTGCCTGATGCTGCTACAGCCAAACTGAAACCAAATTTTGATATTTTAGCTGAAAGTTAACTCAAGGGATTTGTTGAGATTGCGATTGAATTTAGTTTTGGCATGAGGCTTATAGTTTTCCATTTTTGCTTTTGTATCACTGTCAATATTGTTCATAAAATGTAACTTTTTGATTCACATTTACATGGCCTGCAGGCAATGTTGCCTCTAATTATTTGTAGTATGTGTGCGCAGAAATTTTGGTGTGTGCGCATTTTTTTGGAAATGACTAATATTTGTGCAAAAACCAATGAAGAAATTTTGGCGTTCTAACCGGGTAATTGGTGGGCTAACAACAAACTTTCTCAATCTGCCAACCGAGAACATTGTTACATTACATCGAAATACGTCTGTGCGCAGTAAATCTATGCGTGTGCGCAGCCTCTGAAAGCTGTGTGCGCGCGCACACTTTAGAGGGAACACTGCCTGCAGGTCAAGTGGGCAACATTTTTGGCCCATGATCCAAAAACTTTACCCACCCCTGCAATAGAGTCAGAACTGGAGCCCAGTTTTGAGGTAAAAAATGAAGCTTTGGAGCCTGAGACTCGGTCGAATATACTGTGGCCACAGAGTTGGGGAGGAGCCATTGTGCTTTCTAACCAAGTCCCAATCCCTGCCTGCAACCGGACAAAATATGCTCCATCTTATGCCCTCTTGCATGATGATGAAATATATTTTTTTTTGTAATTCATGAAGCTCACCATAGATCCTTCTCATATGGCAACCTACTGACAGTTCCAACCGAGACTTATGGAGGTATTCTGCATGAAGTTACCATGCAATAATAATTGTCTGCTTGAAAATCAGATGCGATAATTATATGTAATTGAGCTTTTGTGAATGCGCGAACTCTGAGCAATGCCTGTAGATTTTAGAAAATTTCTGATTATGAGGAAACTCAAAAACTGACTTGCACTCACTGCTAAGTCTTGGGATTTCCAATGGACTCGGAGACACCCACGTTCTGATGGGTGTTTCTTTGTTCTTTGTAATTTATTTGACTTTCAGCCTTCAGCTTTTGACAGTGTAAAAGTAACTGAGGAGTTAAGAGGCGGTCGAACACTTATCCATTTTTTAAGTGAAGAGTGTAAAACACTCAATATTTGAAATTGATGCTTTCAATATCATTTGATATTGACAGCGGTTGTGGGTGAAGCTTGAGACTCTTTCTGAGTTTTTTTTTGGGTTTATTTATTTTTAGTTTTTTTTATTTATTCGACTTCTCAGCCAATCGTCTTCAAGTGCCACACCCTCATATAGTTGGGCGTCGTCGTACAAAGTCTTCTAATGCTCTTCTCCCCAGTGAAACACCTATGAGCCCTCTAGTGGTAGCACAGCTGTCCATACCAGGTGCTGTATCATACAGAAGGGGGCACAGGAGAGTGGCTTCGTATGGGAATGAACTGACAGTTCCCAATCCTGAAGGTATCAATGGTTTTCGTGGACGTAGAGAATCGTAGACAGGATTGCTAAAACGATTTGAATACATTCAAAATTAGATATATTAGATGTAATAAGTTCTTGATATTAGGAAATATTCATAATATTTTCATCTTCATCATTTGCCATTTGATATTCTGATGAAAATTATACTTCATGCTACTTCTAACAATGTAGAAAATAAAAAGTCAAACTATTTTGCATTATTTTATGAGTTCTATGAATTTCAAAAAATAGTGTCATATTATTGTTAGTTAGCAGTGGCTGTATGATTATTTCAAATTTTTTTTTCAAATATGACCCAATTTTTAACAAATACCAAATGATGAGAATGAAAATATTATAATTTATTCCCAAAATCAAAAATTGATTTCATGAAATATATCCAATTTTGAAAATGTATTTGGATTTGGGTTTGGTCATTCCCTGACAGTAAGGTAGAAAGTTTTTATGTCAAAGTAACCGACTAAAATAACATGTGTTATCTCACAATAGCATGCTTGATGGTTTGAAAAATTTGGGAGTGAAGATAGCCTAGTTCAGGGTTTATTAAACTTGGCCCATGGCGAACGTATGAGGCAGCAGGCAAATGTTTTCACGAGGTACAATTTGCCACAACTGTGTTCCGCAGGCCAATTACGGCACAAGTAACAATTTTATATGGCCCGTCGAGTGAAACTTCATTTTTCAGTTTGCGTTCTAAATACTGCCAATTGTAAGTCATTATCACAGTTTAAGAATGTGTGTATTCACAAAAATCCAAATATACCAGTATCCCAATTATACTAACATTAGCAGTAGTGTATAGATCTTTGTATTACATGTTTAAAATGACAATTTTAAAACTGTTTCTTAATTAAATCTAAAATAGTGTTTATATACATAGTTTAATTGAAATCTCTTTGAAATAGCAATAACTTCATTGGGTATTTCCATGATTTTGATAAACTTCATTGTTTGAATTCAGTAAATTCTTAATTTGGCATTGAGCCACAGGATTGTCTTCTAGTTCAGTGGTTCTCAAACTTTTTAGGCCGTGCCCCTTTTTTATAATTTGTCAAGTCTTGCGCCCCACCTCAAAAATAACTAGCTAACAATAAGCTACAAATAACTTATATTAGGACGAAAGTGTGTTCTATTCAAAAAACAAGTTGAAAATACATGGAACGTAAATATCCAAAATAAAAAATGTAATACAAGATAAGGCAGGCAAGATCGAACCTAACAAATATTTTCAACAAATTTTTTAATCAGCTTCATACCGCCTCAAAAATTTTTCCACACCCCCTGTTGGAGCGCGGCACATCGTTTGAGAGCCACTGTTCAAGTTCATAGCAAAACTGATGTTTTTCTGATGAATTAAGACTTTTGTAATTTCAATTATTGCTTACTCCTAATTTCCTTGGGTAATTCTAATATTTTGATGTAATTCAACAATTTCTCAAATTTGTAATTTTGGTTTTCTGGTATTTAAATGCTTGAAATGACAATTTCGAGAACTGTTAATTGTATTTAGTTCACTGTAAAACCATATTTTTAGATAAAATTGGAAGTTTTTCTTAAATTAGAACTTCTTACCCTCAACTTTAATTATCACTTACACCAATTTTGTCTAGTTTTCCAATTTTCTATTTTAAAAACTTAAATTTACCTCTTAGCTGCAGGAGTAGATTGTGGTAAATACTAAAACAATTTTTTTTAAATAATTTAGAACTAGATCTTAACATAGGGCTAGGTTTTCGATCATTTTTCACAATTTATCCAGAACTAAGTTTTCTACTACGGGATTGTCACCGGGTATATTCATGTTGAAGATAAATAAACAACACAACAAGTATTAGTAAAACGATTCAGTTTGCGAATGTTTTCAGATTAGATTTCAACCCTTTCCTAGCTGTATAACTTCACTAGTGTCCTTTCCATATGATTCTCTGATGACGTTTTTTTGTAAACAAATTTGGAACGTCACAAATTACATCGTTTTGCTAACAACTGTTGTGTTTTTTATCCTCAACAGGGATATACCTGGCGGCACTCACACGTCTAAGTTTTCTGTTGTTTAATGCATGAAACTTATTCATTCCAGCTCTGAGCTACGGGAATAAATATTCAACAAAGCGTCGTTCATCCTCGGACCTCATCGCAGAGATTGAGAAGTCACCTATTGAGAGAGTTTCCCCGTCTCCTGTTACATCAAGATCTGCCAGTCCTGCAAGGTAGGTGAAAGCTGAGATGTGGAGAAGTCTACGAACTGATAGTGCATACTTTCTAGAGCCTTTTCCATGTTGAATGATTTACCAAAAGCCGGCAACTCTTTAGCAGAGCAGTTCCCAACTGGGGGCCACAGAGCAGTTGAAGGGGCCACAATGCTAGGTGCGAAACAGATTTCACTTCTGTATTAACAAAATAAACTCTTGGTTCTCCCTAGTTTCATTTCTTGACAAGGTTATTTCACAGGATGTTTACACTTTGTTGAGGATGAATTGTTTGAACATAATGCAGTTTGGATTCTGCCAATAAAAATGAATCTATGAATTACTAACCCAATGGCAAACAAGGGTTTCTGTAGGGGGCGGGCCATCAGCCATACAAGGTTGTAAACGAAACAACTGCCACATAATTATTTTTACAGAATACAAGATTTATTTTTTCCTAATGCACTACCTGTCTTAGCTAGTGAATGATTTAGATGGCTTGCTAACCTACGATGGGCTGGGTATGATTAGGCTGTTCTATGCGACACAAGAGACCTGTAGGCTAACACTAATGCAGTGCTTCCCAACCTTTTTCAGTTCGTGGTCCCCTTTTATTACCACTATTTTTGTTGTTACCCACAATGAGATGTTAACATATGAGCGAAGAAACAATGTATTCCCCACGCAATTCACTATTAATGAGAAACTTGAGCTTGGATATTATCAGATCAAGTCAAGGCTTATTATGAGATAAGCTCACACGCAACTTAGCATTTAAGGGGGTCTGCTTTCATTTCAGTATGCCCCTACATGTTCATTTCGTTCCTTACCTTCGCTTAAGTTGAAGCTACAGCTGTGGACCTGACACAACATATGATTCTTAATTGTTACATTGTTTCATAATTGTTCTGTAATGATAATGCAACAATTTGCCCGATCTAATCGAAAACTGTATGTAACATTTGGAAATGCTTCGCGAGTTGGGAAGCACTGCACTAAGAGATAGTAATCCTATATACTTTTATATGGTGGCGAAGAACCCCATTACAGATAATAATCTTCACAGGATTTGAACCTGCAAGCCCACACAGGGAAATCTCACTGTTGCGATTGAAGGCATCTTCCCAAAGCTTACTCACTATGCCAATACAGAGATAATAGATGTAATGGTAATTAGGTTACTGTGTACATTGGCATTACAGGCTTAATTAAATCCATGCCTACCACCGTCTATCAGGGTATAAAAATTTTGTTAGGCAAGCTGAATGGAAAGTATCTCCATATTTATGAGTGTCTGCTTTGAGAGAGCGTTTTAAGGAGCATTACGTCCCTTTACACAACTTGATGTAAAGTAGGCGAACAAATTAGTTACCTCCATATTGGTACACATACTTTTGGAGCACCAAAAAAAGTAGCCCTATATTTGTTAGTGCCTGCTCGCAGAGAGCGTTTTAAGAAGCGTAATAAAAAAACATGAGTGAATCATTTTTCAGACCTCGGGCTTCAACGTCTTCTCCACTGATTACACCGGCCATCCATACTCCAGATTCTACAGCAAGTGTTACGACTTTACCCCCACCTGCGAAGCCGTTGATCGTTCCCTCCCCAATCGCCAGGAATTCCCCTCTTCTCATACACGACGAAGAACCAGGTTACGACGATTATGATTATGCAAACGATTGCACGTCTCCGAGTAAGAGCATGGTTCTGTTTGTTTTGTTTTTATGCTAATATTTGTGGTGGATGGGGATTTTTGGGGAGATATTTAGCAACTGGGGTTTCATGCGACCACTGAACTCTAAAAAGTTAAAATTTATACATAACTTGTTTTATAACTTTTTTTTATACTTTTGCTCTAAACAAGTCATTAGGCAAGCAACCCGCAGTACAACTCAACTTTTTTAGTTTCGAGACAAGGGAAATTTTAAAACCAATTTTGAGGACCGGTAGAATTTTAAAACCAATTTTGCGGACTGATGAGCCGTCAAAATAAACCCAAAATGTCAAAAACACATACTGTAATTGTACAATTCAACAGCAGACAATTCAATTTATTAGCAGCTGTCTTTTTGATATCATTTGTGTTAAACGCGGTCGTAATAGTTTTTACAAGGCGAAGTAGAGGTTGACTTCCACACGATTTCTCTGTTTCGTCATGATGTGAAATAGCGAGGAAAAGCCAGATGCGATGTTCACCGTTTTGGCGTCATAGACTCCAGCCATTCAGGGTTTGAAATGGGCGTAGGACCTCTGACCAAGTTAGGTTGGTACTCCCGAAGTATGTTAACCAAGATGGCGGACACCATTGGAATATATTTGGAGGACCATCAGGAATGTTGAAACGGAAACTAATATATATGACAACCCACCACAAATTTTAGCATAATATTTATGTTCATTACATTGCATGTTGCAAAGCTATCCTGTGTTTGGTTAATTCACTGCTTTGTTCATTTGTTGTGTCGTGTTGTTCTTGTTTTTCAAATGCTTATCCATTGGTCGAAGTAGGTAAAGGTGATCATCTACAGCTGCACATTCCAAACTCACATAATCTCTCGGCTCGACGGTGCGACGCATCGTGCCGAGCCTCAGGAATAAGCTTGCTGCCACATCTCTGATTACTCTGCATGGGTTCTCAGATTCAAATCTCATTCGAGGATAATTATGTGTGAGAGGATTGCTGGGCTCGTCGCTGTAGGGTGGTTCGCACTTCATCTGCCATCAAGTCTATGCATCTGAAAAGAGATAATTAGCTAACTAATCCCATACCAGACATGGACTCATAAGCAAACGAGAGGCCGTGGTTCACTATATGACTAAGCCGATTTAAACTTTCCTCTCTCCCCAGGATAAATATGTAAATTCTATCCTATCTCTCAGAATTAGTTTTCGTTTTGTTTTCATCAATGTTTCGTTTGCATGCTTTCAGGCTGTTGATTGTTGTTTTTGCACTTAAATTGATTTTTTGTGTTGGATTGCCGACCAACTTTTTTTTTTTATGGTGCTCGTTTGCACTTTTTGCGCGAAACAAAGCACTATACAAACTGATATCTGATGTGTGAAGATCTACTATTTTCGAAAGTACTGAGAATCTTTTCGTTTCGGTATTACCTACCCAATCTATTGCACTCTGGGTAAGGGGGGGAAACTCAAAATAAGTAATGCTTAAACTACCAATGTGGCGATGAATTATTACCCTCCAGAGGCGTATAGACAAGAATTTTCAAATGAGAGAAGTGTTCTGAAATTTCTAATTGCCAAGTTAGACTGTAACATCCCACGGGTCGGAGGTCAGAAAACGTGCGTTTTCATGAGTCTTGAGTGGCTGAAAAGGGTTTCAAGCTACAAAAAATCGCTATGTATGATACAAAAAATGCTTTTTTTCACATTTTGAAAAGGGGGGGGGGGGTTTCCAACCCCCAACCCCTGGCTGTACGTGCCCCTGTTACTCTTATTGAAATTTCCTAAATAATTTGTGAACCTGGATCTCACCTTTTTAACTTATGACATCGGCTTGTTTTCCCCAAACTGATAACAGTACAAAAAATGGTAAATGTGGGTCTAAAAATTTTTGAAAAAAGCTTGTCTCCTTATTCAACTTTCCCTTCACTTATCCCGGATTAGTAGGTAGTTTAATGGCCAGGCAGACATCTCCATAATATGTCATATCAGCTCTTCTCGCTTTAGGATAATTATACAAAGTTATATCCCAACTAATATGACCATTACTTTTCACAGAAGATCCAAACAAAAGCAATTCCTTGCCGATGTCATATCTTGCATTGGAACTCCATCTACAACCGTTGCCTCCAACCACCTCCAGTTCGGAATCCATGGAGATTTATGAGCAGCATTGTAGACTGGCTGAAGAGTATTTACGAGTCCAGGTAGGGTTGGGATTAAATATTATGATTTAATTTTGCTTATAAGAGTAGTTTTTGCTCCATGATTTTAGGATTACTTGTTAGATGTTGAAATGCTTCTAGTTGGAGGAGATATCTATGACAAAAGGAATAATTCTGGGATATTGAAAAAATATTCACAGGGAATATTTTCACTTCTCTGGATTGATTAATTAAAAATAATCTCAGGGCAGTGGTGTGCAACCTGCGGCCCATGGGCCAAATGCGGCACACAAAGAAAAATTGGTGGCTCGCAGAGGAGTGCCAATTTGGAATGGCGTGCAAAAAATATACTTAGAATTGCTAGCCCTTCCATTCAAGCAAATTTAGAAAAGGTAGTCAGGGGGGAAAAGAAATCGACTGCAAAGTTTTCACTGAATTCGTTTGAGGTCTGTGTGACAATAAATTTTAACAGCAGTTTTCTTCAGAAATTTCTGCATCTTATCTCATCATTTCCTCAAGGACCCCTAATAACACCATAAGATCAATAACAAAATAAAAAACAATTTTTGTGCCTACTAGAAAGCCTAAATTAATAAAGGTGTAGCTCGCGGTTTCATCCAGTGATTTTTATCTGGCCCTCCTGCAATGAAGATTGCACACCCCTGTCCTAGGAAGTTATACGGGGCAATAAATTTTGTGTTAGAACTGTTTCGTTTTCTGAGAAAGTGTTGTGGAGTTCATTGTTGTGACAGGCAGTTCAAATTACTTAACCAATTTATCACACCATGTGAGGTGGTGGCTTTGCTTGTATCAGTGAAAAGTTCGTCGGTCTCGTAGTATGTGAACCAAGATGGCGGACACCGGAACATAGTATGTGTACCAGGTTATGGTTAGGTCATAATTTTATTCCAATTTTCCTTATTTTAGTTCTATTGTGAGTCGGGGACTAGCCAAGTGACTCATATAGTATTTGTACCTGAAATTATGGCCTAACCTGGTACACATACTACGTTCCGGTGTCCGCCATCTTGGTTCACATACTACAGGAATACCAAAAGTTTTATCATCTATCGGGGGGAAAGAGGTGAAAATCAGTTTCATACCCAGGAAAAATAAGTCTAATTTTTGCCAAATTTTTAGCTCTTTAGCTTCGAATGTGGGTCTGAACGAATCCAATCATTCATAAATTTTTATCTTAATCCAGACTGAGATTATGTTCCTTCAAAACCGGAAAGAACTTCTGACAAATGAGCTTGAAAAGGAAGAAAAACACAAAGTCGAAGGAAGCAAATTAGTGGAGGAATATCAACAGTTGTTAAAACAAAACCAGGAACTGACTCAGCTCACAACAAAAATGAAAAAGGAGGTTGAGAAAGCTCGAATGAAACAAAAAATGTGATTTTAAAATGTCAAAATTCAATCCTTCGATACAAGAATCTTAACTACCTGGGATTGAATATTCTTGGATTTGAAAAGCTTTTATGAATCAAATTTTTTTAACTTTTAAGTGTTCAAATTATCCGCCCAGCTGTTATGATATCCGCCGTTGATTGTCATTATTAACCAATGTGAAACCAATATGTGCTACTCAAGGTTGGCCACACTTCCAAGTCCCAACAACAGAAGTATAAAGCTTACAAGGCACGCGAGGGTGCTTACATGGGCCAAACCAAAGAAATAAAATGTAACCTATAAATGCATGTTAGAATATTAAAACATTTGATTCTTGAATCAAATGAAATATATTCGAGTCTTTCTAATGACTACGTTAACTCTTACAATTCTGCTCCAATTAACTCCCAATTCTGTAGGTAAACAGACATTGAAAAGGTAGGTCATAATCTAATAATATAAGAAAAGCAAGAGACTGTCACCGAAAACTCTTTGAGATGTCCACTCCTGACTCTTTTTGACTCCTATCACGACCCGACCATCACTTAATTGTTGCAAATTTGTATTATATATTGGTTGTAAATTCTGAATTTTGCATTCAACTATGATAGATTATAATTCCAACCCTCAAGAATTGGTGCAAGATTTTTGAAGCGTTATTTCAAGTTTGAAAACTGCAACATTAAAATTTTCTATTAGCTTTGTTTGCACTTTTCTTTTTAGTATAATTGCCTATTACTGGTGACCAAACTTACTTCAGTCTCATTCCTACTTTTTGTGCTAAAAATATCTCAGCATAGGGAACCGACATTCGAAGAAACTCTTATTCTGTAACTTACATAAATCATAAAACAGCGTTTTTAAACTTTCCTGTTTTTTGGGCTCAGTTATACTCTTATAGAAGAAACTTTCACTTTTTTTTCACGCTGAAATAAAAATTTCAATTAGTTTGACATTATGTATGCTGACAGTGCTGATTTTCGATATGGTGCAGGAATAAGCTACCACCCCCGTCCTAGATATATTATAGCTTTTGATTTTTCAATGGTTCACCACATGATTTAAGTCGTCTCATCAACTTTCTCCCCTCGTAGGATGAACATTTAGAATCCATATTTCACCATGGTGTTATTTTATTTTTTTTTGATATGCTAACGCACTTAACATTACTAATTTTCATTGCTTTTAATTTGTGACTTTTTGTATTAATGCATAAGTGCTTACTGTCTATGCTTGTTAGTTAGTTGTTGGAACTGGTTTTTATATTAATTTTCGGGGCTCCCGAAGTATGCGAACCAAGATGGCGGACATCGGAATGTAATATGTGTACTAGGTTAGGGTTAGGCCATAATTTTAGGTATAAATACTACGGGAGGCTCTTGGCTAGTCTTCGAACTGATAATAGGACTAAAATAAGGAAAATTGGAAAAAAATTATTGCCAAACCCTAACCTGTTACCCATGTTACGCTCCGATGTCCGCCATCTTGGTTCGCATACCTCGGGAGCACCTAATTTTTTTACCCAAACCAGGAGTTGTGACCAGTGGTGGGATTCAAATTTTTTGTCAGCCGGTTCCATCAAAAAAGTCATATTTTTTGGCCGGTTCTGTTACATGTTTTATTAGTAATTCTAACCGGTTCGCTGATCTCATAAAATCCCGAGAGACGATTCTATAGAGCCGGTGCGAACCGTCTGAATCCCACTACTGGTTGTAACCAGACGAGGGTCGTATGCCAAGTTATTAGCTGTTTCATGGATTTTTCTTTTGTCGGATAGAATATTGAAAAAAAGACGTGTGGATTTGTTTTTCAAAGAAAGTTTTAAGAAAATCTCTGATTAATGTTTCTGCAGTGTCCAGTTCAAATAAGGAATCGAATAAAATTTTACTGAAACGCATAATCTCGATCCACATTAGACAAGCTTTTGACTGCAATATACATTGTTTCAATTCATGTATAAAAGAACTTTCTATGTTGTGGAGATGAGTCTAAATGAGCTGTAAATTCTTTTTCCGAGAGAATTTTGATGAAACTTTCATTTCATTATATGAAACGGATTCTGCCCCTCAAAATGTTATTTTCTTTGAATTGTTTGTTATCTCTTCGGAGATCTTGCCCCAGGATTTTTTCGTGTTATTTTGTGCTGATGACATATCATTGTGCATAGAAAATCTTTCCATTTCTGTATTTTATTCTCTTTCATGTTCTTAAATCTAATGCTTTTTTAAATTGCTGTAATAAAATGAAAAAAAAAATGTAGATTACCACAGCTTCAAATAAAATTTTAAAATATTGAGGAAATTTTGACTCGAATGTGTCATAAATACATTATATAGCATAGGGCTGGGAATTTCAAATAGAATAATAAATTATTCGAATCGGTCCGGGCTGAAATTTTATATTTTATTTGGACGCACAAAAGTCGAGGTGAATTCCTCATTGTTTTTTTTAATGAAGCCACATTTTTCTACAATGTAATTTTCGCATTTGAGTCTTGTGTGAATGATCATCAAACTGTCTGAGTGACCAATATATTTTTTTATTAATTTATGTGCTTGGACTCATCACAATAAAAGAGTACAACATATTCGAGATTTGATTCTATTCTGGAATCAATAAGTATTTGAAAACGCACGGCCCTATCGTTTACAAGCCATCTTCAATTAATTATATGATGAAAATGCTTGGTTAATTGTATGATTTCTGACCAAATTTGGAGATTTTATGACGTTCACGTTCTTGTGCACATATTAATGGAAAGATTAGTATTATTTCTTATTAGTGCAGCATTTTTGCTCCGATGTGATGTCTGTTTATAATAGGATAAAAATGAAAATCATATTCCAAAGCCTTTTTTTAATAAGCCAGTAGATTTAAGATCTGACCAAATTGACACATAGAAAAATAATCCTTCTCAGTCTAACCCTTCATCTGGGGTTTAGAACAGTAACGCAAAGTTGAGACAATATCGCTCCAGGTACTTCATTGGTGCCTGCATGGAAAATTGCACACGATGCACATTGTACTGCATACTTTATCCAAAAAATGCATTCTGTGGCACATATACAGATACAGATCATCTGAAATTAATTGGCCAGCATCACATTGTTATGATTCGAAAATTCAAACTCCCTAATTTATGAAGTCTGAAATTTAGAAATTGAATTAAAGTTTTTGGGCGATTGCCGCAAGGTGACGCTCAGCCTAAAAAATCAAGTTCCCAGTAAAAATAATTCGTAAATCTTTGTCTAGATGTAATAATTGAAACAAAAAAAAATTGAAATAAAATGATCAAATTATGCATTGTTGTATTTTATTAAAGCGCACTACGCAACATTTATCAAATTAAAACTTTGATATAATTCAAATTAAATCTACGATATTTACTAGAAGTGCACACTGTCCAAAACATTGCCGCAGGCGATACACGTCATGCAATATCGCTCCACGTCCATATGTAGGCTATACCGTACCTTCTGAGCAGATAACTACGTGGTGTGTATGGTAGTTGCTGTACGCTTTATTAAGTTCGGAACATTCTTACTAAAAGAGTACTGAGGAAAAGGTTATAAGTAGGTACTGATATCCCTACAGCTAGATTTGATCTTGTGTAAGAGGCGTTCTTGAGAACTGAGTACGAGCGGTATTGAAATAAAACTTAAATATTTTTTACATTTGAGCTTGTCCTTATACTTATATTACAGTATTACTAATACTACCGTGCTAGTAAAGTTATGAAGGCCCTGATATTATGTTATAGTCGAGTCTTTTAATTTACTGCTAGGTAATCAAGTTTTTCCTAGTCTTGTGTTTTTTATTGTGTGGGCTCGCAATATTTATTCTTAATTTTGCAGAATACCAGTTGTTACTTCTTAGTTCAGAAGTTGTAATACTTCAGTTCTCAAACTGTAAGTTGAGAGTTTCCGTTTATTGTACCGTGATTAATCATCTGAAGCTTGGCGGCACTAGAAGTTGACTTTAGAACAATAATTTTGGATATTGCTGCTACCGCTTTATAAGTAACGATGAGATCCCTTAAGAAATCATTCAACCAGAAAGAGTCGTCAAAAATGAAGGCGGAGCGTCGAAAAGCCAACAGAAAAGCAATGGACCAACTAGTGACAATCGTGTTACCGACAATTGCAATTCTATTCTTACTGATTTTTCTTTACGTTTTCGTTTATTCGCGCCCGAGTGGAGCCAAACAAGAATTATAATAATGTATTTTGAATTTTATTGAAGGTCTGAAAATTTGTATAAAGAGAAGATTTTTTAGTTTTTACTTTTTGTGAGTCAATTCTTGGTGTATAAACTGTATTATTTTGCCAGAATATAGTCCTCTGGTTTACATTGCCACGATTCTGCGTGAATTTAATTTCAAAGCCACACTAGCAGGCTTATCGATGAAATTGAAAAAGATTTTAAATATTCCAATATCTTCGCTGCAGGTAATTTGAAATTGTGTCGATTTGTATGAAGCTGAATTTGTTATATTTTTCTGTCCATTCCAGTGGTGTTCGAACTGTAATGTTTTGTCGTATTCGGATTACAGCCCTCTAGCTTACACTGCTATGATTCTGCCGAAAACTATTAAAGCATGTATTGGCAAACTCTGAATTATATGGAACTAATATGACTAGTCTCATTAATGAAATGAATTTTCAGGATACACTTTGCAGGCCTGTGTATTGCCTACACACTCATACACTGTCCATTAGTGTCTATTGGACCAATCTATTCAGAAATTGCATCGAATCATTTTTTCATTGACCAAATTTTTTCAATGCTTTCCTGACCAAATTTTTCATTAGCAGTTCTGTATTATATTCAGGGAGGTCGTGTCTGCTTTGAAGTTATTTCTTGCCTTTATTTTTGACTTGACTATTGTACGTGAATATATTTTACAGGAAAATGAATCATAATTTTAGTAAAAAAACTGTTTGCAGGGAAGTGCAATCAAATGATATTGCGAACATTAGCACGGAACTAATTCAGCAACTCGGAACGCCCAAATTTCGAAGCCTAGTTGACCAACTATCCCGTTTTCAAATTTTGATTATGTTGTATTTTGTGTTAAATTACTGGTGTATTGTCCCTTCTGTAAAATAGATTCATCCAAGTTTATATTAAGCTGAATTCCCGGTCTATTGCTCAACATTGTAGCTATGAAATATGCTCCCGCCCTCAAACATGCCCAAAAACTGGATACTGATGCCTCTAGTGGCCTTATTTATTGGAAACTTACATTTTTATTCATACTTGTCTGACTATCTTAGTCAGGTATATAATTTCTTAATAAATCAGTTAATGATGTCAAGATCAATGTCTGCATTGTATGAATGGGAGACCGGGATGAGGTGCATGAAGTCGGAATTATCTGTGTGTCAGAAATGTGCACTCAGTTCACAATTTGGACGAAAATGGGTCAATAGTCTGGGAGTCTGTGTTAGAATATTCAACGAAAGGTTTCATGCAATGAAATGAATGGATCAGATATGAGGATTATGACGCCGCATTGTGCAAAGCATTAGGAATATGCTCGCCACTGCAGCTTTTATTACCCTGCTTGAGTTTGAACATAGGGGATAATTTTGTGTCTCCATAAGGTGGTACACGAATCTTCTGTTCGGATACGGTTTCCTCCACCATAACTCCATATTACTTTCATGACTCATATTTGGAGACTGCCATATGTTTTTTTAAAGACTGTAAGATCTGTAATGAGCTCAATGGTTTGTGTATTGTTGCAAACGCCAAGTATGAATACCATGCGAGATTCCCACTGTTCGGTTCGCCTTCAGTATGAATCAAAGCATTCCAAACTTGCTTCACCGTGTGACCAAGCTGTATCACTTTTCTCTTCCCCGAGAGTAGAGTATAGATCATAAACTTTGTCATATAGTTCCCGCAAAGATGTTTTGCAATAGTTTTCCACTGAATTTGATGTTTTTTCCAGGCCTTGAGCTCACATTTAATGTCAGTGATCAACTTTCGAGTATGACATTGGCATTTCAGTGTTCCCCTTTACTCCAACCTCACTTTCGGAGTGAGTGCAATTGCTTTAAACAAATTTAGACTTTTTCTGTCTGCTGGTAAATGGGCTACAATTAAAAAATGAGCATATTCATTTCCGATGGCTGTTTTAGGTCATACTTAGATTCAAAATATTCTCCCAGGAGGTGACAAAAGATGGGACCTGCAGCTACGCCAGGAGAAAATAACTAGGAGTTTGTGAAACATCTTGGGACAATATGGAATCTGGACATATCTGAAGCAAATACCTGATTGTCTATTTCCTTACCCTGCATGGACTAGTAACTGAACGAGAGACCACCATATGATTAATTGAGCCGTCTTATCATTCCTTCAAGAAAATCCTACTATATTAGCTTTAGCCTTCCTACGAGATTTGAACCCATGCCAAGTTCTGTTTAACACAGCATAGTCAGGCATGTGGTATTCTTAGTCTTTTCAACTGTAGAAGTGATATGATTATGACAATTTTACTACTCAACTGTTTTACTCATATTTTCATAATATTACAAACACTATTTTTCGAAGATTTTTATTCAGTCAATCTATTTTTCCAACAGTGTTGACTTGGACTTAGGATAAGGATTTACATATTCATCCCGGGGGAGAGGAAAGCCGATAAGATGGCTTAACCATATGGTGAACCACGGCCTCTCGTTCGGTTACAATTCCATGTCGGGTATGGGATTAGTTAGTTATTTGTTTTTTGGAAGCATGGACTTGATGGTGGAGGAAGCCGAAACAGACCAGCGGTTACGTGAACCACCCTACGGTGGCGAGGAGTCCAGCAATCCTCTCGCACATAACCATCCCCACATGGGATTTGAACCTACGCAGAGTAATTAGAGGGGCGGTGGCGTGCGTATTCCTAACGCTTAGCACGATGAGCCACACCGCCGCGGCGCCTTCACCAGTATATACACTGGTGCGTTTTGCATCGCCATAATTTTATCTAGTTTCTGGATTTTATCGAGTTTCACCTCTTGGCAGTTCATTTGTCGGCCATAAATTCTCTATCAAATGAGTTTCATTTACTTCTGGATGAGTAATAAGCTTCAAGCTAATTATTCTGGAAAATTCAACAAACTCAACAATGAAAAATTAGGGAAAATACACTTTTCACATTTTACTTTTCCGCCCTTCGCATTGATCAGGCTCTATGTACACACAGAGCAAGCTTGCTCAAAATAAGTTGCATTTCCAGCCAAGTCCAACACTTTTTGTGAAAAGATTGACATGCATGGCACTAGTTTAGGAAATACTGAATATTTCTGGAACGGCATTGTCAGCCAAGTTTATCACCCTTTGGGTGAAGTGGTGAGCGTGGGATTCAAAGAGTTTTTGCTTGTGACACCCGCAGATCACTAAGCCATCATGCAAGTCTGTCTGCTCCATTCCATATGAGAATTCAGTTCATTTCTGTCAATATCTTCCTCTTGGCATCAAACAATATTATACTTGCGGCGACCGCTGTGTTGAGACAGTCTGAACCAACAAACATTGGAACGTTTATCAAACCCATGTAACCTTCGACCTTTCTTTTCCCTGCTTTCGTTGATTCAAGAGCAAACTGACATGCATCAGCGCTCACTCCATGTACTTCACCACCGATGACGACGACAGTGTGTCCCTTTTCATATGTGACATCATAATAAGGTTTTGATTCAAAGATGACATTTTTATAATTATTGATTGTGACATCACTATCCTTGATATTCATATCGGCAGTAAGCTCTTTATAAAATTCAGAGTCTTCTTTAAATCTTCGGAAATCTGTCACAAGTTCAGACAACCGCATGTTTTCTGCACTGTGATGAGATAATTGAACATTTCGTACATCGAATTTTTGCATCGTTTCACCGACTTCATCCCACGTAAGGCTGTGTTCGATAGGAATCTTAAAGTGAGCTCCAGCACCAGCTCGAATAACTTTTGAATCCCAAATATCCACGCAACCTTTAGTTGTTATCACCTATAAAAGGAAAGAAGTAGTTAGATATCAGGCACATTTGTTGTTCCAAGTGACCGACAGACTTCTACAAATCTGGACTCAAATATTATTTCACATGAAAAAGCAAGAAAATTAGCTCAAAGCCAGGCTAGAAACAGTCGCTCAGAATAAAAAATAGAAAATCTCTGAGTGACAGTGCCATAAGCTGCTGGGATTTTAAAATTTATGAAGAATTTTATATCTGAATACATTCTGAAATATCATATCATTTTAAATCGGGATATGGCATTGTTTTCTATGAAATAGATAACTTCGACAGCTAAGTGAGTTTGTAAAGCGATTCTTCAAGATATTGTTAGATATAACTGACTACTTTTATCTGACCTTGTTCGGAGCAAAAGGCACGAATGAGTGTGTTATTACGTCATTATAGAATAGAAATGGCCCAACTTTTGAGCTGGCTTCTTACAGTTATTAGAAGTTTGCCTGTTATTTGCCTGTTTGTCAAATATCTATCAGGGCAAAATCTCATTTTTTTCAAATAATTTTTTTTTAATCTTTAGACTAGCTAAATTGCAGACAGGGAGGCAGAGTCGAAGTTTGGTACCAGAAACACGCAGAAGTCGATTTATATTCATTGACTTTGGAAATGCAGGAAAGGAAAGTTTTATTCAATCGTTTCTCGGTATGTCAAAGCTATTCACCCAATCACACCACACGGTGGCTTGAATGAAAAAGTACTGTCCAATCACCTGTTCACAACCAGCGGCAGCAGCACCTCGTAGTATTGTTCCCATGTTTCCTGCATCCCTTATGTTGTCACAAACCAGTGTTATTGGCAGAAGACTTTCGTCATTCTCATGCAACAATTCATTTCGATGACTAATCACTTTTTTTCTGGTAATCTCATCTTGTTTGCTGGCGATCGCCAAGAGTCCATCTGTTTGGACTTTAACCTGGGCATATTGGAGTTGCCATGGTATTAATGAAAAATATACTAGCAGAATATATATCGATTACGATAGTACGTTATTAATTTTTCGGGTATAAAATTTTCATTTTTGCTCAGAAATTGAATTTCATAACTGTGCATGGAATATCAATTCATTTCCTACAAAAATTCCTTTTTCTCCCCGCATTTGGAACTCATTATAATGATACATACTATAATAAAAATTGGTGGGCAACATGTTATATATGATATTTTGTGTTTTGCAGTCAATTTTCTGAACAAAAAGTAAATACAGGTTGTCCATAAAGCCCCTTTACAATTTCAATTTTGTTATGTGGTCAGTTCACAATATATCCTAACTAGGTTTGTTGTTTTTTATTCAGTAATTGTTAAAGTATTTTTACTTCATTTATTACATCTGCGATGGCCGAAAATAATAAAAAAGGTGTTGATGAATTCCCTTTGCAGTTTTAAAAGATATTAATATTTTATGGATATTTTATATTTATTTTAAGTAACTGTGGTGCGAGTTTATAGGATTTATAAACCTAGCATTGGAGTCAGATTTCCATTTTTAAACTTTTTAGATTTAGATGCAAGCCAGAATATTGAGAGCATTACCGTAATTTTCGATAATATTACTAGGATTCATTTTAAATCTATTCAAAACTTTTCACATTTCACCAACCAATATATTGATTGGAGGCCATCTTTCATTAACCCTAAATTCTGAATTCTCTGGGCATTTCGAATCGTAATAGACTCCAATTCATGCCAAGGAGAACTTTCTGCTGAATGGACTAACAAACGTAACAACCTTTTTATTGATTGGCAATTTGCCCGGAAAATTATTTATAGCACCACAAATAATACCCACCTCTGAAGCTTGTTGTATCTCTTCGAATCCAACTTTGATTAAATTTATCTTCGGCAGAAGATCGGCCGGCAAGCCGACAAGATTCTGCAATCTGCTGAAGTAGAGAGAGCGGACAAACATTCCAGACTTCATGGCATCAGCAATCAGAAACTTTCCTTCCAGTAAACAAGCATTGTGCCTTTCCCTGCACACATTGAAAAAAAAGCAATTTTTTTAACAAAAACAGTAAGCTACGATTCTTTTCACCTCAATGAACCTCTGGGGGTTCACGAACCCCAGGTTCAGAACCCCTGTTTTAGAGTATGTTGTGAAGCCAGTATTTTAAAGTCCTAACAGTAGTTGGAATTTCCAGCTCAAATAGGATTAACATAGCCTTTCCATATGGTGGTGAGGAAGTCATAACTTTTTAGCCACAAAGTCCTTTCATCAGAGTTGGGAATCCGATTTGCAATACAACAGTATGAATTTTTCTGATGAGTCACCAAATTTAAAATATATATTCGAAATTCCAGATTTGAAAGTATTATTGTAGATTGTATGATAGATTATTTTTATAGGACACCTATTCAGGCCTTTTTACTTTAAACAAGGCAATAAACAAGCTTGTGTGTGTGAGGACCACTATGTTTTGCAAGGACCAGAAGAATTCAAAAATGTACCGCTCCATTGACCTTGTCTCACCTGTATGACCTTGACTTCATATTCAACATCAAGTTAGAGAAACTCCCGATTTTCGCCGGATTCGGTTTTGTGAATTTTAGATTCAATATCTCTTGTGGAATGTCACTATAGGTGTTGAATTCTTCATCGAGTTCAGGCTGTTGTACTTCTGTGGTCTCTTTGGGAGGTTCCTTTGAGGGAGAAAATAAGTAGGGTCATATTTTGAAAGTCTTGTGTCATCTGCTGACATATAATTTGATAGTTTCAGTATCTTTTAGTTCAGAGTCTTTAGACTTTTTTCAGAGATCAGTCTCCTTTACTTCTGAGTGAGTGCCGGTAACTTAGCTCAAACATGAGTCATCTTTACTTCTGAGTGAGTGCCTGTAACTTTGCTCAGAGATGAGTCTCCTTTACTTCTGAATGAGTGCCCATAACTTTGCTCAGAGATGAGTCTCCTTTACTTCTGAATGAGTGCCCGTAACTTCACTCAGAGATGAGTCTCCTTTACTTCTGAGTGAGTGCCCGTAACTTTACTCAGCGATGAGTCTCCTTTACTTCTGAGTGAGTGCCTGTAACTTTGCTCAGAGATGAGTCTCCTTTACTTCTGAGTGAGTGCCCGTAACTTTGCTCAGAGATGAGTCTCCTTTACTTCTGAGTGAGTGCCCGTAACTTTGCTCAGAGATGAGTCTCCTTTACTTCTGAGTGAGTGCCCGTAACTTTGCTCAGAGATGAGTCTCCTTTACTTCTGAGTGAGTGCCCGTAACTTTGCTCAGAGATGAGTCTCCTTTACTTCTGAGTGAGTGTCCGTAACTTTGCTCAGAGATGAGTCTTCTTTACTTCTGAGTGAGTGCCAGTAACTTTGCTCAGAGATGAGTCTTCTTTACTTCTGAGTGAGTGCCAGTAACTTTGCTCAGAGATGAGTCTCCTTTACTTCTGGGTGAGTGCCAGTAACTTTGCTCAGAGATGAGTCTCCTTCACTTCTGGGTGAGTGCCAGTAACTTTGCTCAGAGATGAGACTTTTTTATTTCTGAGTGAGTGTTTTTAACTTCGAGCAGAGATGAGTCTCCCCTACTTTTGAGTGAAATTGCTTAAAGAATAGTGATGCTGATATCCTGGAGCGAGTCTTACTGATTCAAAAGTTGAGAAAGCCAAAGTAACCTAGAATCATTGCATCCAACCTACTCTATCTCAATAATGACTCCTAAACCATCAAAAATGAATCAAGCAATACCTGCCAGAATAATCTCATTTAAACAAAGTAATGCCAACGCTGCTATTCAATACTTCATTAACTTAAGGTTGAATTTTACCAAAATCTATGAAAACCTCACCTTTGTTTGTTTTAAATCCTTTTTTCTCCTTTTCTTCAATTTTTCATTTTTAAGATGTTCTTTATATTTATCTTCATTCTCGAACGAGTCTATCATTCGTCGATAAATGTTTCGTCGCAAAATCAAAGCGACAGTGTTTTCATGAATCCCCAAGATGATCTTTCTTCCTATATTAGCTAACATTGTTACTTATCTAGATGAGACAGAAAGTATTTTAATTTAAAGCTTCAACAGACAGGCAATAGAGTGTTTCATTGGACCGTTCGGAAAAATAGCGCCCTGCAGGGCTGTGTAGCTTGAGAAGGATCTACCAGAAAGGTGGAAAGGATTCTTGGTACTCCTGAAGTATGCGCACGAAGATGTCGCACAACCTGAACCCTAACCTGGTACACAACCTGAGTTCAGGTTGTGCGCCATCTTGGTGCGCATACTTCAAGAGGTCCGGATTCTTTTTATTTATCATGGGGGGAGGAGAAGTCAATAAGCTGGCTCAATCCTATGGCAAACCAGGTTACAAATCTGTGAAATTATTTATTCAAAATGCATATATTTCAATAATCCTCTTTAACTCTAACAGACAACTAAACAAGGCTTTCAAGCAAATTTTATGGTATAACTGGAGTCAGATTTGCCCTCAGTTTAAAGTCAAAATCGACTATATCAGATTTTACAAACCATAACATGCACTTCAATTTTTTTTCTCAAAAATCGATAGTGCGTCTAATATATGATCAGGTAGAGCTTTATTGCCTACACCCAAAACCAATATTGGTACTATAGTTTTGTACACAGACCACCATTATATTTTTTCTTTGAATGAAACAAAACAACCATAAAAATTTTGAGTACATTTTTTGTACACCAAGATGGCGCACAACCTGAACATAGTATATGTCTACCAGGTTAGGGTTCAGGTTCTTCGCCATCTGGGTGCACATACTTCAGGAGCGCCCTTTTTTGCCTAATGATCTTTTTACTGTAACCCAGTACTTATTAAAAAACATTGCCTCCTGCGTGGCTTGTGTATGGACCAGTGGTTCCCAAACCAGGTGTCGCGACCCCAAACTGGGTCGGAGTGATGAATAGGTAGGGTCGCAAACAGGTCATGGGGTCGCTGAGGTATGGTAGAGGAAGATCTACAAAACATCTAAGATTTGACAAACCAAGTTAAATTTGGCAGTTCGTACCATGGCTTACTGTAAAACAGGCGTACTGTATTTTTGGGAATTGAATAAAAAAAAATTGAGTATAACTATTATTCAAGTGATGTGGTATGCAAAAATGTAATACAAACAATTTGTTTTTTTCCTGAAATGCGCTCTGACAACCCTTTCGAGCCATGAGTGCCATTTTCAATCAAAACCAACTGGGAGGAGATATCTATACATAAAGATGCCATAGTCGCTACGTACATGCATAATACATACCGGTATATAAAAGCAAGCTATACTTCGTGGCAGAAATAATCGCAAAGCAATCAAAGCCATTCTCACATTGAAAATTCGTTAAGCAATGTATTGTTCGGGTTGCAAATGTTTTAAATAAAAGAGGCTTTGCCAAAATAACCCCTGCTAAAGAAAATGTAGGCGCTTATTGTGACATTACTGTTTGGTTTTAGCTTATTTTACCCAGTACCACCACATGACCAGACTCAAAAGTTCAGTGAAAGAAGCTCTAAAGTTTCATGAAAAATATATATATTGACCTGGGGTCGCACTGGACACTTGGAAGTTGTCTTTGGGGTCGTCCTGAAAAAAGCTTGGGAACCCCTGGTATGGACAAAACCCCAATCTAAGCAATTTGTTGACGGTGCATGGTAGTAAAAAATCTATATGGAATCTTGATCCACAATTCATTATAGTTAGATTCCATGGTATTGGATCCTTCCTACACAAAGTATGCTATGAGCCAAAACCCTTCCAAACAAGCCATTCATACACCAGGCACTATCATACATTACTAGGAATATGAGAAGCCTTTGTATAATCATCATGACCGACAATATATTCACGAAATCTTACGTTTAAAATCCAAGAGTTTGTTTATGAAATGTTTTTACTTTGAATAAGGCTACAGGTATTTTTAATAATATTTATCCTGTGCAGGAGAGAAATAAAATGGTGCATTTCATCATGATGCAAACCGAGGCCTTTCATCCAGTTATCAGTCCATGCTGGGTATGGGAATAAACGAACATTTATTCCAGTGAAATTCAACAATTCCCCTTATATATCAAAAAATTGATTATACACCCCGAAACTGGCAAAAAAACACAAGATTTTCAAGTTTTTGAAAAAATTATATTGCAGTGAAGGAACATTGTGACATAACAATAATATTATTTTATAAAATGTGCCATGAACAATAAAATACTATTTATGATATAACAATGAAAATACAATGGAATTAATACATTTAAAATTACAAAATAGGGATACATTCATCAAAAACCGATCACACAAGAAAGATTTACAATTTCAAACAATGCCTCCAACCTTGGCTCACGGTCCTAAATAATTCGTTTGCCATCACACAGCTGATTACCCATAACAATACGCCATCTTGTAGGTTTCTCTCTCCCTTGAACGGGAATTGGTAATGGCTACCTAATTAAAGCCTTGTTCTGATCAGTTCTAGGAAATCTCGCCGCAGGAAATTTGGCAGCATAGAAAAATCACCTAAAAAGGATTCGTTATTTGAGACCATAACTCTATAGACCTAACTGTTTTTATCACAATGCTTGTTTTACAGCAAAATGCTCTTGCGATTTTTCTTATGCGGCAAAATTTCCTGACACGGTTCTGATCAAAGGTGTGAAAGCAAACCAGAATTCTTGTAGACAATAAATATTTTCTCAAACAATGCATAATACGTCGTATGGGTCGTATGTTGCCCACCCCTGTGTTAGGAGATACCATAGTAAATTTTGAAAAAGGGTAGCATTTTTTATTTTATATCAGAACTACATCATACATCATGGTTTCAATTTAAAAATGGCAAAACTATCCATAAATTATTAATTTCAACTCGCAGAATTTATCAAAAACATTTTAGTATTGTGCGCTCCTCAATTTTTTCTTATTTGTCCAACTTGATAAAAAAATTCAACAGAAATAAGCGGTTTCGATATAAAAATAGCAAATTTCATAAAAAATATTTGTTTTTCAAAAATCCCATTTAGTTATTTTAAATTACTTTCTTTTTTACATTTTCTTTGAGTCTATTTGGAAACTTTGAAACAAAACAGAGAATATTTTTTCATCATAATAATTTATACATTCTACTAACAACTCAAAACTGAGTTGTGGAAAATGAAATTGAAGAAAAGACAGTTTGAGGTCTGGGTATATTCAAATTTTTAGGCGTGGGTAGGGTGGGGTTTCTGCCGAATTCACACCACAGAATATGAAGTGTCGGGTATGTGATTAGTTAGCCAGTCAACATACATGTTTTCGAGTGCATGGACTTGGCGGACATGGCCTTGCAGATGGATGAGCTCCTAAAAGATGCTTTTCTTGAAATATCACAGATCATTTAGAATCGAATCCCCGCCAAAATAACACTGATACAAATCTTCCAAAATATACAGGTGCCCATAAAGTCCGTTTACAATTTCAATTTTGTTATGAAGTCAGTTCTCAATATATCTTAACCAGGTTTGTTGTTTTTTCAATCAGCAATTGTTCAAGTATTTTTACTTCATTTAATACATCTGTGATGGCCAAAACAATATATGGTATCGATAAATTATCTTTGTAAATTTAAAAATTTTGAGACTTCATGGACTCCCCGTATATAAGAATTGCTTTAATTGAGCCAATAGGCATTTGGCATGTATAATGCACCATCATAATTTTAAATATTTCAGAAGCTCTTGGCGTTTCAGTGTTTGACCATAAATTTGCTCAGAGATGATTTACTTCTGAGTGTGTTTGGATTATCTTGCTGAGCAAAATTCACTGGTATTAAATCATAAAAATTCTGGGTATAAATTGCAAGAATGCAATAATAATAAGATGGCACAAATACTGACAAAAAAAACAAAAAATGGAAATTTAAAATTAATTTTAAATATAGTTTTTTTTTACCCTGATTACTCCCCACCCCTGCCCCAAGCAAATCGAAGTACATTCTCAAATAGTCAAATAAAAATATCACAAGTACTGTTTCGTAGGTCGGAGGTTATGCGGTTTGAACCTGGAATTTCGCTCTAATCCAGAGATTTGGTCAAATTTAAAAAATAATTAGTAAAATTAATTTGGTAATTTGGTGAAATTTGAAAAATAATTAACCCCTCAACTGCCATAGACTGTCCATAAATAAAACAAGAAATGAGTTGCCAAGCCAGACAGTCTCTCCACCATCAGAAAACGTTGCATTCCTAACAATGTTGCAATCTTTGAAAGGTCAAAGGCCACATTTAGTTATTTACTTTCTTGAATGGGAAATTTAGCTTCAATGCAGATTCAAATTTCTCAGAACTAGGAGAAAGGCCAGTTAGTGCTTGTGGTGTACAAGCCAAGTTGACCAAAACAGAATACATGAATGTTGCAATCTGCAATCCTCTCATTTGGTTATGTACTTTCTTGCTCTCAAAATTCCGGTCTAATATGGTCCTAAAGAGTAATTTATCCCCGGATTGAGAACCTCGGTTTCCTGATATGTTACAGATTTCAAAAGGATTTCATTGGGATTCAATACCATGATCTTAGATAACCACAAAGTTCATTGAAGCTTGTCCAATGCAGAATTCTTCTTCATTCGTCGTATGCGTTGACTAGAAAATGTGTCACAAATTTTTGTGCTTTTTCCCGATCTAATCGCGCCTCCATTCTTGGTTTTCGAACTTTTGATGAAGGACGAAGCATAAGTCCGCTGAATATTTGAGCTGAAATAAACAAAAGAAGTTGAACAGTTGAGTTTAACAAAGATAAACTGGAAATCCAGGCTCAAAAATATAAAATTGAGGGTTGGACCCTTTTAAGATGTAGAAATAAGCATTTTTATCACACATAGCAGTTTTTTGTAGATTGAAATGATTTCTGGATCCTTGAAAACCAACATTTCCCGGCAATCAGAAATCCCCTTTCGAAATTCCAGATTATGCCGTTTGCTGTTTGCAAGGCCCGAAAACCTGTTTCGTAAAAAAAAGTTGAAACAATCTTTAAAAATAATGCTATATCACAAAGTAAAAATCCAGATTTTTTTCTAGAGTTTTTTTTTCAAAACCAAACATGGAGCCATGATTTCAATTTTCTATCACATCTATACTTGAAACCAGTATGCATACACTTCCATGATACGCTCTGATATTGAGTTTAGATCAGTTTAACTGAAATCAACTTTCAATTAAAAAAGGCTTCTTTCCGAAGTAAAGATGATCTAATCTTATTACACAAGATTTACTTTCTATTTTTGTTGGACAACTAATTTTGGGGAGCATCAATAGGGGGTTTTATGGAAATATACATCTATTAGAAACATTTGAAATGTTAATTGGAAAAATAGACTAATATTTTGGCACAGACATTTCCGCTGGAGTGATGTGTCTTGAGCAAGAGACTTACCGACTAAGTCAACATCTAGTCCATTCTCGTTGCTGTATCTCAATAATTCTCGTAAAAATGCACAAATGTATTTGAACACATTGCGATGGTGTCGAGTCATTCCTTGAAGAACCTATAGGAGAAATAATGGAACAATTAGAAACATGGCTGAGTGAAACTAGCTAATTAGCTAGCAACAATGGCCCAGACTGGATTAAATACTACTATATATCCTCACATATAAGAAGTCAAAACTAAATAAAAGTTGTCAAACTAAGGGAATTATACGCAAATAACTCGGATCGGACTCAAACGAAATGACATGAACGAGAAGGATTTTGAGACACTTTTTACTGTTATTAATAAAAGTAAAACATAACAACAATGGTTATCATTTTCATTAATTCTATTCTGTAACCATTTGCTGTTATAGATGAGTACGACGTATTACAATTTGTAGGGTCAGCTTATATGCACAAGTTTTATAAATTCACCGTTTCGGGCCGTTTAAGGGGTTCAGCTCTTTGTGGGGATATGTGACGTTTCATGAAAATTCTGGCAATAATTAAGAATAATTGTATAAACTAAATTCTTCATGTACCACGGCATAAAAATGACTCTCAGATTCAATCCAAAGCAGGTTTCATTCAGAATGCAAAAATTTGTGAGTCAGAATTTTCAAAAAGCATAAAAAAATGGGACCTCCAGAAGTATGCGCACCAAGATGGCGCACAACCTGAACATAGTATGAGTGTACCGGTTAGGATTCAGGTTGTGCGACATCTTGGTGCGCATACTTCTGGAGCACCGAAAAATGGCAACGGAATAAGCTTCTGTAGCTGTTGCAGGAGGCTGGTGTCCAAGTACATTTCTTTCAAAACTAGCGAAAGCCAATGGCAATAGAAAATTTTATTTGACATCATGGGTCATCAACCTGTAGATATTAGATGGCATGTCTAGTAACCATTTTTCTATGGCACGCATTGGCAACCTTTAGGATTGAAAGAGTCTTTTGGCATCCTTTCCGTCAAACTCGAACCTACTCAGAGCCGCAACATCTACTCTAATGATAGTGCCTATTGAAACTCTCCGAAAACTACTTATGATGCAATATTCTAGTTCTTATTAGGAAGAAGACAAATAATTATGAAAGATATAATAATTCAGTTTACAAAGAAATATAAAGAACTTGGAGAATAAAAAGAAAAAGTTTGCTTTGACAGATTTAAATCACTTTAATGCGATCCATTTTTACCGCTCACAACCCATTGTGATATGTAAATAGTGAGTAGTAAGACCTCATGCCTCCGACTTTTCATTGAATCCCCACTGCTTCTAACAGAAAACTGCTATAGCAACTTTGATTGAAGTGATCCAGAGCTCTGAAACAAAGAACGGCTTTGGGGCCACAGGTTGCAGACGCAAACAAACCTACCTGTTTGCATTGGAAGAAGATATCACAAACTTCCAGGCATGGTTGGTAGATATGAAAAGGTATTACTGGCTCAGGAAAAGCTTCAAGAAGAATAAGAAGAGCTTCAGCTGCTGAGTGGTTTGAACCTAAAAAAAATGCAATAGACCGTGAAAAAGGCGGAATAGTATTTATATGCAAATCATGCTGCCCAGGAATATATCAGGACTTTCTGTATCATTTTTAACAAAATTGCCTAAATAAATTCAAATTATCGTATTTGCTTGTTTTATAGCCCGGGCCCATATTTTTTTAACCAAACTCACTAACCGGGCCCTTATTCAAGCACGGGTGCTTGTTATTTCTTGGAACAGTATTGAATGATCCGTGATGTTTGTCAAGTCACATATGGATAAGATCGATCGTTACAATAATTAATATATTGTCATTTCCAGTTCTCAAGTATGATTTAAACGAGAATAACGAAAATTTTGACTTTTTCTACGCACCACAGGTACAAATCCGCAAAAGAAGAAAAGTTTGGCGACGCCCTATCAATATTGAAACGTCGCACTTGGGCGTCGCGACGCCCAGTTTGATAACCACGATGTTACGTATCAATGCTATCTGTTATGTAATTGGACGCCTAAGGCCTGAATGTTATCTACCAGCGCTTAAAATTCAACATCGTTGTGACAAAAGCGCTTCTTATTTCCTATTGTTCTCTACCACTGAAAAATCAGCTTTTACATCGGACGGGTATTCAAGCACCGGCCCTTATTTATTTTTATGTTCTGTTCACACAGGCGTCTATTCAAACATGCGCTTAATCAAGATCGGGCGGTAAAACGAGCATATACGATATTAGATTATTCACAGGCTCTCCTTCTATAGTAATGAGTTGGCCTGGTGTGTGGTCGCTTGCATCCCTTCTATCTGCACTCTTCCAACTTCCATTGGATATTGAGTTAGTTGCAAACATACTATATACCAGATGTTCCCACCTTTTTATGAATCGTTGCCCCTTTTTGCAGGCTTTTAGCACTCATGGCTCCGCTCTTTGCATTTATAGTGGTATTTGGATTAGATTCTAAATCCCATTTTATCAAACAATTCATGTTCAACAAGGTGGAAACACCCTGTGAAATATCCTTTTCAAGCAAAGAAATGGGGAATTTTCAAGTAATAAAAAGGTAAAATCAGTTATGTGTCACCCCCTCCAACTGCTCATGGTCGAGAGTTAGTTTTTACAAATAGACTGAACCCCCACTCACCAGGCAACCTCATTCTTCCTGTCGTCGTGTCAACTTTCGTGTCGAGGCAATCTCGAATATCTTCAACCTCTGAGTGAAGACCAGGCTGTTGGAATAAATCTTCCTGTAGAAAGAGAGTGGAACCATGTGAATGAACAGTGAAAATTATCAGTCAGACTAAGGTTACAGTAGTGGTTATGAGGCACTCCCACATTTCCATTCTGGGCAGAGCTCTGCACACAAGCAGTCCCACCTAACGCGTCACAAAGATATAGGGGTACCCCATAAGTGTGTGTACCAATATGGAGGTAACTAATTTTGTTCGCCCCCTTTACTTCAAGTTGTGTGGGACTGCAACCTATGGGCAGGGGTATATTCACTTGGCTAACACAGACAGTCTCTGAACTCGTAATAGAACTAAAATAAGGAAAATCGGAATAAAATTATGACCTAATCCTAACCTGGTACATATACTATGGAAGTACTGAAGATTACTAGCCAGACCAAGGGTAAGGTAATAAGGGGGTTATGCAAGTTGGCATTGTTTTACAAAAGTATATAAGAAAAAAAAATGTTTGACATTGGTTTTTAACACCAAGCATTCAACTCATTGAAAAAAAGTAGGATACCTGTTTTCTTCCGTAAGTATACAGATGATCCACGAGTGTCCACAGTTCTTTAGGAACAGACAACGAAACTTCATTCTCTGAAGATACGAAATCTGCACCTCTGTTTGGTTGAATCTTACTCTGAATAAATATACAAAAAAATTAGTGTTGGACTTTGGTATTGAAGCTGAAAATCCCGAGTTTAAATCCTGTTGACAGCCACTGACAATGCTGAAATGGAAGGATTGCAAACCTCCCAAAAAAAGTAGCTTTCAACATAGTCAGTGGCTGTTTATAAGGTTTGGTTGCAAGGAAGTGTGAAAGCTTCTTGTAAAGCTTATCAGACAGCATAATCATACAATTAACTGATATTGTCTCGTGTGAAAAATACCTACTGTATATCCTCACATATAAGACGAGTTTAAAACTCAAACAAAAAGTTACCAAACTAAAGGCCTATGAGCGCATAGCTGTGTGTGCATTACAAATGTAGACTTATATGCAAATTTTCATAAATTTACCGTTTTAGAGGGTCGACTATAATTTTATGCGAGAATATACTGTAGTAATAGAGTAGCGAATTGACTACAATATGTTGGATTGTAAACGACTACACCAGTGACTCTCAACCTATGCGCACGTATCAACCACTACACTATTATGCAAGCTTTAGTCGAATCCCAAAGTTTTGAACAGTTGAAGCCAAGGGCATGGCCAAAACTTTAGGAGAATACATATATTGAAAAAGAGAACTATTAAGTTCACATAGCCATGTGACAAAGTGCTTTTTTTGGTTAACCATTTTCTGAAAAATCTACTTGGAATGCAAATGCTCCGAGTCTTTTGAACAAACTAGCAATAACCATGATACTTTATGATATACAAACGGTTCAGAGGAATCTCATCAAACCTACGTAAAATTTCCATTAAACCCCAGGAGTTCGATCGAACCCGGGTTAGGAAACACTGGATTACACCAACAATAACTTACCAAATCTCTTATCTCTTCGAGTGGAACCATCGTAACTGGCTTCTGTAGCCGACACAAAGCTTCGATTGACATTCCGAAACAACTCGGCAAATATTTACCGGTCACAGTAATGAAGAAATCTTTCCCTGGAAATATTGTTAAAGTTCATTTTTAGATCGACTAACAAAGTTTAGAGTTGCTTGAAAATATTCATATTGGTTAGAAAGACTTTTCATTTCAAGAACAGTATTTTAACATCTTCATGTCGAAAAAAACGATAGAAAAGCAGCCAATTATACTATTTTTACAAGGCAGAGCAGTTGTTCTCAAATGGTGGGGGTGCGCCCCACAAGGGGGTGTAGAGACTTGACAAATTCTAAAAAGGGGGCACGGCTAAAAAGTTTGAGAACCACTGAGTGAGAGCAAAACCATAGCCTACTTTGGTTATGAGTTCATATATTGACAATTAGCTTACCTCCTTCTAAATGTAGAATCAAAATATCGTCTAATCTTTCTTCCCCGGAATTCAACAGTGGCGCTGACAAACGATTAACGTAAACTTCAAACTCAAGAACTAACTTTCCACCTGAAATAAAAGGATTTATACAATCAGATCATGTAACCAACCAGATCATCTATATCAGCGTTACTTACGCAGGCATGCACCCACACCAAGAGGGGGGGGGGGCACTGCTTTTAGGGAGTGTGCTGCATTTTTAGGTTTGGTTAAATAAATACATCACCTTTATAAACAGAGCACAAAGAAAAACACAACAGGAAGTCAACAAGACCTTTGCTTTCACTGAGAAGCTGTAGAGCAGCAGTTCCTAATCGGGGGTCCATGGCCCACTGAGAGGTTACAGATCAGTTTGTCTTAGTGTTACGCTATTGTAAGTAAAATACACAGGAAAAAAAATTAAAATAAAGTGCTGATTTGTTATTTACGCATGAGAATATTATTTTTCAGCACCTACACAGTAATAGAAAAGGGAAAAGGAGGTAAGAAGATGACCACCAGATTGAGATGGACTTATCTATACTCACCAGGAAGTAGGCAACCTTTTGGCTTAGTTATAGTCAACCATTTCTGACAGATATTCGTTTCTTTATTCTTGCAGATGAATTCGAAGTTACATGGTCTCATACCACCATTGTCTATTTCAACCGTTTCCAACTTCGGCTGCTGGAACTTCACTTCACCAAAGTCAACCTGGATGAAGAGAACAGAATATGAAAAACCAATGCTACTTTCGTAATGTTTTTTTTTGGTTGAGCAGGGGTTGAAAACCACTGTCTATACCAAGGGTGGGCATGGTTTTTAAACCAGGGGCCAAAAATTCGCCCGCCTGTATTGGCGGGCCATCTAAGTGTGACGTAAAAAGTTACATTTTATGAACAATATTTACATTGTTACAAAAACAACAGTGGAAAACAATATTCTCATAATTTTTCAAGCCATTTTTTAGCTAAAACATCAAAATTTAGTTTCAGTTGGGTTGTAGCAGCATCAGCCTGATTGAATTCCCCAACAGGCCGGATTTGGCCTGCGGGCTGTATTTTGCCCATCTCTGGATTATACAGACAAACTTTATCGAAGCAATGAATGAAAAATAAAAGTCATTATATATATATATACAGGGTGTCCTTAAAGTCACTTTACAATTTCAATTTTATTATGAAGTCAGTTCTCAATATATCTTAAGCAGGTTTGTTATTTTTTAATAAGTAATTGTTTTTATTTCATTTAATACAACTGTGAGGGCCAAACGAAATATAAGATATCGATGAATTCCCTTTTCAATTTCAAAAAATTTTTGAGACTTTATAGACACCCTATATATCTACAACTACACAGAACCTTATTCTTATCAATGAAATATATCCAATACCGAAGCGTCCAAGATAACAACCATCACACTGGGCTACAGGTGAGTCATAAAGGGCCACAGAGAAGATCAACTTACATGTTGTTTGTTTAATTTCATTGTTGGCAAATATTCGTTTTCCAATTTATCGAGTCTTCTGTTTTCGTCTTCAAATACTTTCTTGTAACGACCTTCGTCTATTACTTTGACCTCGAAAAGAAAAAGATGAGTCAGTGAAAATTGAGTATTGTAAATCAATGACCTTGATTGATACTTAACCTTGGAAAAAAGCTTAGTCGGAGGAAATTAGTGCGTACATATACACCACCTTACAAGATCATCCATTTCCTGTAACTCAGTGATTCCCAACGTAGATTGACAGGGAGTCAAAATTCTAAGCTGATGGGTAATTGCAGGCCCGAAGAGGGGTGCGCCAGCAAGGGGCTGGGGGTGGTTTTGGGGATCGAAACCCCTCGCTTCTAAAATGTGAAAAATAATAAAAGCAACTTTTCTGTATCATACCTATGGATTTTTCGTAGCTTGAAACGCTTTTTAGACCCTCAAGAATCATAAAACACATGTTTTCCGGCGTTCAGCCGGATCCGCTAGCTGTTCCGATCTAACTGTTCAGAGCCCCCCCCCTTCAAAAATTTCTGGCTGTGCCCCTGCTGGTGCCGGTATGTATAATTGGGATACCGAGCTTAAACTGGAATAAATACGAAACGGTTTGCAATCTCAAGCAAACCTCTTCTTACCTTGATTTGAAACAAAGCACTGACTGGTTTGTGGTCGCTCAGTTTCAATTTCATATGTTGTTGATATTTGAGAAGATCAACAGAGGATTGAGGTTTTGCTGCAGAAAAAAATCAAAAGTTTCAAAACCAATTTCATTGCTTTACTCTTAATGCACTCTTGGTGAGGTTGAGGACATATTACTAAAACATTCCATGATTTAATTTATGATAAAAAAATTATGGGTCATGTGCCTAAAATTCGAATTTGCCACTGAATAGAGGACCACTAAATGAATTGATCATAATAAAAAAAATTGTCAAGTATTTGCAAAGTATCAACATTTATTCAGAGAAAATAATTTTTTTTTCAAACATTTCCGTTCCTGAAAGTATAAATTGAAATCACTCTTGAAGAAGGAACCGATAAACAACTCACCGTTTGCACCAGTTCTCAGAGATAACACAGACTCTCTCCAAAGCACTCGATCGCACCAAGCAGGAGTCCGACACTTTTCTGAAGTGTCCCATTCATCTGTTCCTGGATTATACTTGTACGTCGGCCGGAAATTTATCTCGCCTTCATTAAAACCTTGGAAGACTCGATGGTCACCCCGTTCGATATTCAACTGTTAAAAAAAAGGCTGTAATAGGTGTGGAGAATCTTATTTTTCTGCATTTGGAATTCAAAATTTCAATATACAAAGTAATGAAATGAGATGAAGAGGGAGTCTGAGCATACCATGAATGTGAAATGTTTTACTTATAAATGTTCTGTAATTGGTAGATAATACTACTTGGAGATGGAGTCAAAATTTCGGCGGTCCTGAAGTATGTGCACCAAGATGGCGCACAATCTAATAACCCTAACCTGATATACATACTATGTTCAGGTTGTGCGTCGTCTTGGTGCACATACTTCGGGAGTACCCAAATTTCTGCCTTTCCAAAGATGAACAACAGAAGGGAATTAGCAGCTTTAGTCTAAATCATTGGTTCTCGACTGGTTGGGGGGCCCCACAATTTTCTGAGGAGCGTAAAGCTAAATAAAAACACTTGTTAGATTTCCCGCCTTTGGATATTTACATCCCATCCATGAATATTCAACGTGTTTTTTGAATTAAACATACTTTCGCCTCACTATCTCTCATTTGTGGCCAGTGGCTTATCTACGTAAAATGGCGCCCATGGCAAAGTCTAAAAATGCCCCCTCTTGATAGTTGTTTGAACAATTTATAACGACTGTTATTGAAATGAGATACTTGTACGTTATTATTTGAGTGAAAATACAAGTTTAACGGCGCCCATGGCACGAGCCATGTCTGCCACACCCTAGATACGCCACTGTTTGTGGCTTATTGTTAGCTAGTTATTTTTGAGGCGGGCGCGAGACTTGACAAATTCTAAAACGGGGCAAATTCTAAATAGTTTGGGAACTATTGGTCTAAATATTTCCTAACCTGGCAGAAGCAGATACCTAGGCCACTTTAGTTTGATGCAAAAGTATTCCAATTAATTTTCATTTCAAGGACCTCCTATATTTCGAAAAAATTCTGAAATATTTTGAGTGAGTTGGTGGGCATTGTTTACTTTCCCACTCTTTAACTGACCAATGACAGCACAGCAAGATGATATTGCATTGTGGGTAAAACTACTGAAACATGCTTCCTAGGTATAAATACTGAGATGCTGGTCTCCAGAGGTCAATCAGTACTTTGGTGTAGCAGAGGCAACATTATGTCTGACTTTATATTCTGTTATTTGTGGTGATAACTGAAATGTTTATACTAATTATTGCTTGCGTTCAAACATTAAGTTACACCAGTTATCAGTCATGAGTTTCCAATCCAAGATTTTTCACTTGCAATGCCAGTATACATATTTATATATTTATCCCGGGGGAGAGAAAAGACCACAAAAGGCTTAACCATATGGCGAACCACGGCCTCTCGTCCTGTTACCAGTCCATGTCGGGTATGGCATTGCCAACTGATTCCTCATTTAAAAAAAACGAACCTGATCTTTTTCTTTCAACAGCTTGTAGCCTCGTTCATCGATTAATTCTTTCACATATTCAGAAGACAGGTCTTGTATCCTGTAGTTAAGGTCACCCAACCAGAACACAACGCTAGAAATTAACAGGTATTTCTAAGAGCAATATAAATTACCCAAGCAGAAAACAGTTATGGAATGGAAAAATATTTTTGAATTTTAAATATTACCTAGAATTTAACCACCCAAGAAGAACACAAGGATAGAAATGAACAAATACTTTCAGTTATATAAATTCCAAGAGTTTAAAATTACCCTACCAAAACACAACCTTTGAAATTAGCAGATATTTGTAGATTTATTAAAACCATAACGATTTCTTTTTCTTTTTCAAAATTATTTGCCCGAATCAAAGTCGCTTGCCCTCACTAGGGAGGAGACTGATCTTTGAGCCAAATTATGGGTGCCCATTAAAACTATTTCAATTTAGGGTGGTATATTACGCACTATTGATTCGCTCGGACAGATTTCACAAAAGGTACAGTATATCTTCGCATATGAACCAAGCTAAAACTCAAAAAAAGATGTTCGCACTGAAAATTCTCTTCTGCAACCATTTATTTTTATAAATTCACCTTTTTGGGGCCCTCTTAAGGGGATCGGCCCTTTATGCGAGGATAAACGGTAATATGGGGCACTTCATCATCCATGGCCATCACACACGCAATTAAATCACTTTGAGATTCAAAGCACTAATGAAGTACAATTTTTAAGTGACCACTAAGATGAAAGGGCAAGCCACTCACTCATGTTGGAAGACAGACATTGGCATGATTTGTCCGTTGATATTAAACTGCAACCTCGAACAAATGTCTCTAAAATCTTCGTTTCTACGCTGGCATTGTTCAAGATGAGCCGCGAGATGGGAGTTCACAGCACATATAGATGAATTATGGAGATCCATACGAATTGCTACTCCTCCTTTGTTGCCCTGAGGATGTAAAATAATTCAAGTCGGTGCTTTATTCAGAGTGCATAGGGGGTCTGATTAGAGTCTAGTTCCCCATTCTTCTGAGAAAATTAGTTCTAGACTGGAAGTTTGTACTTACTGGTGAATAACGAAAAACAAAATAGATCTTGATATGTCAGCGGCTGTTTTTCTAGAGCCTGATAATGAAAAAAAAGTTTCTTTTTCTTGCAAGTTTTTTGGTGTTTTTTCACTGTTTTTGATGGTATTTCACAGTTTTTGCAAGGTTTTTGGCAGTTTTTCATTGTTTTTGATGGTTTTTCACCGTCTTTGCCAGATTTTTTACTGTTATTGCAAGGTTTTTGGTGTTTTTTCAGTGATTTCACCAGTTTTTTCACTGTTTTTGCCTGGTTTTTGGTGTTGAACCACCTCCAGTGTGGTAGTCCTGGTGTTACCAGCTTGTCTAGGACGTTTTTGAGGGTAAGGGGTATATAAAACAGAAAAGAATGCATAATCACCATTCTTCCAAGCAGTCCGGTCCCAACTTGATGGCAGGTGACATCTCTTATTGAAAGAACGTGCATTGTCTTCACAAAGACGAGAAGTAACATGCCAACCAATCGAATTGATTTTACCTGAATTTAGGAGAAAAATTTCAGATTACAGAAGATATGATCATTGAGTATCTGGATTGGTATTTTTATAATCCTGATAACATCAATTCCCGATGGTGATAAGATAACTGATAAGCATGATAAAAAAAGGGCTGCTGTTCCAGGTACAGGTCAAGCAAATAATTTGTTCCAGATGCATGTGTTAACTTTATTGTATTTATGGTGAATAGCGATCGTTCGTTGCGAAGACTACTGATCATGACCAAACAGCTATGAAGGTGAAGTAGCCATAAGCTCTCTGTACTTGAGGGTATATGCCAGTTGGTGTTGCTTATGGATTACTTTAGTTATTGGTCTGGACATTTATTAAGTATACGAATATACTGAGTTAACAGCAAGGAATGGTAGAGTCGGAGCCAGCCAGTGGGGGGTCGGGGTGAATTTGCGGGTCGAAACCTCCCCTTTTGCAATATTTTTCTGTATGCTAATTTCTCACAGCTTGAAGCACATTTTTGACAATTGGGACACATGTAAAGGCACGTTGTCTAACTTGCCAATTACAAATTTCAGAAAACCCCAATTGAAAATTCCTGGCTACTTCCCTGGTCATGCCAATGCCCCCCAATAGGATTCCTTTTCTTCCAATTATTGCAGCTCCCCACAAATCAATGTGTTGTGCTGAGACTTGGATACTCCCGAAGTATGGTATGTGAACCAAGATGGCGGACACCGGTACGTAGTATGTGTACCAGGTTAGGGTTAGGCCATAATTTTAGGTACAAATACTACATGAGTCACTTGGCTAGTCCCTGAACTCATAATAGAATTAAAATACCGAAAATTGGAATAAAATTATGTCCTAACATTAACCTGGTACACATATGACGTTCCGGTGTCAGCCATCTTGGTTCACATACTACGGGAGTACCGAGACTTGTTAGGATTGTAAAACGCCTCATAAAAAACACTCACCATATGATACTTAACATTCACATGCGGTAAAGATCTCGACACAGCTACAATCCAGTTGTCTTCCCTCCATGACTCGGTGAAGACGTACGCCTCCTTGCTCAAGTCAAGTTCTTGAAAGCTAGAAAAAATTACAGAGCGTCCATGAAGTCACTTTACAATTACAATTTTGTTATGAAGTAATTTCTTAATATATTTTAGACTAGGTTTGTTGTTTTTTAATCAGTAATTGTTTGAGTTTTTCTAATTATTTTAATACGTCTGTGAGGGCCAAAACAATATATGGTATCGATAAATTCCCTTTGCAAGTTTAAAAAATTTTGAGGCTTCATGGTACCCTATATCAAGTAATGGTTCCCAACTGATTGAGTGCCCGTAACTTTACTCAAGGATGAGTCTCCTTTACTTCTGAGTGAGTGCTCGTAACTTTGCTTAAGGATGAGTCTTCTCTACTTCTGTATGTGCATAAGGCACCATAATAACTTCTTTCTTCTCAGTAACTTAAGTTCAGGAATTTAAGTGGTAACTTCAATCAGAGATGTATGCCTTAACTTCAAGCAAATTCTCCTGAAGAAGAAAACTCATATCCTCACCCAATGAAATATATATCCGGTGGATCCCTCACTAAATCGTCTGTGCTCAGCCAATCCGTGACTTCATAAGGTGGGTTCTGTCCGTTCACATTCCACGTTCCCACGAATATTCTGAAAGAAAACAGTCATGAGGTTTAATCTGTCAAAAATTGCTTTGAAGAAGGCTTTAGGCAAGGAAGAAAAAATTTTGCTAAAGGTCAGTCGGGCATATCTATTAATAGTAAGCGAATGATATCAGTTTTTATTGATTATTAAATAGTTTATTTGGTAACAACAACGTAGCAAATGTTTTTCCTGTCATTAACATAGACAGCTGCTATGTTATCGGAAGAAACAGAACCCGCCTGGCAGTAAAAACAAAAGTTGTAATGCCATTGGTGGGATGGTGGATAAGAGATTTGAACTTGAAATTTTGAAAGTTCAACACAAACATGATTAGATACAACACACTGACCATTGGGCCATCACATATTGAAAAATGGGAGTTGCGGTGTTTGCTGCAAAGCTTATTCATAGTAGTAAGAAGCAAATATCATAGTTTGCAAGCTTTCTGGATTTCTATTCAGACAAATAGTCAAATTTGATAAGAAATAAGGGTGTCTGTGTAGAATAATTAATGTATCGAACTCTTAATCTAAGTTCAGCTATCAGCCCAAAAGGGGCAAACAAGCACAATAACCAGTATTCGTTCGTTGCGACTCTTTTAGCCTGAAATGTTCTTTTTACTTCATTTTTTACATTCGTGTATGTTCAGCGTGTGTAATTTTAGTATGGCATAAAACAAATTTCTGGTGTGACAGTCTCCTAATTTATCTAATCCCACACAAAATACGAGTATTTGCCAAAACACAGAGAAATTCTGTAAACTGCTTTGTTAAGTCTGTGTATTTCCAGTGTGGTGATAAAAATAAACCACTGATTATTCAATTTAATAACATTCATGGCCCAAGCACTATTCACATGACTCATGGCAACAGCCATATCCTCACAGGCATTTCCTGTATCGATTATAATAATACACATATTATGTCTGCTGAGGGCTGCTTAAAACTAATCGAGAACTTGAACGAGAATATTGGTCGGAGACCGAAGACTCATCGATCGAACGTTAGGGGATCCCCAAAACAGAAACTGCGATTTCGATCTATCCGCTCTTACTCCATAGCGACACCATGTGTCCCATCACTAATTAATTAATAACTCGCTAATTATACGACATAATTCATTCAATAAGCTTCTGGTCCGAGATATGATGAATGCACATGCAAAATTCGGAGCAGATTCAAGCACGCCTTCGTGAGATATCGCGTGCATCTAACAGACAAACAAACAGACAAACAAATACCTATCAACATACTTTTCGAGATCAATAAGTAATAAATTGAATATATCCATGAATTTAGAAAATATATTTGATTTTTTGACGCTGTGTGTAGTGCATGTTAGCATAAAGCATGGCTCCTAAATTGAATAGAATACACAAAAAGTTTTCAATATAAAAATACCAAAGAAATATGGTAAATACAAAATACTTCAGATAGCTCTGAATTGTGGGAATCATCAACTATGTAGATAGTTAGATTCATAACACAATGTAAGGTGGTTTCTTAATTTGAGAAAATTTACGTTTCAACCAAAATATGAACTGCCTACTCATGGTATGGTATTGTCATAGCATGCGTCACTATTGTTTCCTTTAGGTGACCTGGGTTACTATTATTGAAGGTTTCTTATAAGCAAATCTGCCTACTTCCCTGTTACCTGTTGTGAAAATAAAAACAGCATGCAATAAAAGCTATAAGATGAGTTTCATACTATTTATGTTCTATGCATTTGCACTGAGGGATCTGTGCATAAAGCAAGGATATTATAGCAAGAATAATTATTCTAAATCATGTGTTGGCAAATAACAGCCCACCGGAGCCCACTTCTGTCTGTGGAAATTCAGCTGCGCCTATAGTTTTTTTGAATATAAATTTTCGCTGAAAATATCAATGAAAATAACATCATAATGACCAATCGTTACATTTTGCTTTTATTACTATATAAACATTAGCCTAGCTGTTGTAGGTAAACTGTTTTTATTCATAGTTTTTCATATAGAGTTGTGATCCCCCGGCCACGTAACCAAGACTCTTGACTGTAATTGGCCCACTCGGAAAAGTAATTGCCCACCCCTGTTCTAAGTGATTCAAGAGTCTTGCTGCACATTACCACAAGTGCATACCGATATCATAGTTTAGGTAGGCATTTGAAGACAAATCTTGTGACAAGTATTAATAGAATAACAATATGTATAATAATGACATCACAAATCCTATTATTATATCACAATATGCTAAATTTAGTCTATAAACACTACAGCTGGAATGTATGCACAGCTGGAAATTATCAAAATAGAATAGAACTTAAAATACACAGAGTATCAACTCTCAATATGGGAACTGTGGGTTTTTAGCATTCGTTTAATATTTTTCTAAAAATATTAGAGAAAAGTAACGATCAAAATTGAATAGAACTCGAAATATATGTAGAGCTATAAAATCGGTACTCGATCATAGACTTTGAATACAATGTGCATGGCTTTCAACCTCTTTAGTGGATTTGAACCCCAATAAAACATTCCAGAGGCACGAGGAAACCTAGTGTGATTAATTAATTGTCTGAATTGTAAAAACTATAAATATATATAAAACTATCAAATTTGAATGGAAAATTGCTGAACTGCAGTTACGTTAACTGCCCTCTGGTGGTGATCAACATAATTGATCCCCACAATGACAAGCGTATTCCCAACACAGAATACGTCTTAATCATAGCATTTTATCTTCACTCACTTGAAAGGTTTCCTTATTGTGTATTCTTCCTGTCTTTTCTCCATGCATGTCTGCATAATTTGTTCACGTCCTCCGAATAATTTTTGAGGCGTGACTTCACTTGCGTCTGTTGAAGACATGTTGTCATAGAAAAAGGATGACCCGCTGTTCAAAGGCTGAGGTTCTCTGGAAAAAGTAAATGTTAGAAATAATACCAGGATTATCAATCTGTCAAAAATGGATGGAGTATTGTTTCTTTGTACAGCGCCTATTCGCGCTTTTAGATCTGAATTCTGTCAAAAGAGTACTAACGTTGTAAATACATTACTTATCTACTTATCGATCTTAAGTATTTGTTTGTTTGTTTGTCTGTTAGATGCACGCGATATCTCACGAAAGCGAGGTTCAATCTGCTCCAAATTTTGCATGTGCATTCATCATAGCTCGGATCAGAAGCCTACTGATTTTGGATGGATTAGGTCATATAATTAGCGAGTTATTAATTAATTAGTGATGGGACACATGGTGTCACTATGGAGTAAGACCACTGTTTTGGGGGATCCCCTAACCGTCAATCGATAAGTCTTTGGTTTCGAACCGAATTCTAGGTTTGATGTTGGGAAATGTGTCACGAGTCTTCATAAAACTCAGATCTGGGTCGCCTTCAAAAGAGTTTGAGAACCACTAATAGGTAATTAGAGGAGTTACATTTATTTGGAAGGACCAATCTTTATAGTTCAGCATTGTCTACCCAATTTAATACCCCATTCTGGGTGAGGTGATGGATATGGAATTAATGAAATTTAAACTGGAGATGTATAACCTGTTGGCAGTGTGGCGCATCGGGCTAAGTGTTAGGAATATGCTCCCCGCCGCACCTCAGATTACCCTGCATGGGTCAGAGTCCTGTGGAGAATAAATGTGTGCAAGAGGATTACTGCCTTACTGGCAGTAATACACTCAAGTTGATACTTCAACCCAAGGCCAACATGACACACAACATGATGCCTTTCCCTCATCTCCATTCACCTTGAACTGCCAACTCTGGAAGTTGAAAAATACGAACCCCGCTTTGACTTCATCATAAATAAAAACATTTCAAAATCTGACTCCATAGCCCCGATAAAAATGGCACATCTTTGCTACCCACCTTGTAACTGGCAGTCTTGAGACATCTGGTGAGGAATCAGTGTGAAACGACGAACCACTTCTTGATGGCCTGAAGATACAGAAGCAATTTCATGCATTGGGAAGTCATATAGGGCAGGACCTCCCAAACTGGAAGTCGCAACTCCGTAGAGGGTATTGTAACAAATTTTAGAGATTGCAGAGAGTACACCAATTTCAATCAAATTACTATATCTAAAATACTTTTTTAAACTTTTGATTCGAAACACAATAGTTGAAACTTGTGCAATACCTAAATCTCACGATTTTGAGAGAATACATAAGATCAAAGATAAGATCAAAGATGCCCTGACAATGCAAACTCGACGGGGGTCACAGAAAATTTAAATATTTGGACGGGGTCGCAAGCTTAAAAGTTTGGGAAGCTCTGGTATCAAAGATGGGTGCGTTCTAGAAAGCAAGCCATTTAAAGGCATTGCAAGTATTCTATACCCAGTTTGTTAATTGGTTTAAAAATAAAATTAAATACAACATTAGAGAATCAAAATTGTTTGCAGAATTTATCATATTGCCAGAATTTGTTGCCATGATCTTGCTATTCATTTAAATCTTTTTGAACTCGTAATTTGGAAAAATGAAAGAGATAGACATAGTGAAATTAGTTCCAAAAATGATGATTACACAGGGTAATCAGATGGTAAGTGTGTTCCTAACACTTAGCCATATGCAGCAACTGTGTAACCCTCTTAATTCTAATTTTTTGATTTATTATGTTGCCAGAATTTGTTATCATGGATTGCTACAAAATTATATTCATTTGAATCTTTCTGAACTAATAATTTAGAAACATTAAGCTTATTACTATGCCGCAACTGCATTCACTGATCTACTTACCTTGTTGGTGTTCTTGTGTCTCTTGGGTTTGGCGGAGAATCAATGAAAAAAGTTGAGGCTTGCTTTAGTGATCTGTAAAATATAAAACAAGCAGTAAGTTCACAGATTTTAAACCATATCGTCCAAAACAAGTTCACAGATTCTAAACCATATCGTCCCCATTGTATCTGATTTTATTATTATTGTGACGATTAACACCTGTTTGAAGAGAGGTCAAGGAAAGGAAAGTCTATTATATGACATAGATATATAGAGATAGAATTTCATCTTCATCACAGGAAAGACGGGACTTCAGAAGTATGTGTACCAATATGGAGGTAACTAATTTAGTTTGCCTATCTCATACCAAGTTGTATAAAGGGACTGATCACACTCAAACAAAATGACATTATGCTAACTCAATTGTAACAGCTATAACTCGTACGGTGTTATGATTTGTAGGGTCGGCTTATGTGCAAATTTTCATAAATTCAGTTTCAATACAGCTTTTAGGGGGGTCTGCTCATAGACGAGGATATACGGTGAATGAATGGCCTATTGTCCAGTTACCCGAACATGTCAGATATAAGAATAATTAACCAGTTAATTGTTTAAGAAAATCGATTTGAGTTTATAATCTAATTGTTTTAAGAAGTATAGCAATCACAAGTTGGCCCCCAGGCTGCAGTCAAACCACTGGGTGACTTTTCTTTAAAAAAACGCCATTAAGAAAGACTAAAATACTAAATTCCAAATATTCAAAATACAGTAGTTCAAAAAAAAATCAGCGAAACCATTGCTTCAAAATTTTGAATTAAAAACAAATAAACAATGAGAGGAATTTGATAGCTTTCAAAAAATTTAATTATCGAATTAGCCAATTCGAAGTTCATAGACAAATTCACACAAATAAAATCAGGGGTCTGAGAGCAATTAAACCAGAAAGATTCCAAAATTCATTTAAAAATGACCCAACTTTCTGTAAAAACTAAATTAGAATGAAGCTAAGAATAATGAACTGATATAAATGACATTGATTTGAAATACCCACTTTTTGACATACATAATCATAATAATTTAAGATTAACACATTAAACATTGATGTTGATTTTTAAAACAACACTAATTCACGCGTTTTACTTTGAACAAGGCTCTCTGCTAGCAGTCAGTCACTGATGCATATAAGCCACTACTGCAGCGGTTTCCAAACTTTTTGCTCAGACAGGTTCGAATTAACAGGGGAAAAACTCACGCCGCACTTACACAAAAAAAAAATTACTGCCTTCGAATAAAACTAAATTTTGGTATCAATAATGTGTACTTTATGCTTTTTAAAGTTTTTGTCGTAGGTCTAAGGAATAAAGGCAAAAGGTCTTCCTCATCTCTGCCTGTTTTCCTTTGAAATAATGAATAATCACTCATGTTCGCCAAACCATGTTGTTAATTTTCGTGGCAAACTTAGAAAATCCCCTCTAGGAACTGCAGCACTATTTAATTTATCTGAAAGATCAGAATCTTCCCTGTTTGGCATGGCTGACACAATTGAATAATAATATATATTTCAACTTCTAACCTACAATCACACTATGAACTGTTCCAAGACTGATAAAGATTTTCCTGCAAGTTCGTACTTGACCCGATATCTATTCTAATCTCGTAACACATCTATGCTAATCCAGTAATGGAACGAAGTATTAATAAGGTCAATTAGGGTAGCAATGCTCAAATATACGAAAAAAAACACTGTGCATTCGAACAATGTCTTAGATTTGTACCAAGTTTTCTTGAAAGAATTACTAAAGTAAATTTGGATATGCAGAATTTTTGGAGCTTCATAAGTATGTGTATCAATATGGAGGCAACCAATTCTATTTGCCTACTTTACATTAAGTTGCGTAAAGGGACTGTAACCTATGGGCAGGGGATATATTCACTTGGTTAACACAGGCAGTCCCGAACTCGTAATAGAACTAAAATAAGGAAAAATGATATCAAATTATGGCCTAATCCTAACCTGGTACACATACTACAGGACAGGAGTACCGGGTTTTTGAGATGTATGTATGTATGTTTATTTGCCTCAAAAATGTAACAGTATCTGCATAATAGTTAAACGGTATAAAGGAGACGGGATACAAGACCTTACTGGCCTAAGACACAGATGTGGAAATGCACCCCAACAAGTATAACTGCAGTTTAGGACGTTATAGTAAGACAACAGACATGAAATATACAAATAAAACTCTTGTCCTACAATACACAAGACAAAGAGGTACGGCACCACGATGATATGTACAATACAATAGATAAAAAGATAATAGGACACAACAGCAATAAAATTCCCAGCCCGAATGTTAAAAGGAAATTAGGTTATTTTACATATCCATAATATGTATTATGTGCCCGATCGAGATGAATAAACTAGGAAGCAGGGCTGGGGAGCTGGTTCGAAATCATGATGGCTCCGGCTCCAGCTCCGGAGTCGCAGTGTATTCAATCTTTAGCTCCAACTCCGGCTCCAGAGCTTCATTTTTTTATGCCGGAGCTGGCTCCAGCTCTGGCTCCATAGCCATTATCAGTAGTGCAGCCCAATAACCCATTTTGCTAATTGTTTTCTAAGTGTGGCATGTTATTTAAGCTGTAAACACCCTTCAAGTCGGTGTCATGATAATTCCTTTTTGTTCCTGCATGTAACTTTTGAATCCACTGAGAGTTATTATATGCTGTATTTCCGGGCGAATCGGTCTACCCAGCATATAAGGGTTTTACATATAACCCACCCAACAATAAGACGGGAAGAAAAATCGGCTTCTGGAATGGTTGCAGCGTTTGCGAATTCGGTAAAATAGCTCATAATGACTTTTTCTACCACATAATATTTAACCCATAATAACTGTCTTTTTATTTTAATTTAATTGTGTTCAACATAACTGGCAATCATGCCGGCCAAATAAAATCTGTCGTGGGCCATTCTAAAGCAAAACTTATGGTGTTTTCTGTTTTATTTTCAGTATTTTATAATGTCGCTTTTTAATCAGGAAAATTTGGTTTGGGTATTGACTTCTTTATTTATCTTAGAATTTCATCACCGATGATTATGTAATAACTCGTTTTCTCACAAATATGGTGCGCGACACAAAACATATGTCTTGAGAGACAATTGTGATTGAGGGAAAAATAAACACTGAAATAAAGGATGTTATGGCCGAATGTTTACGGCGACTAAAACAATTGACGCTTTTCACGAAATGCAACGCACAGGTGATAGTAACGGCAATAGCCATTCAACTCATGACAATTTAAACTGGCCTGACGGGGAGGCAGTATTTTATGGTCCAAATTGAATAAGCAGACCCAAAATAATAGAAATTACCATCGTCACCCAATTAGGTAGATGCCGTCCCCCTCTCCCAAATCATGCCAAAAGTTGGTTCTAGAATCGAGGCGTTTTCATAATTATCAGCGATGAGATGTTAAAGATAAATAGAGAAGTCAATTCGCAAGCCGAATTTCCACATTGGAGAGTTATTATAAGATACTAAAAAGAAGAGGAAAACACTATAAACTTTGTTCTAGCTAAAGAAAGTGCCTTGTTAATCTCATTATTTTTTTTGCCTACGACATATTATTTACCGGTTGACTTTGAAAATTATACAGTCACTAAAATAAATCTAAACGCAATCAATCTTACTCGCGATATACTTTTTATATATTCAAAAAATAACAACGGAAATTGATGAGACTTTTCTCCAGAACATGCTATGTTATGGATCAAAACAAGATATAATGGGGCACTTTGCCATACATTTTTATGCCAGGTGACTGCTGCGGAGCATTTTGGAGTAGTTAAACCTTTCTTTTGTCGTAAAACGACTCAATCTCAAGATACGTTGAACAGAATTGAAGACATTTGAAATGGATTGGATATTCAACGCCACGAAAAAATCATAATATGTTACATGGAAATTCCCAAATCAGTTCTTTGAAAATCCCTGGCCATTAGGGTTTTTGAGCTTGACCGCAATCATGAAAAATTGCAGCTTAGTGGAAATGAGAATCAAAATTTTGATAAAAGTGAACCGCTTCCAATTTTGATACTAAACTTTCAAACATACAGAATAACTGAAAACTTTTTAAAAAATATTAGGAACTAAAACTAAGCTGAAAAGAAAAGATTTTATCATTTGTAACGCTATCAGAAAAAAAATTATAAATTCGAAAAACAAAAAATGAGATATTTAGGAGCTGGAGCCTGGAGCAACTAAATTTTTGGTAGCTCCAGCTCCGGCTCCAGCTCCATCTGTTATGAAAAGCTTGGCTCCAACTCCGACTCCGGCTCCATCAAAATGTAACGGCTCCATGGCTCCAACTCCAGCTCCCCAGCCCTGCTAGGAAGTATAGAAAGAAGAGAAACATAGCCATAAAAAAGTACAGTTTAAATCGCATAATTCATTGCACGAAGTTGCATTTCATTCACAAAATTTCAAATAGAATTTGGTAAGGAAGGATACAATGTTCTGTTCAATATTTTCTTTTTATACCATTTTTGCTGAACTATCAGATATAAAAATGTTCAAGCTGTTACCAAGAAATGTGACTCCACATAGATTCTTGTATATAGTGTAAAAATGCATCATGAAAAAAAGCTAAGTTCAGGCAGCCTAAACTGGCTATCCTTTCAGCTAACCCTCAGTGATTGACGTCTTACAGACAACCCCACAATGCAAGCCTCGAATCAATAGCAATTATGGCACTTGTGTGTGATTAAAAAGAATTATCTGAATGAAAGATATTGCTGGATCAATAAATCACTGATGCATGACCATAAAAATATCAGAGCTCAAATTAAAATTACAATTGCAGCAATCCATGCTGACTTACCTCCAACTAAACGAATTTTTCATGCCGGTAGGTATTCCATAAGAGTAGGAAATTCTCAGTACATTTTACAACAATACTAACTTACTGTAAATTTATTACTTCTGGATAATAAATCAAGAAGGCCCATAATTTATTGGGCTTCTATGCTTCAATTTTGAGTTGTATTCGATAACACAAAAACATTTTTACAGAAAAGGCTCGAAATGAGCAAACATTTAGGCTGATACATTGCTGTGTCAGAAACAAATTCTATATTCATCGCAGATAAAAAAAAAAAGATTATAAAGCTAATAAATAGACTATAGTAAATATAAAAGTCCTATCTTATTGAATGCGCTGCATCAAAATTGATGAAGTACAGAGAGTCAATAGCAAACTTTTCTCTCTCCGAGGCAAATGTGGAAAATTTTATCCTATTCTATCTATTCCCTCAGAAATGCAGATCTCAGTGTCAGTTTTATTACCGCACCATTGCCTATGATTTATGAGAGCAATCAAGGAAAGACGTCAATCCGCTATGCCCAGGTTAATCATTTATAAACAGCAAATATTTAATGATTTTTGTCTTCAATTTTGAATTATTTCATTATTATTTTCATTTTAATGCCATTCTGCACAGACAAGCCAACTCATACAATACCATACTCAGCTAAGAATGGATTTATTCTTGAGTCTTGCTACACAGTCAAACTTCTGATCTTGGCAAACAGATGAAGCATCACAGAAATATAATTGTGTTAGTGTGTAGCAAGACCCTGATTACATAGAATATCTTTTTATTTTTGCTACGGCAACCTCTTCATTATCGGCAGAAGGAACCACCAGTAAAAAAGCATAGAGGAATAGGAAATAGGTCTTGCAAAACCCATAACCATGTAGATAACTCAACATAATTTGTTTTTGCCCTGATTAACTGAAAACAGTAGAATCCCTAGCTTCATATCACCTCTGCACGAACAGGTTAGCTCATTCTCACCATGGGACCGAAATGGGACATCGGCCATGGTTTGCAAGAGCAGTTTCAAGTATTTTGCGGCGCCTTAAAATCATGGAAGGAATTCCAAACCATGGCCGCTATGGCCAAACCCAAGGCGACTGACTTTTTAGCTGCCACAAACCAATGGCAGGATGCCGTGGTATTGAAAATCAATGACGGGTAAAATGAAACCAAAGGCGGGTGAAATTTTGCTGCCGTAACCACGGCATGTCGGCCGTAATGGCAGGGCTGCCCCTGATGGTGACAAATATTGGGTAAGTTGGAACATTTTTTTTATGGATACAGCTTCGATGGATTTGGGTTAGGTTTTGGTGTAGATATAATTCTGCATGATAAACTGAAATCTGGTACATTGGCTATTTGGCTGTTTTATCAACTTTTCTCCACCACGAGATAAATATGAATTTTATATATAAAAAACCCTGCAATTTATGAAGCAAAAGCAATAGGTGAACAGGTGCCATTTGATATCAACCAACCGCTATAAAGCAGCGGAGCATAAATGGCAGCACTGACACACTTGTGGTGAAATGGAATTATTCCGACTAGTCATGCTTCATTGCTTTCAAATCTTACCTTGAAGAATTTGAAGGCTTGATATGCAAATTGACAAACTTGGGATCCAAATCTATCAATGAGTTCGTGCTGACTGCTCTTTTCTTGGTGGGAGGAGGAGGTGGGGGACGCGCTGGTCTTACAGAAGCATTATTTGTATAAATTTTTGAGCGAACATCTGTAGGACCAGATATTTGCCGCTGTACAGGATTATTATTGTTCGTACTTTCTCCTGTTGTGTCATAAAGATCAATTAGAGTTCCCATTGTGTTAGTTTCCTTTACTGGCGTCTGATAGTTACGTAATAATATTCCAGCACCATTTGAATCAGATTTATTTCCAAAATTTGAATCCATTTCAAGCTCTGCATTATTATCCTGGGTATTTGATGAAGCCAATGGATCAAACTCATTCACAATCTCCATGGTAAAACGCAGGGTAGAATTAAACCTTGATATTTGTTCAAAAGTAAATCCAACGAATATTAAAAATTCTCATATTTTATACTAAATTAAGTAAATCCTCTGTAAACCAAAGATTATTATTCGAAGAACAATACTGAGAGTACTAGGATATTGTGTTTAACTGCAGATCCGTTCTCTTCGTCTACTTCTTATATTCGATTCCTATGTTGCAGCCAAATCACAAACGCTTGAATGAAATAACATTTGAGTAAATAATAAGAATAACATAAGCACTGTAGGGCACAGTTTGCCAATTCCAATTCCAGAGCGTCAGATTGCGCCAGCTTGTCTCGATAATAACAAGAGTCATGTGACCAAAATTGCATTTTTGCTGAAAAAATTTTCGAATGCTACGGTAAAAAATTTTTTGGTAAATCGGATCATTGTTGCTCAAAAAATCTGATTTTAACGTTTTTTAAATTGTGCTTCCTTTATTATTTTGCGCAAAGTTGGTTTGCTGATTTATGTCGATATAGGCTCAGACTGTCTCGTAAAGAGGGGGTTTGCATTCATAATATTAAGTAATGTCTTTCAAGGTGGGTATATTCTTGGAATCTGAGAACATTGCGATACTAAGGCATAAACCTCATTAGTTAGTCTGTTTTATCAATAATAATAGCACAATCTGTTTGTTCACAGCAAAACGCACTAAATGTGTCAAATAAAAGGGAATGATATACGCATACTAATTTAATAGCGGTGCAATGTACAATGGATAAATGTGAATAGTAGGCCTATTGATCATTTAGGCCAAAAAAATGAGAGTTTTATAGTTTAATCAATTGATTATAATTTTTTTCGTACGCTAGCGGTTATACCCTATTACCCGGCGAATAAGTCGCTTTTCTAGACTCAAATTTTTGGCCTGATTTTGGGTGGCCGTCTTATTAGGCGAGTATGATAATTTTTTTGGTGTCGTCTTATTATTCAATTCGTACCATAAAGTACCAAATACCTTCGGAGATAGCATCCCCACGTCCAAATCATTGCGGTGTTATTTTAGATCGGCATTGTTCTTATATGGTGGACGCAATCACGAGTTACGTTGAACACAATTAGATTGAAATTGGAAGACAGTTTGAATTCTCGTAGTTGTTATGGATGGAATATTGCGCTACAAGAAAAGTCATTATAGGCTATTTCAACCAATGCATGGATTGGATATTACGCTACAAGAAAAAGTCATTATTGGCTATTTTAACCAATGTGCATACGCGGCGACCGCTAAAATGTCTTTCCGTGGTAATTTGAGATTTTGATGTTGATGCGATTTAACCACCCATCTTATTGGCAGGTTATAATATGCATAAACCCATTTTTTTAGTCCTAAAAACGGGCCTCGTCTTATTTACTGGGTAGACTTATTCGCCGGGAAATACGGTAGATCTTTTTCAACACACAATTACTCGTTTTTATTGAAACCAATTATTTTTACCAATCATTTTATTGTTATGCTGATTATGGAGTCAAAATAAACTTATATTATATGTTCATTCACATTCAGACATTCTATAATTCTGTGTAAGAACACAATTCCAAAATAAACGAGACACAAATTCAGATTCATATTTACTCAAAGCCATTTTCAATTATTATATACCGGTATCGTAAAAGCGCCTAACTTCGGACAAAATTACCATATTTTCATCAATAACTCAACCATTTATTGTCCAAATTGCGCCAAAATTGCTCGGTAAAACATTGATGCGGTCTGTTACATTCCCTGAAAATTTCGTGCCCATCGGAATATTTTTACTATTGAAATATCCATTTTTTCTTGTCATCTGACAATTATCCTTCACTGCCCTAGCTTCGGACAGTCATTTTCCTCATTGCGTAACTGTGACGCACAGAGAGAAAGAGTCTTCCGACGCGGATGACGTGATCAGGTCGTTGCGTGAAGATAAAACGCTCGATCGGCGTCGTAACATAACATCGGAACGACGTGGAAAAAATGCATTATTTGAAATTTCCATTGTCCTTTGTTTACCTTGTTGCATTTATTTGATATTTTAGTTACGTCAGATCAGTATAATAACACGTTGGCCATTCTAATCAAGAATTAACATACGCAAATTAATCTAATGCAAACCGTTTCGATCTACAATGAAACATTTTAACCGGCTTGTAAATCTTTGAAATATTAATATTCTCGACAGATAGCTTTGTTGATGTTACGCTGTTATCTTTATAAGTAATTAATCTTTCATCAAACTTAACGCGAACCCAATTGTCACGTTTAATCTTCAATTCAATTTCGCTAATTAACATTGAGATAGGTACCATGATTTTGGTTGGGAATAAAATAAATTCACCACACAGGTGTATCTAATAACTATCGATTTTGACTTCAAAGCGTAAAATAGTTGTTTTCGTCAGTATACAGTGCCACATGGACGTTGCATTTCTCTAATTTTATATATTCGAATCTTTATGACATTGGTTACGTAAGAAACGTATTCTCGTTAATGTGATTTTAACATATGTTCACACATGGACCGAACAAAATACAGAAATATTACACTGGAATGCATCTTTACCTTAATAAAAGGAAATTGCTAATTTGGCGCCGTTGCATCGGGCGTCAAAATTCGTTTCCGCGAGGCAGTGTGACGTCGTGTCGGAAGTGAGCGAAAAATGATCTATGTGAGGCTGACGCAGCGTGAAGTCTCAATAATTTACGAAATTTACAATTCAGAATTTTACGTTTTATTTAAATCTCGTATGACATCTTGCGATCACTCTGATAAATTATATACATTGTTATTGCCCTCTACCGGATGATGGTATTTTGACGATGATAGCTTAAGTAGCGACGCTCTGTACCGTTGAATAGCGGGCAATCATTTTTCGGCAATATTTCTGTTTTTTTCGAGAAAAAAGAATTATACAACTTTAAAAAGGTTGAGAATAGATGTATATATAACAGCTCTACCTATAAAAATTAAAATTGGCAATATACGAGGCTTATTAGTCAAGATATGGCCGTTTAAATTTTTTGTCCGAAGTTAGGAACTGTCCGAAGTTAGGCACTTTTACGGTACCGGTATTTGTTTGTATCTTTACCTCAATGAATTTTCCATACCAGCCTACCCCAAGATAAATACGAAAACTCTTACTGCATTGAAAGTCACAGGGGAGGTAGCGATAAAATATAAGTTAGGCTACTAAATTACGGTAGAAAAAAAAATATAACAAAACCTGAAACTCTTACCATTCTTTTATTTTAATTGGTTCACTCAATGAGTGATTTTTAATAAAAAAAGATACGGTAATATACCGGTACATAATATACATGGGTCCTTATTCTATTTTGCATCCATAATTCAGTACCGTAGTCCTGTGGTCTAGTTTTTTTTTTTTTTTTTTTTAAATGGGTCCACAATGTGGATTATTCAATATGTAAATAATAAAAAATTAAATATAAACAAATATATATTGTGTACCGCAAGTGAACAAACATATATATCAGTAATATCAAGATAATAACAATATTTTTTCAGTTCCAGCAGTAATAGGGGCCTAGGTAATATCCATACCATACCGGTACACTTCTTAGTTCTTACTTTCTTCATTCAATTCATTCGAAAAATCGTAATCTTTACTTTTTTTTTGCCAAATAAATTCCAATGCCAAACGGATCTTTTGTATTAATATTTTGGAATCGAATCATTTTATTTTAAATACGGTACCGGTACATAGTTTCCCCCAAAATACCCATATATTTTGCCAAACTAAATTTGGTCAGTCAGCTCGGCACTCTGCTGCCTCTACCCACACCTGCTACAAAGAGTTTATCTTGTCGGACGTTTGGTCGGACGGTTTGCACTGTTTCAAGGCAGGGCATAAATAGAATAGCATTTACATATTTATTCTGGGGAGGGGAAGGATGATAAGAGGGCTTAACCATATGGCAAACTAAGGCCTCTCGTCATATTACCAGTCCATGTCAGGTAGGATAGGATAGGATTTACGTATTTATCTCGGGGAGAAGAAGGCCGAAAATACGGCATAACCATATGACGAAACGCGCCTCTCGCTCGGTTACCATTCCTTTTCGGGTTTGGGATTCGCGGGCTGGAACTTGATGGTGGAGGAAGCCGTAACCGACCAGCGATTATGTGAACCACCCTACGGCGACGAAGAATCCAGCAATCCTCTCGCACATAATCATCCCCGCATGGGATTCGAACCTGCGAACCCACGCAAAGTAATTAGAGGTGCGGCGGCGAACGTATTCCTGACGCTTAGCACGATGAGCCGCCCCGCCACGCCGATATTTTATGCAAATATGTTCGTGGTATTGATGTAATTATATAGCAGGGGTCTTAAACTCAATATTACCTGGGGACCGCCGAGACGGAGCCTTAGTGAGTCCGGGCCGCATCCGGTTTTTCACAATAAAAGCATTAAACTTAAAAAGGTAAATCTTCTTCACTGTTCACTGTTTTTCACTGTTTCTATACGCAAAACATGTCAAAAAGATAAATGTAAGTAATTCCGCGATAGACCTTTCCCCGAGCATCTACTTCTTTGTTTATTCCGGAACATGGGCTAATCAGCAAGATGCAAAAAGTGGCGTAACAATAGACTTTTTCGCAAACGCTCAGACACTCAGAAAGATTTTCAGGCATGTTTGTAAAGATTACCTCGTTTTTGCATGCTATTTGTTACTTTGGGGTTGTGTTCCAGAAATTCAAGTATGAATCAAAGAACTCAATGATCATTCTGATTGCTTGCGTCGTACCTTAATTGCCGTAATCAAAAATTAGTCTAGAAATAGCTGTGATAGACTAAGCTAAACTTCTCTACCGGTACCGTACTGTTGAAAAACAGGTTGTTGAATGTTTTGAATTAAAATGATGACGTGAAACATATACCCCAGTTTATAGGGTTCAACTCGCGAAGCCACCTCTAAAACAAACACCAAGAATTTGCAATGGTAAGGTATAAGAAAATTTTCTTTGGGGTCAAATGTCCATCGAATATCATGCCTACAGGTACGGTACTAGTAGGTTACCGTACCGCACATTCCTTTTGGGGGATTGAATATAAAATATTTGTTTTGCTCTACTTGTCCTAATCAATGGCCCGCGGGCCGCGAGTTTGAGACCCCTGTTATATAGTAATGATTATAACTTGTTACCAAACAACGCCCTACCTTAGTAAAACCCTGAAAATCTGAAATGTTGAGCCTGCCGTAAATGCTCGTTTTAACGCCCGGTCTTGATTAAGGGCCCGTTTGAATAGCCGCCCGTGTGAACATGACATAAAAATAAATAAGGGCCGGTGCTTGAATACCCGCCCGGGGTAAAAGTTTTTTTTTTGCGGATTTGTACATGCTGTGCGTGGAAAAAGTCAAAATTTTCATTATTCTCGTTTAAATCATACTTGAGAACTGGAAATGACAATATACGGTATTAATTATTGTAACGATCGATTTTATTTACCGGTATTTTGTGTGTAATTTTCTTTAAAAATAACAAGCGCCCCTGCTTGAATCAGGGCCCGGTTAGTGAGTATGTTTAAAAAAATAAGCGCCCGGGCTATTAAGCGAGCAAATACGGTATTAGCAAAAAGGCTTTGAACAAGCGGCAATTAAAACACGAAAAGACAATGCGACAATAAGTGGAGTTGGAGTAACGTTATTATTTTGTTGTTGTGAATCCTTTGAGTTCCATTATAACAGTGGCTCCCAACCTTTTAAGGCTCCTGGCCCCCACCTGGCGGCTTTTTGCACGCGCGGCCTCCCTGTTCGCCATTTAAAAAAACTAGACGGGTTAGAATGTTTTGACAAGTTTCCATGGAATGGAAACAAACAACAGACGAAAAAGTCCAAACTTTTTAGTATACAATCAATGGGAATCTTGCGCTTGGGACTGGCTGACGAGATTTCTTCTATCAGACACCGTCTTTCATATAGCTTGACGAATGTCACTGTCAACATCAAGACGGTTTCTAGATTTTGTTTCCTCCGACAGAAACTCGATCTAGGCCAATGTTGCTTTCTTGTCAAATCTAACTCGCTCGGCAGTCAAGAAATCGATGTCAACGTCCTTCACCTGGGATGATTTTTGTCACGGCGGTTTTGGAGTTTAGATGGACGTAACAATTCATTGCTCATTACATACGAGCAATTCAGGCATTGAGCACATTCTCACTCATCTCGATTTAACTGTCGTTCCATTTTTGTATTTTGGACTTTGGGAATTTACATATGGGTTTTGCGTCTACAATACGATATTGAAAGTTATTTCGCAGTCTGGGGAAACCTCCCGACTGCAGGATAGACGGCCTACCAGCGAACTATTTTGATTGGTAGATTTTAAATTCCATTGTGATCAAACAATTCACGCACGGAATACACCCTGTGATAGCAAACAACCTATTCAGGTAATGAAACTGCGGTGAACGGCTGAACAGGGAATTTTATTTTAAAAGTGAAGTATGCAAACGAAGTCGCTTTATGACCAATTATTAGCCTTGTGTCGTGGTCCCCTTGAACTGCTTCGTGGCCCTCGGTTGAGAACCATTGCATTATACTGTAATGTGTTATTTCTCTCTCTCTCTTTCGGTACTGTTATGCGATTGGACCTTTGGAGGGCAAATAGAGAAAGGTGCAGTATACCGTATCGGTATATGAGCATATAATTGTTCACTTTACAATTTCATGGCATTAAATAATATAAACACAATCTCAACTCCAACTTATCTTAAATCTTCTCTATTTTCAGTATATCATATTTCCATGTACCGGTATCTCAATATTGCACGCTTTAGTAGCTTTATTCTATGACGCAATAGTTGATGTTTAGGCGGGAAAGGCGTCGTAGAACGCGATATCCTTCATATTTCTACATCCGAATCTAGGGAAGTATTCTGTCGTGCTCGGCTGTTGTACTCGAATAGTATCGAATAATAATTGTTTAGATCAGTTGTTTCAAAGCAAAATCTAATTATTGAACTGTCGGAATTTATCCGCTTCAATCAGGATAAGGGATATACTTCATAAATGCGTTTTTATCGACAGACTAGTCACTTCGGGTGAGTTTCTTCTGAAGTTCATTTTATATTTTTAATTTGACATTTCCATGCCCCCACTCCGAACAAGATAGTATACAAAAATCCACTAATACAGTAATATGTAGAAAACTGCCATTTACCGGTATCGATATGTGAGAATTCAATGAGGGAGCATACCGGTACGCAGTGAAGCATATACGGATACGATACAGTACTATGAAGATGTATAATCTGATAAAAGGACATGGATTTTATATTTAGGGTCTCTGGAAAATAGGAAAGGACATAGGCAAGCATATTTGTTAGTTGTTTGAAAATAATGTTGTAAATTTATAGGTTTCCCCAATAATAGGAAAGGGTCTTATTTCAATTTTCTTTCGAAAAATAACAAAAAGGCTTATTTTGTGGGATGTCTTTTATCTTCATTTATCAAAAACAAAATTACGGAATATGAACTGAGAGATATGAGATTTTCAAATATAGAAAGTAAGAAAACCAATTTCCGTTTACTAATAAATAACACAATTTTATTTAAAATAACTGCTGGACATAGATTAGTAGTCATTCAAAACATGTGGGAGAGACTCCTTGCTATCGAAAGAGTCAAAAAATATTTTTCGTTATCAACTAGGTCTTATTTTAAGGGAAGGGCTTATCAATCAATCAATCATTTATTTAGGTTCTCTGACATAAACAATACAAAAAGTAAACAGACAAACAAAATGCAGAGATACATGGGAGACGGGCATAACTTTAAAAAAAACTTAAAAAAGCGAACAATGTACGTGCCCGCCCACCAAAAAAAAAATAAAACGAACACAGAAAAACGCGATTTACAATCGGGCAGTACTTTGAAAACAATTTGACAAAAACAGCAAATTATATTAGAATCATTGTGAAAACTCAGGCTAGGTCTTATTTTCAGGTGCACATGGTAGATCATTTAGGCATAATTAGGGTAAGGTTGTAGTGGTATTGGCAGGTTAATGGTATAATGTCGCTACTCTGGTAAATAACAGTCATACTGGGTAAATAAATTTGTAAATCCACATGTGGTTGTATATTATCATTTTAAAAATCAAAATCATAATATTAATATTATACTATGATATTGTTTTCATCAGGCAGGTGTTAGTATTAGAAATACCTACTGTTTTGGCACCATTTTAGGTTTGTCCAATTTCTAGGTATTTTTCTAATTTTTATTTTCTTATTTGTATGCTTTTGTTGTAGACCTAAGGATATATTAGAGTAGTATGTGTACCAGGTTAAGGTTAGGCCATAATTTTATTCCAATTTCTAGTCTTTTCATATATGTCTATGCATTTCTTGATTTTCCTTAGTTAAGTAATGTACACTATGCGGCATGTGAATTGTTTGGTGTCTGGAAGATCGGATTTTCGATATTTTTTCCCGGGAAGAAGAAAGTCAACAGGCCATATGACAAATTAGGGGAATCTAGTTGGCTAGCAAATCCAGGTCGGGTGCGGAAATAGCTTAGAATATTGATTCGAATGAATTGAATTTGATAATTTAAACCTTTTGACACAGGCAAACGTTATTTACAACATCACATTACAGATTTCAAAGCAATTATAAAATGGCATTATTATACAAAGTTAGCTGACACAATTTTTGAAATATTTGAATTGAGAAAAAAAGAGAAATACCGAAAGCACATACCGGTAATTAAAAAATAGTCAACGTATCCTTTCAAGTGTGCCTCTGATCAGAATTTCGGCGCCGGCGCTCCGGAAGTATGTGTACCAAGATGACATACAACCTGAACTTTAACCTGGTACACATACTATGTTCAGGTTATGCGCCATCTTGGTTCACATACTTCGGGAGCACCAGAAATTCAATATTTTGTTCAATAATAAAATAAAACAACACAGCTTTTGAATTATTGATTATTACCGTATATACTCGCCGATAGGTCGCGCCACCGTATGGGTCGCACTATTAGTTTTGTGTTAAAAAAGTTTAATTCAGAGTTGACTCGCACATAAGTCGCACTGAAAATCTAGGGATTTAAAAGGCCCTTTCTTTCCCTAGCTTTTTTGCATAGATAACTTTCTATTTTTATTTTTTTTGTAGGGCTCAATATAATCAAAATATGTTTATCGACACCTGTGAGCAATAACAAGTGCATGTACGCAAGCGTAGAGCAGTTGCATGTGCGCTCATGAAACTGTCTCGCATTGGTATGTGCGTGCACGAGCGCATGCACCCGTGTTTGATAGAGCTACAGTGGCAATAGCACATTTACACTGCAATTCGCTTCTATAACGCGCACCCTTAATTTTTTAATGAAAATTACTATAAAATTTTGCGCGTTATACTCGAATAAATAAACTTTCAATTTTGTTCTGACTTGGTGGCAATTTGCACTTATGATGAGCGGATTGGTCGCACCTATATTTTTTTTTAAAATAATATTTTTTTTTAAAAAATATAAGGAAAAAATTGCGACCTATCTGCGTGTATGTCCGGTAGTTTAGATTTGAAGAAATAGCAAGTTTCATGTGCCTAAATTACTTGATGAAATATAATATAGTGTTGCTCTAAATTTTAAAAGGGTATAGTTAATAGCTGCTACATGCTATAATTATCATTTATTAGCTGGATGTATATCAGAAAAGTATTGGTACCTGATCGATTAGGAACGTCAAAGGGGGGACCAAAATAGCTGTAGGTACAAAACCTTGTTAGGAATCATTGTCCACTCTGCTTTATGTACAGTATATATTAAAAAAAGGGTAGTCAAGCACTATCTTTACCCATTTTGTTTTTAAAGAGTTCTTAAAAAATAGCATTGCAAAGCAGAACTCAAAAATATTTTATCATTCTCTCTTTGATGTTTTGAAAAATCAGAATTTGCTATCATTCATCAGAGATTCCCTTCATTTTTTTGTGGTATCTTCCGGTAGTTCCTTGATCGCGAGCTGCTGTGGCTGGATCCCAAGCAGAGCTGTCAAAATAAAAAAAATAATGAGTATTTGCTATTGTCATATAATCTAGTCTGTAAAATGACCTGTGATTAAATTTTTTTTTTGTGGAAAATTGGAAAAAACACCTGTCATTTAACCCTTTCCGTGCTGTGGGCACGTATACGTACCCACGACAAAAGTCGCTAGATCGCGGTGGGTACGTTTATGTACTACACTGTTTTATTTAGCAATCGGTCGCAAACTGTTGGTCTAGTTTTTCCGGGTTTTAGTTTATTGATAAGAAGTCTTCTTCGAGATTAACATAAGCGACGGTAAATCTCGCTTTCGTTCACGACAGGAATTTTATTTGCGGCGGAACAAGGGAGTGTTTTTAAAATTTATGCAAATTTCGGTGTTTTTGGGTGGTAATAGAAGACATGTTATCCCTTCCATCTACCAAAGTATTTTGAGTTGGATCACGAAATTGCTACAGCAATATTATGCTATTGTTTGCCAACCACGAAGCGGTAACAGTAAAGGATTTAGCGAATATTTCTATTTTTTATCACGGTTTGAAGTTTTAACTCCCAAGAAAAAAAAATGCCTTTTTTCTATCCGGTTCGTGACTCAGACCACCACTTTTGAAAAAACTTTTTTTTCAATCGCCAATCGCAAGCTCTTTAAATAAGCTTTCCAACGAGCCGTCAGTGGGCAGCAGAGGATCCTTAGTTTTTCGTTAGTCGATCGATTAGTTGTAGGGGTACAAATGCATAAAATCGGCGTAGCAAATACGATTATTTAATAAAAAATATAAATCGCATGGAAAGGGTTAAGCTTTTCAGTTTATGCATTCATATTTAGTTTGTTGGGTTTGTTTAAATCAGTAAATTACCTGGTGGAATGTTTTGTGCATTGTCCACTTTGAGAGTGTAATTGTTAGTGGTTTGAGTGCCAATATAAGAATCTGCTTTGACATCTCCAGTCCGCATGGATGGCATGGGCCTCTGTAAATGCAACACACAATTAGCAGGCTTATAGTTGTTAGCATATTATGCTGTATTGGCAGTGCATGTTAGAGATTGATGGTCTGCGTTATGAATACTGAAAAGTACACAATATAATAAACAAATATATTTGCTATTACATTTATTTTTTATTTATTACAAGCAACTACTGTTGTTTGGGTTGCCAATATATTACATAAATCCTGTATGGGATCATAACCTGAGATGTGTAATCTTCCAAGCTAAGACGGTTAAGTCTAATCGTCTATCCGCTAGGTACAGACATGGGCAAGCTACAGCCCATGGGCCAGATCCGGCATGTTGGGAAGTTCAATCTGGCCCGCCTGATGCTGCCACAACTAAACTAAAACCAAATTTTGCTGTTTTGGCTAATAAAATAGCTCAAGGAATTTGTTGAGATTGGGATTAAATTCAGTTTGGGCAGGAGGCTCATTGTTTTCTGCCTTTGCTTTTGTAACACTGTAAAAATATTTAATAAAATACTACTTTCATGTCCCGCCAGTCTAGGTATGCAAAATTTTTGGCCCTTGGTTCAAAAATCGTGCCCACCCCTGCGCTAGGATATTGTCTCGCTATTGCGATAAGCCTATAATATAATATACATCAAATTATAATACAAATCCTTTAAATTTCAAACTAAACATAAGGTTGACAGCTAGATTTGCTCAATATGTATCCCACCTGATTAACTTTTTCACTTTTTGATGGCCCAGCTGTTTCAGACAAGGGAACTGTAAATAAATAAGATAAATTATGTTTTATGATACCACTTTACCATAATGTAGTTAAGTTTCACATTTTCACACTGAATTGCTATGGTACTTATGTAGTATGTGAACCCAAATGGTTGACACCGGAACGTAGTATATGTACCCGGTTAGTGTTAGGCCATAATTCCAGGTACAAATACTACGGGAGTCACTTCGCTAGTCCCGAACTCGTAACAGAACTAAAATAAGAAAAGCCCAACCTGGTACACATACTACATTCCCAGAAGCACCCAAGAATTTAATTGAGACTGGTTTAAAACTCAAATTCAATTTACCATATTGTTTAATTGGCCAGTCGACAACGATCGGTAGCGGTCCTCGTATATCGTTTTCATCATCTGGATCAGTTGCTTCAATTGTGTATTGGATTTCCAAGCGGCATGAGTCATGCTCCAACTCTTCAAGCCTGAAGTATTCTAGATGATGTCGCTTTTTGAGCCATTTTTTTGTGACTTTGAAACTATGCTTGATCGGTGCGACTTCTGTATCATTTGGATTCTCGCACTTCATGGTCAGGGAGACAATGGAGTTCAGAGAGACAATGATTTCTTCTGGTAGGGGGAAGCCTGTGACAATAGGAGATCCAGTGTTGCCCAAATCCTTGGTACTTATTATTCTTTCATCTTTCCAAAAGTATGATGTGACCCGTTTTGTATTTTCAATACTGACATTGTTCATAATGCGAAATTCCATATCCTCTAACTGCTCCGCAGCAACCTCTGCTTTAAAGCTGCAAAAGTCTTCAACTTTGATTTCAATTGCACCCAATTGTCCAAGTTTTACCTTCTGAGATCTTACTTGACGACCACCTTTGCCCATCTCATTCGTATGGAATACTATAACTGGTACGTCCGCATGCTTTGGGCTACAAAAAGTTTTCATTGTTATTTTGACTGGCTCAGCAAAAGTTACTGGGAATTCATTTGCTGTATTCATTTGCAATTTGCAGGTCTTGCTTATAAGTCTGCATGTGAGGACAGGGGTTATGGGAAAAAAATCCTTGGACTGCTGTTCATCAGGAATAGAGCATGACTTGAAGAAAAACTTCTTTTCTTCTTCAACTGCTCCGGGTGGAAAATATATTTTGAAGGAGGATATTCTTACTTCTCCACCGTCTTCGCCAATGGTTGCATATACTACTTCTGGTCTACGAAGAGCATTGTCCATTTTCATATGCACTGAAAAAAAAAACATTTAACTACCATATAGTGCAAAATGAATCCATAATTTTGTCAATATCTGCCATTCTTGCACTAATATCAAGAGGGGGGCCCGATCTTTATTCTTCTATCAAACATTATTATGCCCAGTACCACATCCAGCTTAATATCTGTTATGATATATTTTCATAATGTATTCGATAGGGTTGTCCAAAATCAAGTATTTTTTTGATTCAAATCGAACCAAATAATCAAATATTATTGCACAATTCTAAATCTGTCTCTAATATACAATAAAAACTCCCTCTTCTATATTGTGATGACATATGTTCAGTTACATCTAAAGTACTGAGGTCCTTAAAATTGGGGTTTCGAGAACTGACGAGTGTTGAGAGTTGAAAATTGCACAGACTCTCGATACTTTATTTACTAAATTTTTATGAATTCAGTTTTAATATGGCATTTAAAAGCCTGAAGTGCTATTTTAATCTGATTATCATTAATCCTAACTCTGAAGGTTTCTTGTGTAATTTCCAGCAAAATGATTAACAACCATTAATATAGATAAAACTGTTGTCCAAGAAATTTTAAATTGCATTTGGGGAGGTCTCAAATTGGGAGCTAGGGATGGCAATATTATTTGATGATCGTGTTGTTACTGTACAACAGCTATCAAAGTGCAAGAGTGCAATTATTTGTCATAGTAATAGGCGTATAATACAAAGTATTGAAAGTCATCCATTGAAAGCAGGTATTGCCATTGTAAGAACCCCCAGCACATGTTTCAGTCTCAAGTTAGCTGAAACATGTTCCTATGATTACTAAACCAACAGCTCCAAATCGATTCTATTTATAGAAGTTATCTGCCGAAACTAAATTGCCTTTTTCGCCTTGTGTACTCTCTCAAAAACGTCATTATTGGTAATAACCTTTCAGTTATGACCATGCATGAAATGGATAATTACATTCCACCGGGAATTTGAAGAGACACCTTTTTACCGCGAAAAGAAGGCGAGAGAAATATGTTTCCGCTTGCTCGATAAAAACGTGCTGCAAAGGTGTTTGTGAGGTTTTTTTTTATATTTCAACTAACGGTAAATTTTTTTTTTCAACTAACGCTTAATATACCTCATTTAGTACAATTCGCAGATGTCGGTCGCGAAATCGTTGATATAATCGCTTAGATATGGCAGAGAGGATGATTAGGCAACAAATTTTATTAAATATCGATGAAAGGGTACCCCTTCTACACTGAAAATATCTGAAGTTATTTTTGTTAATTGAGCAATTGTTTCGAAGCAAAACCGCGTCTGCAAAACCTGGCCGTAATAGGGTTTTCACTCTTACTATTCACGTCTTTGAATATATTTAGGGTCTCGCCAACTATAATCGCATAATAACGAGTTTCGCACACTTGAAAAGAAACCAAATATCAACATCCACGTTGCATAAGCTGTCTGTGTGCAACGGTACTCATGAGATAGGGAGAATTTAAAAAATAATTTTGTAATGATAATGGAACAACTAGGGATGTTAACAATAATGGCCCTGTGAAAAATGTTGAGGGAGGGGGGATTCGATCCCAGAATCTTATTCAAATAATGGTTATTCTATATTTGAATGAAAATCTCTTCTTGTTAAAACTAAATTAATAACACTAACTGTCTTTCTTAGGTGAGATTTAGCATAATTCTTTGCATATTACCGAGCTCACTCCATCTGATATCTTCACCTTCTGTTGTTACTTCAATCTGTGATTCTAAATCTGTTAATGAATCACACATTGTAACAAGACTCTGATTATCTTCTTAAATGTAAAAAATATTAGGCATATTTGATAGGAATAGACGAAAGTTCCATATCTAGAAACTTTCGTGCAAATGTACCCCTTTCTGAAATATGATGACAAAATGGTCTAGCGGTTAAATCATCAGACTTGAATGTGTTGGCAATGGCAGATCCCACTTCTCAGGGTTCAAATTCCATGCCCACCACCTTATCCTGGGCTAATAACTTGAGCAGTAATTGCCGGACCATTAAGTTTCTCCCCAATAGTCTTACTTATTGTTTGTTATCAGTAGGTGCTTGTACGTTGTTCCACTAGGTAATTGGGTAGGTATTTGAAAATGCGCTGCTCTAATTGCGAACAAATGTTTATGGAATTATGATAAATCTGCGAAGCAACTAAAAAGAGGATTTGTATATTGGCGCATATATCCAATAGTTTCACATGAGCCTAGTTTAGCGTATTATATATATGGGCCACAGTAAAGATCAGTATCTGAAATTAATTACATGGATGATGTTCAGAGAGTAACACAGAATGTGTATATTTTTATGATAGGCTGTCGTCCATGCATCCACAAGTCGTGAATTTTAGAGCTAATATGATCGGGCACAATGGTTTCTCTAATTCAGTTATTTTTCTAACATATGAGAAACTTTAGTACTTACTATTCAGCCATTTTTCAATCTTTTCTGCTTTGTTTTGCATGACTCCAAGCCCATATTTGCATGTCATTTCGAATCTCTGCCATCCAACCATTTTTAGATCATAATCCTTAACATTATATATTAGCGATAAAAAATGACAAAAGTTGATTGATTTTAGCCATTTGCATTTACTTTTTTCAGTAAACTAATTGTGAAACAGAAACAAATAAAAAGTGTTCGTAACATGTGCAAACTTAAATTTGGACTCAAAATGTGTAATAAATCTTTGTTCTTGCTTTAATTTATTGACAGCAAAATGGGAGCTGGTGTATTATAAAATAAAACGACGCAGACATTTGAAATATATATTTTATTTGCTGTACAACACAGACTTATTTGATGTAAATTAGACTATTTATGTATTTTTCACACTATTCACTCATAATAGGGGCCAGTGTGAGAAATACGATACATAATGCAAAATAGTGAATATCGGGAGAGCTGACTCTGGTTGACGAACAATCAATCTCCTTCTCTTTCTTACAGCCACATGTCCTATACCTTATAAGTGACTTTCAAAAACAAGTATTTCTAACTTACATTACTTTTTCTTGAAACATCCAAATTTTCTGAACTGTCAAAACTTCCATGTGCGCTGTCAGTCTGAAAAGTTGTGATTACACCATTAAGGTGAAGACGAGATTGAGAAAAGTCAAAGTAGTGGATAAATCTAGCTAATAACTGGGTTGTCTCACTGATTATTCCACCCAGTATGTAGGACATTCAGAAACAGGAAATTCAAATCTTTTCGATCCACATTGTGATTGTAGGATCCTACAAAAACATATACTGGACTTTTTACGTTGATATTTTGTATCATTTTAATGCTTGGCGTTGAGGTCATATTTCGGTTTCCAGTTAAAACAAAACAGAAACTATGAAGTTCAATAAATATCTTACATCTAAATTGTCTGACATTGAATGCTCCGATCTCCTGCTTCTGTCCTCCTGTTTATAAAAAGGTAAAGTATTTAGACTGAATAATGATATTATGATCATTCGTTTATTGGCAAATTAGATGTACTAAATGTAAGCGTGGGTGTAAAGCCGTGGTTCTTACAGTGGGCGTTGCGCGTCGTTTCAATTTTGCTAGGCCTTCGCAAAACGTTTCTTCTTTTGTGGAATTGCACCTGCGGTGCGTAGAAAAGTCAAAATTCTCGTTATTCTCATTTGAATCACACTTGAAAACTGGAGATGACAATATTTTAATTATCGTAACGATTAGGGCTGTGCAAGCAAACCGAATATTCGAAATCGAGTCGAATCACAAGTTATTCGAAGCGTTTTTCGGCCAATTTTTGAATCGCTATAATTTAGTACTTAATGCGCCTCACGACCACCTTTGCACCGCGTTTTTCACCGGGCCAGCAAAAACATGTTTCTATCGCTTTCTTTGCTGTAAAAAGGGGTCTCCTATTGCCCGGTGACATGTAATTATCCATTCCATGCATGGTCATAAATGAAAAGTTATCGGTAACAATGATTTAAAGATGACGTTTTTTAAGAGAACACAAGGAGAAAAAGGCAAATTTTGTGTCAGCCAAAAACGCCAGTTCTATAAATAGAATCGATTTGTAGCTGTTGAGTCAGTAATCATAGGCACATGGTACAGGACTGAAACACGTTTTGGAGGTCCAATATCTTTTTCCAATAAAATTTGTAATTTCTTCTAAGGGCAATACTTTGTTTCATCCATTTATTACTATGACAAATAATTGCACTCTTGTGAGTTGATGGCTGTTGTACAGCAACAATATGGTCATCAAATATTAATGTCATCAAACTAGTTCTGAATTTGTGAGTTCCCAAAATGCAATTTTGAATTTTTTAGGCAACAGTTATATCTATATTAATAGTTGTTTATCATTTTACTGAAAATTACGCAAAAAATATTGAGTTAATAATACTAATGATAATAGGACTAAAATAGCAAATACGAGCATTAAAAGACTCTATTAAAATATGATAGTTTTCGAAACCCTAATGTTTTGACCATTTGACCATACGGTATCACAATATTGAAGAGGAAGTTTTTATTGTACATTAGAGACAAATTTAGGATTGCGCAATAATATTCGATTATTCGGTTCGATTGGAGAAAAATATTCGATTCGAATCAGAAAAATATTCGATTTTGGACAGCCCTAGTAACGATCAATCTTGTCTATATGTGACCTCACTAACGTCACGGGTCATTTATTGCTGTTCCAATTATGACATCACAAACACTGAGTCGGGCAAGCTCAGGTCATGCATATCATTCATTTCTAATCCTTTCATGAACATGAACATAACGAGCAATGTTGAGCGACATTCAGCACTTCGTCTACGCGTTGATTCGAACGACTCAATATTGATACCATGGCAGTTCTCTTCAGGCATTATTTTAATGAAACTTATTCCAAAAAAGGTCTTTTAGTAAAATATATCAGGACATTTTTCACGGAGAGTCGTAACTTGAACATATTTTTAGGAGGGCGTCGCAATACCAGGAAGTTTGAGAACCACTCGTGTAAAGTAATCCTTCAAAGATGAACCAAACCGAAGTTTTAGGATAAATAGAAGTGATGGAACAGGTATTACGAAAGGGAATGTGGTCGCCTAGAACAGTGATTTTCAACTTTTTTGGTGGAGTAGAACCTCATTGTAACATTCCAGACACCCGAAGAACCTTGCTATACAATAGTTTAATTGTTTCTATTGTCTGAATTGTATAAGTATATACAAATGCAAACCTACTACTGGCAAATTAGAATATATTTAATTTTAGTTGAATGATATAAAGGCATTAATATACCCTGATATGAGCAAACTATGACCTGCGGTCCACATCGGCCCGTTGGGTGATTCAATCTGGCCTACCTAATGCTGCCACAACCAAACTGAAACCAAAGTTTTTTGGGGATTGCAGTCAATATTGGTTTTGGCATGCGGCTCCTCTTGCTTTTGTAACACTGTAATTATTGTTCATAAAATGTAATTTTTTACGCCTCACATGGACTGCCAGTATAGGTAAGGAAAAATTGTTGGTACAAAAACTTTGCCCAGACTCATGAATTCAACTGAGGAGTTGAACTGGAGGGATTCCTGGTTGAATGTCCTGGAGCCTAAATGACAAATGCTATTTCTGTATATTTTTACAGGGCGGGATTTTATAGTTGAAATTATGAAAAATATATAAAAAAAATACTCACTCTCATATTGAGTCTAAAAAATTCTCTTTGAATACTTCTTATGCTGACTGCTGAACTGAAGTGACTGAACGATTCAAATCCCGAATCTTTGTTGGTGCTTTTCTTCATTGAGAGAATCTTTAATATTAATAAAAACAACATCTGATTGATTACCAAGAATAAATATAATCTGTCATGTCACCAACTTTTTGAGCAAATAATGTATTTCTAAACTTATCACAGCATTTGATTATTTAACATCATGACATTTGGAAATGTGTGAAATGTCATTTCTTGCAATTGGAATGGTACATTGGGATTGAAATAACTCATGAATTTATTTTTTGTCTTGACCTTACTGTATTGAAAAACGCAAAGTCAACAAATATACATTCACACGTTTTAAAACGTAAATAATATTTTATATTAAAAAGGTCTGTAAGAAAGTATTCTAATTTCACATTCTTCCATCTCCACAGTTTCTGGGTATCTTACTAATTATTATTCATCTTACGGTCGAATGAGTGTCTTTCACATGGCGTCGTAGTCCTGCCGACTTTTTTGTTTTCAGTGCTAAAGCCTGGAACCTTGTTCTATCAGATGCCAATGCCTGAAAACAAAAGATTCAGCTGGAAAAAAGGATTTGAGTTAAACTATGAACCATTTCCATTTCGTATTCATGACAAAATCTACTTCAGAAATTAAATTCAGTTTGTTAACTTACAGATATTTTCACACTTTTATTCAAATTTGAAGGAAAGGTGTTCTCACTTGTCTCTTCTCCTAACGTGCTCAAAGTTGACTGTAAAATGAAAATTTTTTATTCAAGTTTTTTGCAAATATGTTTTAACAAACAATTACAGCAATCCGTAGTGTAGTGAAAATGCTTGAACTAGTAAGTCTATACTCTAAGAACAGTGGTTCTCAACTGGTGGGCACAAGGGTGGCATAGATAATTATTTGAGTGAGTGTAACATGTTTTTTGAATAATACATTCTTTCTATCTACTATCTGCTTATTGTCAGCTAGTTATTTTTAAGGTGGGGCGCAAGACTTGACAAATTCTAAATAGGGGGCATAAGATGATAATTAGTGATGATGCAGAGATTGATATTTTTCATAAAGCCGTAATGAAAACAATCTTTACCTGAAACCTCTGCATCTTCCTATACTTTACGGATTCAGCAACTGTTCTGGGTTTATACTTTGTCACCTTTTTTTTCACCCCCGACTCTGTGAGATACTTATATATGGAGTCAGTTGCATCCTGTTTTAAGAAATAAATCTTTATAATGACTGCAACATTTTTTTCGTATATATCAAAGGCGTTGTCATATGTTGGTCTATCTAATTTCTCATACCAAGGTTTCCCAATGTTTTGTGCAAGTTTCAAACTATTATTTGACAAGTGTTGTGGTGAACGGAAAGGTGATCCTTTTAATGAGCTGAAACCGCAAAATTGAAGTATCAAAATATATTATACAGCACCATTAATAAAAAAAAATTATTCTTCAATATATCCCTGCATGCTCTTGCCCGACTTACTGAGCTTTTTTGATGTTTGTCTCCCAGTGTCTCTGTATTGTTCCTCCTCTTAGTCTTGGATGATGGTAACTTAAAACAAGAATATTTTGAATAATTCTCGTTCTTCTTTTTACAACAACTGTAACTCATAATAGAAACACATGTCGCAACATTTCATGTTTTAGGGGTCGGCTTGTTAGCAATTTGGACCATAAAATACCTTAGGGGGCGATAACATGCCTCTCGTCAGGTCAGTTTAAATGGATCAGCGTTATCGCGCTCGCTGTGAATCTGGAATAACAACGCTGTGCTTATCATATTTAAAGTTGCCGCATTTGTGTGTGTGTATCACGAGCTATTGCCGATACCATCACACGTGTGATTGCATTTTGTGAAAATCGACTGTTGTTTTTGTCAACGTGACGTTTTATTTAGGCATGAAACATCTCTACTGCAGCGTTTATTCTCCCTAAATTTCCCTCAACATATGCTTTGTGTCACGGGGATGATGATAGTTACTTTTTTGCTGTCAAGGGAACCATGGCACCTGTGAGAAAGCGAGGTATTACTTAATTATTGGCCACGAGGTGCTAAGATAAATAAAGAAGTGATAATGCGACCTGAATTTTCTTGATTGGAAATCGGCATTATATAATACTAAAAATAAAACGGAAAACACCATAAGTTTTGTTTTAGGATGGCCCGAGACAGATTAAAGACACTTTTTTAGACAGTGCAAATCGAAAAATTCTAGGCACACATTTTGTGGCCTACAACCGACGGGGCCTGATGCGACTTTTCCTGGAATATAATGATGTATACGATATATAAGATAATTTATGCAAAGTACCGGTATATTAAATTAATTCTTTGAAATAAATATTATCGCAGTCTAAAGGATTTTTTTATGGTGATATCCTAAAAATAATGAGTGACAGCATTGTGATGGAGCGGGATAAATATTGTGGGAACAGCTCAGATTTGTCTATATCGTAAAAATACTAATCAAAAAATTTATATTTGGACATTTTTTGACACATTTTATGTCCACGACAATGTTATTTTTATTGTCACAATCGCAGAATAAATTGCAGCAAAAAAATCATTACAAATTCTTTGAAAATGTTCGTCCGGATTTCAAGGCGATGAAGATGTATTTTTGATATATAATGTAGTTTTATTATCCTTAATTATGGTAAAGTGTACTTTACGTTATTTTATAGCAGATCTTGGGATTTTGATAACGGCGATAACGAATTTGCAAGAGCGCAAAAATATGTATCAAAACTTAATATATTCGGGCAGTTTATGTCACATTATTATGTCTACAGTTTGCCGTGTTATTTTAGATTACCGGTTGTAATGTTTATTTGGTCATAAATCAACACAATCGCGGGTTAGGTTGAACACAATTAAATTAAAATAGAAAGACATTTTAAATTGCCGTAGTTGTCATGAATTGAATATGACTCGACAGAAAAAGTCATTATGGGCTATTTTAACGAACGTGGCGACCGCTGCATGGAAATTTCCGATTCCAATTTTAAACTGTAAAGTGGCAATTTTTTTGCCCTGTCTTATTGGGGGGCTATATGCAAAAACCGGACCTCGTCCTATTTGCCGGGTAGACTTATTCACCAGGAAATACAGTAATTACAACACAATTGCTTTTAGATTTATTGCTGTGGCCGCACAAACTATCTCTCCTACATTATAATATTCGGTAAAGATTGTATAATATTTTAATCAAAAACATCCTCGACGTGTTATAAAAACCTTCAAGTCGGCGCTAATTTGAATCTTTTTATGTCGGCAGTAACTAATTGCCTCACTGCAATAGGCTGTCCTTGATTACGATAAAACATAAAATACAAACACAGTTTTCAATCAAATCCTGGTAGGTGGTGCTAGGATATTTGAAGGCAGTAATATTCGAATAGTAAATTCAAATTGGACATCCTTGGCTGTGATGGGTGCGTACTGCGTGTTACGATTTGTAAGGTTGGCTTATATTCAAGGATATACGTTATTCGAATTTTCTGATAATATCCGAGACACCAACCTGATCAGACGAATAAGAATTGTTTCGTGATTTGTCTTCAATATTGCTTTTCTGTATACTAATGCTGTATAACTTTCCTGAGCGCTTCTTGTACCGCTTCACAGGAGCTTGTGGCATTTGTATCTGAAATACATTCATTTTAACATTATCACAGGTTATTAAAAATTTATAATTGTAAAAATAAAATGCCATAAAACTCACTGTCCTGTTATGATTTTCTCGAACTCATAAAGGGTAAGCGCAATGACAATAGCATTAGTAATTCTTAGTACAGTGATACCTCGGTAGTCGAATTGAAATCCATTCCGGATTGGTGTTCAAGTACCGAAACTTTTTTGCCATAAGGAAGAATGGTAATTATTTTAACTAGTTCTCACACATTCCAAAATACCCAGAATATTAACAACGATAATTATTTAAATGTGTACATAATGAAGATTAAACATAATAAATATAAAAAATTTGTATTAGTTACAGAAAACTGTGAGTTTTTTGGGAATTTTTTTTTGTGTGCGATGCAATCATCAAAAATTGCACATCTTGTTGCAGTACAGTACAGGTACAGTACAGGTACTCTACTGTGAAAGATTGCACAACTGTACTATTTCTCTTTGACCTTGGTGACATATATTTGAGCATCACTCTCTTATTAAATTGTAAAGAGGTAGCCGGGGTGCCGTTCAAGTACCACCACATTTCTAACTAGAATTTTTTGGTCGACTACCGAATTGTTAAAGATTCAATAGACCTGCTGTTAAAAGCTACTCACTCTACTTTCCATTGCTAATGCACGTCTTGATTTCTCAGATTGAGGGGGAGACGGTGCCTGAAATACAGTTTTATAAATTGATATGATTTTATGTATGAGGTTTTAAAAGGTTTGGGAATATCTAAGTATTTAAAAAAAACTGAATCAATGTTTAAATATACTTCTACAATTGTATTTGATTTGTAAAAATTGGTTCTGATTCCTTGGAAGTCATAATAACAGTTACTATGCTTTATCTAACATTAAAATTACTAAATTTCAAAATAAAATACCGTGTATTGCAACATCACAGCTTTGAATGCTTTTTTATCTTTTTTGGTTAGCTGCGCAACATCACAGATAAAATTGCAATTTCTTCCTTCGCTGATGCAGAGTATCACACCAGCAATGAAGTCTTCCACATTGAGGTCTGGATTTTTTTCAATGTTGAACTCATTGATCTGCAAGTGAAGTTTGATTGTGTGAATAAAATACCGGTAATAGTATGCTGAAGATCATAAGTAAGCTTGTGACCTGGATAATGCAGTGATTGCATATTTAAGACTTTGCGTTCGAGTAGAAAGACTTGTCTCCAGACACTAAGGTTTGATAAACAGGGAGGATGCAAGTTGACGTATGTGTAGTACCATATTTCGCTGGGAACATATGACCATCGTAAAGTAATTTAAAAAAGCAGCTGGCCATTTTTGTTTCCCTATATAGACATGTGCTGTTAATGGGCCATAGTCTATCTTCATATCCTCTAATACTCCTAATTAATAGAGTATCTGAAAAAGAATAACATGCTAGTATGGGAACTTATTCGAATAGCAATAGAACTAATAGGGCGCCTTACCACCACAGCATTGCTTTTGATAGAATTTCCCAGTCGAACAATTGAGTTTCGTGGTAATCTGCAGTTGCGGAAATTGACCATACTCAGTGTTGTTGAGTGGTTTATGATAAAACCGAGAGCTGGAAGGTCATTGTATGTGAGTGCGACATTGCTCATGTCAATGGCCTGTATACACGATGCAATTGTATCACTCAATGCCTCTCCGACTGCATGCATTTCAGTGAATATCTTTAATCTCTCGAACTTGGTTGAAACACTTTGTAGCTTCCCGGTAAAGTCATCTTTGACAGAATCTGAAAACAAATTTGTTGATTTGTTATTTCACATATAGATCCTGAATTATTGGTTTTCAACCTGTGATGTTTTGCAACATATTTGAATCAATTGTGCCCATCGGCGATCTTCAAGAAATTGGATCTGTCAACATGAATAATACACAATAATATGTTTGATATGACTCATGAATAAAAAGAAAATGCATTTATTTTATAGTTCCTATGTTTGATTGGGAGAGTTTTACTGGAAAAATTAAATGTGTCACACATTGCTCCATCTAAAAAAATTAGTAAAGTGGTCGATTTTAACAAGTTTTACAGGTTATATTGGAGCCGCTTCTTCCTGATATGAAATTATACCAATTTCATTGCTAATTTATAAGTCCCTTATATATACAAAGACTTTGATTCTATAGATGTTGTAAAACTATATTTTTTAAAACTTTAGCTCAAAAGTCATTTTATTAATCTTACAGTATACTTCTACCACAGCCTAGTTTTGCTACCAAATCCAGACTGCTAATGTTATTAAACATTGAAACAATTTAATGTTAAGTTGATGACCAAAACACAGTTTCCACATCCACATTTTAAATCTCTTTAAAGTATTTTATTAAAGGCACATTAAAGTTTCAAAAATTTTAATATAACAGAGAAAAAAGATTGTGTGACCTAATTCCTTCGTTTCTTGAATTTGATTTTCTAATTCATCGCTCTGTTGTTCTTCCAATGTCTGTTGTTTGAACCCTAATAAATACAAAAGCAATAAAATCATGTCACATGGTATAATAAGACAAGGAAATGCCCCTACATTTTAGCCTCGGTTTTGGTCATTTTGGTAGTCTGGTACCTCGATTGAAAAAAGAAAAAAGTTGGTATAGTGTTAATGATGATGCTTGAAAAATCATTTTTGAATGAGGTATGAGAACAATAAATTTTGCATCTCTTCAAAATATTTTATTCATTTGGTATTCCGGCGAGGTACAATATAAACTTGCATAGAGTGACTACGCAGGCACAATAAAGTTTCCGAAAATATTAGCATAACAAACTAAAAAATATTTTGTGACCTTTCAACTTTTGTCCCAATTCTTCCATTATTTCATCTTGTTCCATCAGTATTTGTACTTGTTCCTTCATTTTTTGTTCTTGTTCCTTCATTTCTTGTTCTTGTCCCATCAGTATTTGTTTTTGTTCCTTCAGTATTTGTGTTTGTCCCATCAGTATTTGTACTTGTTCCTTCATTTTTTGTTCTTGTTCCTTCATTTCTTGTTCTTGTTCCATCAGTATTTGTTTTTGTTCCATCAGTATTTGTGTTTGTCCCATCAGTATTTGTTGTGGGTGTTCATCACTCAATCGTTCTAATTCTTAAGCAATAAAATCATGTCACACAGTATAATAAGATATATTGAAAGGTGCCTAAATTTTAGCTTCCATGTCTTTTTATCAACAAATACGTTTTGAAAAAATATACTAACTTGGGTTTAGAATGAGGGCAAACCAGTTCCCCACCAAAGTATTTATGCAGTTGGTCTGATCCAAACTTGGCCACTCTTAGGAATCCAACGAAGTATCCAGTCGACCATATCCCACTTAATATCTCATTCAGTGCAGACAACAAAAATTATATTTTTAACAGAAATCTTTACATACCTATTACTGAAAGCAAGTTTTCTTCTGAAAGCAAACTCTCATCGTCAGAGGACGATTCTATATCCACTTTTACCATTCCCCCTGTACATTAAACGTCGATGTTTTAACATGTAAATGTGTGAAAGAGGATTCCAGGTGAAAGTGTTTACTTTCACATGCATATTGATAATTGAACTTTTAATTTGAATCCTTCACAAATAATAAAACTATTTCATGTATATGATATATTAGAAATTGTGACTAGCTAATAAATCATTTGTCAAAATCAAAAGCATTTTCGAACCCATGATTTGTATACACAGGTCACTTGTCATATCACATGGTTATAATGAGACATATTGAAAGGCACCTATATTTTAGCTCCTATGGCTTTTTATTAACAAATACCGCTTTTCTACACTTAATGCGCACCTAGATTTTAGCACGTCAATTACGAGAATTTTTCTCCACGCATAATACGCATATTAAGTTTCTGTTGCTCTCTTGCGTTGCAGGTGTTTTTTCAGGAAGTATTTAGGGCATTTTGTCTGCCTTTTGTTAACTATATCCCGGAATTAATATGTTGTATGTATTTGCTGTTAAACGGTTTGCCAATCATAATGTGACGTTATTTGACATTAGAGCAGCATTTCTCCCAAACTGTGTTCCATGGTGTTTTCCGAGTGGAAAAAGAATAAAAAATACATCTAAAGTGGTCGCCATAGCGATCTAGGGATCGTGAAGTTTTCGCCCAACATCGCGTCCTGTCGGCCTAAACCGGACTAAGGCATGTTCGTTAACCATCGGCCTAGCTTTGTGACTGTTAAGTTCATTATCAAGTTTGCAGCAATCCCTTTGGTTCGCTTCAATGGTCGTTTCTTTTTTTCGGGTTAAACATTTTTCGTCCGTCAAGCTCCATAATGCCCGGCGGGGTTTTGGCGGAATTGTACGATCATGTTGTCTTTCTTGAATAATAACTTTTTCAATAAATGTTTACTTTACTTTTGTGTATTAATAATGATATGTTGGGTTTTCATTTATTTCAAATTCGAAATTGTCCATAAAAATCAAACAGGTGTGTAAGTATAATTTTAATGTGAAGTTGACAAGTAAGTTGCGAACTAGTACTTTTGTATCCTAATTTTACATTACATAACGATATTTGCTGGAATTCTAACCTATGTGGTGCAGACGTGGGAGATGCATCTATTTGAGTACACAGTGCATGTGACCAAAGTGCATTGATTGTTCTACCTTCTGCTTAAAAAAACGTCGTTTTGCAGTCATCTAACCGAACTCTCGCGACCAAATCTTTTTTGTTCTGTATGGCATCAGCTTAGCGCAATTTATTACGGACTTAATTTTAATTGTTAATTTTAAAGGTATTTTCTGTTAGTTGGCGCTGATAACCTAATGAGAAAATGATCAAATGAATTGTGCAAGAACTTGGATAATTAGTTGACACAGTATGAAAAAGGTTTTTATTGCACTAGTGAATCGAGACTCCGATCTTTCCATGTAAAATTTGCTTTGCGAGCAGTGCCTACAAATGACCTATTATTTAGAATAAATAAGACATTAAGTCCAAAATGTACATTCTGTGAGAGGCATGTCGAAACTGTATTACATTTATTTTATTTCTGTGAATTTGTACAACAATTTTGGGAAATTGTTAATGCATGGCTAACCGTTGAATATGGTTTAAATCGTAATCTGACATATAGAGAAATTTTAATGGGGGTAGGGCAAAACCAAGGTATAAACTGTGTGTTACTAATTGCAAGATATTATATTTATAAATGTAAACTACGTGATGAAAGGCCTCAATTTGATCAATTTTTATATATGATGAAAAGTGTTTTTAACCATGAGAAAATTATTGCAAATAAAAAATGTGAAAAAAAAACTGTCAAACCACATAAACAAGTGGAAAATTATCATGAACTCATTTTTTTAAGTGCAATTGTATTTATGTGTTATCGTGTGTATAAAAAGGGATGGAAAAAAAACAATTCAGGTCATATTATATTATTTCATTCCCTTTCAGCATTTCATCAACACCGCCTGCGTGCTTTTTACTGTGCATAAACACATTTACGCATTGGTAGATGTAAGTTCTGCGCTACACTAATAACAATACGATACACATAAATTAACATGTAAATATACCGCAAGCTTAAAGATTGGAATTTGGCTTTATGGGTATTTGATTGTTGTTGCTTGATTCAGTTGCCTGATTGTCAATGAATTTTATTACTCTCTAAAAATATACAAAATCATCCAAATAAAAATGGTACTTTTGCCAATAGACTATTATGGTAATATCATGGTCCAAAGGACATAAAGCATCAAAGAACTCTTTGGCCATCTTTTCATGTGGCCAATTATACAAAGTATACAATTTCAATAAATTTACTTTGTCACAAATTGCTAATATTTCTAATGATAGCTATAAACTATCAAATACTTTGTGTACATACACTGTTGGTTTGTGGCTTTTTTCTGATATTTCTATTGGAGCTTATTTCCTATTTTACTGGATATTAATATGCTAAAACAAAAATGTGTATGTCTGATTTTAGAATGTATTCGAAATTCCAGATTTCGAAAATATTATTTTAGAATGTATTCGGAATAGTTCAGTATCCGGAAATGGCCATCCCTGATTGTCAGTACTTTAAGATCGATGAAGTCGCTAGAGGGATTTTTTCAAATTCTTCTGAGCGTACGGGACTGAAATTTCTATTCAATTCATGGGAACATTTGTTGAAGCATGGAAACATTTTAATCTGCCACCCTTGTTCGTGGAATTATTTAGCAATAGTCTGACGTCAGTTGGATGAATGAATCATAATAAATCTTACACAAACCTTCTTCTCTGTGCCAAGGTGAAGCAGGTCGTTGTTCGGGTCCACCCAAGGACTGTACCGGAGAAATTCCAGTTGTTGCTTCACCGTACCAGGATAGATCTGCTTGTTCGTCTAGGCCACCTATTGCTGGATGTTGTTGTGATCCTGAAACAAATGCAAAATATTTTAAATTCTTTTTTCCAAGTTTTCAAGTTAATCTGAGGTTATTTCACTAGAAGCGTATTTTGTGTTACTACAATGCCTCATATGACTTTGGCAGGAAAGTATTCCACCATGCTAGATCGCGGAGCTTCTTTCTTCGAAATCGATGTGAGATTTAGTGTCCATATATTTGTGCATTGCTCTCCTTGCTAATATTATTGCCTCGGTTTGATCATAAAGAGAATCTTTCAAGATATGTGAGCTATTAAGTTTGAAAACGATCGTTGTTTTAACCCAAATTTTGCTTTCTGGATTATGGTAAGTCACTTCAGTTCATGCAATATTATTCAATGCGTACCAACAATCACTTCATTTGGGTCTTTTATTTGAGCTTTCGACCTGAAAATATTAGAAAATACCTTGATTGAAATTTATATCGAAATAGTTGGTTTCTACGTATCGGATATATTAATTTTTGTCAACCGAATGTTGCTTTATTTATTTGAATATCATTTGTAGCACAGACATCCCACCAAAAGACCTACCAATCCACTTGTTCACAGCTGGAATTTTTAGGACATGAATAATTTTTTATTTAATAGGGGCGGTGAATATGCCTATCTCGACAAGTGATGATGTTCGGACTAGTCTGTATCATTAACTTATGATTGCGCACAGAAACTCCTCTTTGTTTGCATAAATCTTACAGCGCTTGTAATGCGGTGTACATATAAGCGCATATTACAACACTTTTTGCTTCATCGGATGCCATGCTAAGTAAGGTCTACACCGGTGGTTCTCAACCTGTGGTACTAGTGGTACGCGGAAGCTTTCCAAGTGGTACGCGAGCAGCTTTGAATAATTGCAACAATTAACTCTCGCGTTCGCTAAAATATGCCGTCAAAACGATCTATTTATCTTCCATACTGTATGTATTCACGGAATGGCGTTTATAGTGCTACCAGTACTTGTATTTAGAGATCGCCCTCCCCGCTACTGCCCGCTTTAAACGAAACGAGACGGGCATGTTCTTGCACTTAGTTCTGAAACAAAACGAGAAGAGCACGTTCTTGCACGTTGTTCGTGTAATGTCACAATGAAAATCGGATAAGGCGAGTCGAAAATCGAGATACGGATGTTACAAGCGCTACCTGCAGGACGTGTTGGTTGATCGGCATACTCTTAAGTTTTAAGGCTAATTCATCAGTAATTTTTTGATTACTTATTTAATCATGTCTAAGCGAAAGTATACCTCCGAATACATCAAATATGGGTTCGTTGCTATCGAGCATAATGGAGAAAGTCTAGAATCCAATCACGCAGATAAGAAGAACCGCGATAAAAGTTATTTTGAGCGACTCGGGGAACATGTGAAGTGACAGCGCATGGACCAGAGAGGTCAGTTTCACCAAACAAATGCCGGGATTGTGAAGGCATCCTATGAAGTATCGCTTCTCGTGGCTCAAAACAAGAAAGCTCATACCATCGCGGAATCGCTTGTTTTGCCAGCAGCAAGAATATAAGTCAGAAACCTGATTGGCAAAGAGTCCCTGGCAAAGTTAGATCGTGTATCGCTTT